GTGGCATTATTGACTATTCAGAAGGAATGAATTCCTATTACCACACAAATTATGAATAAGGATTGCAGTCAGCTGAATGATTACCAGTTGGATTTCGTTACTCAGGTGTAGTGGGAAGGCCAACTTGGTGGAGCCCTGTCGAGATCGAGACATTCATTTGGCCTTTATTCATCACCTATCATTACAGCAGTAACAACAAACAACCTGCCTAACACATGACTAGCTTAGATATTTTTATCACCGAAAGGTCAACAATCAAAATACTTTTGATGTTAGAAATAAAACTCTTTGTGTGTGTAGGGGGGAGGAGGGGGGGTGGGTGGTTTGGTCTAATCACCTCAAACTTGAAATGTATGCGTGACTTACTGTATAGAAAAGTCAAAGCGACAAACATTATTATATAGTCAGACAAAAACAATGCGATGGCTTGACCGCGTTAAAACAAAGAAAAATTAATAAATATATATGAGTGCCAATTAGAATGCAATTCTGTGATAGAGTAGAACTTTATTCTAACCGAAGCTATAGAATAATAAATAAGTTTATTTTAATGAGAGAGATTATTAAGAGAATAATTCTATATGATTTCAAGTTCCAGTTATTGATGAGCTCTCCGGCATTGCTGCGTATATCTAATTGGGTACAGACAGATATAATCAGAATCCGTATAACAAACAGTACACAGGGAGAGAGAGAGAGAGAGACAGCTTTAAAATGACAATAGTTTTGCCCATGGACACAGTCAACAAAACACTCATAAAGTGATATTGTCACTTGCTAAGTTTGTTTACAGCACAACTCAGACTAACAGATTAACGTGAAACTTGTCACAAAAGGTTTCACTTTAAAACAAGTACACAAAATAAGGTAACAGAGCCATAGACAAAAAAGCTAATTAAAGACTGTTGGTGATATTTTTAGAATTCTGGAAGGTGACATTAGTTAGGGTCGCGCTAAGTCACGAATTGCTAGAAGTTAGAATTCATGGGCTGGTCATTCAATCAGGTCCCAGTGACTGAATGGTATATGAGCCAGCTTGTCTTGAAACTAGAGAGTGCTGGGCTCGAACCCCTGTGGTGGGTGTGTACTGACGATGATTCCCAAACTAGGCGGATGAAACAGCTGTCGGGTACTCTAGTGCTGGTTTTCACTGGTTCTCTAACTGATGTCAATCTGTGATCAACTCGTAAAAAGTATTATTGCAAATTTTAAGCGATTTCACGAAGAATTCCGATGCTAGTAGTAATTCAATCTACACATTTGTAGATGGTTTTCACGCGGGGGGAGGTTACTCACAAAAGTGAGAGGGCGAATAGGAATATCAGGTGTGCTTGCAACCGGACTACTACTGATGGACATTCAGGTCTACTCAGAGGAGGTAGAAAAACCCTGCTTATTTGAAACCTATGGTGTACATGGACTTCAGAGTTCAAATGGATTAAATGAAATAGGAACCTATTTTGATTCACCGGAAACCACAGGTACGACGCTGCTACCTTGTGGTTAAGACTTTAAGTCAAAGGCTCAGGCTGGAGGTGGACCCTGAGTGGTGAATAACCATCTGATCCGGTCTGTGAGTCCAGGATTATCTCAGCTTTCGCACAAACTATAAAAATAAATAAATAATTCAAGTAAATTGACTTTATTGTAAGGCTTTCATTTCTCCTTCTAGTAGACAACATCGCTTCAAAGAAAGTTTCAGTATGCAAAGAACTTACCTGAGTTTTTCATGAATGATATAATTGTATCCCTTGAGAGTCACTTTGAAATTCGACTGTTTTAGTCAATAAAAACAATTAACACCACTACGAATTAATAACTAATCATGAAAAAGTTATCCGGAGATACAATTATATCATTATTCGTGGACATTTAAAACTAGTTCACTTCATATTATAGATTGCTACGAAGATGTTGTTTACAAGGATAATGAAAGCATCACAATTTAATCACTCAGCTCAATGAATGTAACCAAATCAAAATCATACAGATGAGTTAAAAATTTGCTCTATCATATATATATATATATATAACACATAAGAGAGTCCACATCCATTCCACCTACCCTCAAAGATTCCTAACAACCTTTCCAGCTTCCTATATTGTACGAACATTCCATATCTCCTTGCTTTCTTTTGCTTTCATCGAAGGAAGACATAAAGGCTAACTGGCTTCCTTACCGCGTCGTCTCACCTTTCCGATTCCGGCGAAAAATAAGTTTATTTCTTGAATTTTTGTTCTACTTTGAAGTTTTTGTAGAGATTATATTGATTTTCTGAGGTGGACTGAATCGTGCGGTACACCATCCGTGGAGAGCGAGAAGACAGGAATAAACTGCACCCATAAAAAGACTAAAAGATCTGGACATCGCAAACGATTTATGTCTACAAACACACAAACTCGCAGACTTAAAGGCGAAAACCAACGGAGTAGCTGAAGAAATAGTAAAGATAGGACTTCAAATGGACATAAAAAACGGAACTGATGGACACAACCAACCAACAGCAGCAACAACCAGCACCAATCACTGAGAAAAACTTAAAAGAGGTCACTTTTTCCACTTATCTAGGAACCCTCCCTTCAACTACAGGTGGCAAGACGAATGAGGATATCAAAGACGACATCTGGAAGGCAAGACACAAATTCACTAATCTGAAATCAGTTCGAAAATCCACCACAATAGGCATAAGGAACATAATTTGGATTCTCAACACTAATGTTAAGTCAATCCGCCTCTATATGGGTCAGAGACTTCGCGCATCATCGAACCTATTTCCAACAGGCCACTGCACACCTTTATCAACAGCTGACTTCTCTGACTCCATAATGAAGGTCAGATGGCAAGCCAGAAAAGGTTAACCAGGAGGGACTCTGGGGACGAACCAATCAATAATCTATTGTCCAACAGGTATGCTAAAGAAAAAGGAGATGGATCGGACACATGCTGAGTGACATCACACACCGGGTCAACGAGTGGGGAACGACGAGTTGGACTTAGGTTTGAGGGTGACAAGGAGGAGAGACCATGTGAGGAGGGAATGGGCAATCATGAGGCCACCAGAAGGGGACTACAGAGAACTGGAAAAAATGGTGATGTGCTGTCGAGGCCCTATATTCCACTCGGATACGAAGGCAATAATATATATATATATATATATATATATATATATATATATATACTGAATGCAATAACCTTAAAACAAACATGTATACTTTTATAAATGATACAATATACAAAACACACCCACCCAACCAGCCAACTAAAACAATCAACAAGTAATGCATGTACACTCACGCAGGCATACATACACGGAGAGAAATAGAACAAAACTCTTTTACATCATAACGCGTGTAATATGAAAATGTGACGAAGAAAAAAAGGAACAAAAATGAATAACAGTGCCTCATAAATATTTTACTTCAATCTTTTCATGTACATATATTGCTGTGTGTCCTGAGCAATGAATTCATTGATATATATATATATATATATATATATATATATATCAGACAGCTTAAGCGTATAGGCAGAGAAATAACTACAAAGCATCAATAATGCATAAATTGATTACATAACAGAAGTAAGGAGGACAGTATATCGGAGAGTGAATGTCACATTTCCTGTCCTGTCCTTTCCATCCCATTCCAACCTCAAAATCTCTTTCACAAAATGATTAAATCAGTGAAGGATCGAATAACCTTATGAAACAAACAACAGAGAGACATGTATCCACACACAGACACCCATAAAAATAATCTAAAAACCAGACAGGAGAGAAAATGTAGTGGAAGGGGGGTTAGCGGGTATTACAAAATATCAATAATAAACAGAATTATGTAGTACAACAAGTTAGAGTTATCAGCAATACTTAGTGTGCAGTAGTAACTATGAGCAAGGAGATGGTAACAACAGAACACTAATTAAAAAAATAGGAAGGTGACATAACAATTAGGAGGCCGGCGGTGGGAGGAGGCAGGACAAGATTTCGAAATCATTTTTTGAGAAAGCATTTTACATTACTGATGTAAACAATTTGTACAGGAAATATGATGTAATGACGACAATAATAATAATAATACAAATTGAATATCGTCCACTCAGGTGTCTCTTTACGTTTCCGGCAAAAATCCTGATACACTTTAAAATCAATAATGGTAAGTAATAGAAACCTTGGGAGAGAAATGTATGTATATTGATTGTTGATGCTTGTTTTTTTTAAACAAATAGAATTTTTAAAAGTAATACTGAGAATTATATTGACATGGGATGCTAAGCAGTGAATAATTAATACTGTAAAGGCAGTAGCGACAGACGAAAAAGGAAAATAGAGAGAGAGAGAGAGGGGTCGAGAAAAATCATTATGTGAAAAGAAAACATGAACAGTTTTTCTACAAATAAAGACTAAGAAAACTATGCATATGTGCTCAAGATACACACACAAACGCGTGAGTACGTGTGTGCACGTGGAACTGTGTGTGTGTGTGTGAGAAAACTTGCGGTAAAAATTCAAATGGTCAAGACAACCGATCTACACTTCTCATGCCTCTTCCTGGTCCGTCGTCTTCCTCTACTTTTTTTGTTTCAATGCAGATTATTGAGAAGTCGGCAGTTCTCTTCAGTAGTAGGCCAGTGAATGCACAAGTAGTATGTAGTGCAGAATTCCATGGATAGAAGGAATAATAATAATAATAGTAGTAATAATATTAACAATACTTGTACATAACCAACATAATGTGTATATGTATAGAGAAATTTTGTGCCTTTTATATGTTGAATGATGAAATAATAAGAGTGAATCAAATACACAAATACATTCACACACAGACACACACATATGCACATTTATGTGTGCAGAGGTGGTCAACTGTGATAGTTTGATGAAGATTGAATCCATTATTCATGTAAAACAATTGTAACCAGTATACATATGTATGTATAATACTGGTAGTGGTATTAGTAGTAGTAGTGGAGAGGAATTAAGACGAGTAGAATTCAGCAGTCATTTTTGGCATGAGATACTAAAATAGACACAAAAAAACAAATAAAGTAAAAGAAATTGATACATACGCATTTAAGTAGTATGCAATGACTTTTGATATAATGGAGAACATAGGTAATACAACTCATGTTTCGGTGTGGCCTAAAGTACTTGGATTTGCGGTCGATGGGTCACGGGTTCGAGTCTCACTCTTCTTCTATTTCGGCATGAATAACTGGATAGTGACCTTTGGGCCCCTGGTACATAAAACATCTGACCCGAGTACTCGGACTTACACAAGAAAATAGTCAATATCACCAATAGTGACATCATTCATAGAGAAATGCAATAGAGAATTCTTTGATGAGCCACTAGCTAGTAACGAGTGTAATATGTCCAATCCTTTCTTTAGTACAAGCCACCTAATATGGTGGCCACACTGCAAACTTGACTGATTGAATTCAGTCTGCACCAAAGGACCAGTTACTAGATACGTCGAATATTAAGGATCATTAGAACCTTGATTGACAGGCAAGGTAAGTACAGTGTCTGAACCAGCTTTTTTTGAATACATAAGTTAGGTTTCTTAATGTAGATCCCAACAGCCAGCTTCGGCAATATGTAGTAGACGAACTCTTAAAGTGAAGTTAAAATTAGTTGGTATGTGGTAAATGACTTTGAAAACTGCCTCGTTAACATCAATCTTGTGTTCTGTATCCACAAGATGAGATAGAATAGTGCTATGAATGGATTTTGTTTGTCCTTTGCTTAACTACTCAGCGTGGTATTTGGAAATCCGATGAGAGACACGCCTAGATGTACGACCTATGCAACTAACTGGCTCCACAGAAGCAGTCAAATTGGTAGATACACATAGAAGGGGCGAAATTAGGCAGTTTATCTTTTACTCGACCTAAATCAGTCCTGCACGAGGTCAACGAGGCACTTTTCATCAAAGTAAAAAGAAACATTTTTATCTTTTCTACAAAAATAAAACAACATTCTTTTTGTTTTCCTGTACACGAATAGGATATACTTTATTATTCGAGAGAACAAGAACCGTAAAACTCAAAAAAAGGTTTCTATGATTTTCCATCATATTTGAGTAAGTGAAAAAAATATGAAAATATATGTCTGGAAGCAATGCATGTAGAGAAAAATATGAATATCTAGGGAGGTTTTGAAGGGGGCACAGATAAAGAGAGATTATATATCTGCAAATTCGCGCAGACCACAATATATAAACTCAATCACATTGACGTTATCTGGTCAATATAACCAGAATGTTGACAGAATCCCCATGTTAAAAAAAAATTTTTCACAGATCAAAAAATAGTATTTGAAAACTATAACGTTACTGTCACACTATGTAGAGAAATGATAAATTCATCATAAATTCAAATCAAAGGCATGGCTCAGTAGGATAAACATTCTGGGTAAATCAGACTAGATCCATTCATTCTATCTAGTGACAAGAAGCGGTTAAAACAGAAAGCACAGAAGTATACTATTTATTCAACGGGCTCATGAATCCTACTCAATCTGGTTAGCAAATGAAAGAGTGAAAAGGTGTTGTCAACTCGACAACAGAACACACGATGATCCCAGTGCATTCTGATTCAGTTGAGAAATCTTTTAAAATTCTATTATCATTATTATTCCCTTGGGTTTCGAGTGGAACATAGGGCTTCAAAAACAAATTTCCACTTCGTTCTCTTTTCTGCTGCCCTTTTCAGACGGACCAGCGATTGACTATAATCTCTCATCTCCTCCCCCGATCCTCCTCCATGTCACCCTCGCACTGACGACCCAATCGTCGCTTCCCATTGGGATTCAACTCGATAGATGGCCTGATTGCGTGCTATGTCATTCAATGACCTCCTCAACGGATGCCCGATCCATCTCCATTTTCTCCTACTTATTTATTGTGCGATCGACTCTGGCTTTTTGGTTTGTTGCCAGCCAGGGTCTCTTATTGCTAGTTATTTCTAGCCCGCCGACCAGCCGGCCATTTGATCCTCAGTATGCAGCCAGACATCGAGGCGGGCAGCTATTGATAAAAGTCTCCCAATGGCTGTTGGAAATCCTTTTCGTGACTGACACGCAGTAAGAGTTTCTGACCCGTATAGAAGAACTGACTGACTGACTTCATCTTTGTGTTGGAAATCCGAACCTTGTTGTTTATGCTGGCTGACTGAGCGAAGTAGAAGACTTCAAACCAGTTTCACGTCGATGAAGGTGTACCTTGCTTGTCTTTCCGATTTCAGTTGGCTAGCTGCCTGGCTTTGACATTTTCATCCGTGCTGTCCGACTAACTGTAGTTGAAACCGTGCTCCTATCCGGATAAATAAAGGAAGTTGTAGTAACCACTGTTAAATCTCTTCATTTGTTGGTAATTGGTGCTGGTTGTTGTTGCTATTGTGGTTCGTTGGTTATCTCTATGTTCACCTGGAGTCATGTCTATGTGGCTGCTTCTCCAGTCAATTTGTTAGTTTTCACTCGCAAGTCTTCCAGTCTCTGTGACATTAAACATAAATCATCCACGCGAAAAATTCAGATCTCCTAGAGTCTTCTTTCTGTCCAACTTATTCCTGTCTTCTCATTTACAATGCACAGTCTGACGCATAATTCAGGCCACCAAAATTAAGAATATCACCAGGCAGACAGTCTTGTCTTACTCCTTTAGTCACTTCGAACACCTCATTGAGTTTTCCGTCGTGGATCACGAGACACGTGGAATCCAGCTGTTAACTGAGGTTGATAAGAATTTGGGCACTGCACACTGTAGTGTTGAATTAGTTCCCAAATTACTTCTCGGTCACCACTGTCGAAGGTCGATGAAGTTGAGGTGTTGTTGAGGCCCTATATTCCACTCGTAACCCAAGGGAATAATAATATTAATAGAAAACCGATAACTGTAATTTATATGGTTATACAGATAGATAAGAAAATTCGATGCCAACACATTTTACAATGTGACAGTGTGAGCTTGAATAGTTTTTTTTCATGGAATAAATTATTCATTTTCTTTTTGTCTCTCCAACACAGACCAGAACCACTACAAAGGCATTACTTTACTTTACTTCAGCTATCTCCTACAGGAGGATGAGCCGGCTTCATGAACATCTCGAATCATCGCTGCCCAGGCGCGGCGACCTGATGCAAGGTTTTGCGACAGGGTTATCCAATTCTCCTTCCACAGACGGAGTCCGTACACGGTTTGTAGCCCCAGGAACTCCATATCAGCCTTGACTGTACCAAGCCATGTTTTCAGCTGTCCATCCCCGCGACATCGCCAAGATGGAAATGGAGAGGGATTTAGAACTGATTTGACCAGATCGTCATCTGGTCGGCGCAGAACATGGCCAGACCACCGAAGGCGACGTTGTTGGACCAGTAATGGAATTTGGTTGATGTTGTAGAGAGTTCATGAAGTTTCATGGGAATTAGGTACGAATGATGTCCCCAGAATCGCTCGGCCTTTTGTTTGAGAGTGCAGCCCTAGCCTTTACACAACCAAGTGTGACCTACAAGGCAGTAGGAGTGGAGTAGAGAGTCCATTGGCACTATCCATTGGCAGCCGGTGACCGGGGTCCGGTTCATACGCCTTTTTGAATGGGGCCAGACATCCAGGCATCCAATAAGCCCTTTGTCCATACGTCCATACAAAGGCATTAGTAGAATCTTACTAAAAGCTACCAACGAATTGACTTAATCATACTACAATGCAATAACCGTAATACTACTGATTATTATTTCTTTGGGTCTCGAGTGAGACATAGTGCGTTCAACTGCATATCTTCATTTTGCCCTGTTCTCCGAGATCCTAATCAGATGACTCCACGATTGCCGATAGACTCTCATCATCTCCTCCTCACAAGATCTTCTCTATATCACCCTTGGACCAAGTCAAACTCGTTGTTTCCCATTCGGATTTCACTAGAGCAATGGCCTGGCTTGCGTTGTCACTCAACGGTCTCCTCAGCATGCATTCGATTAATCTGCATTTTCTTCAACCTATTTGTTGAGCAATATCAACACCACTACACTAGTCTTCTTTTGTACTATATTTCTTTGCTTGTCTATTTTATCTCAAGTTAAACCTGCAAATAATACCGATACTACTACTACTACTACTGCTAATAATAATAATAATCCAATTGAAAAAGTAAGTAATATGAAACGAATAAAAGTGATAATTCTCATAATGAAAATAAAACGCCACCAAAAAAAAACAATCTAAACTCGATAATACTATTTAAGAAATTCTCATTCAACTAATCGATTTGTTTCATACAACCTGAAAAAAAGGCTGAATAATTCTACACACCAATAGAGAGGAAAAACAATGCGTATTACTATTATAGAGATATTGATTATCAAATTAGAGACAGTGGAAACTATTCATCATCGGATTTATCAGGTATTAGTAGATAAGTAAAAACAAATGTGACGGCATTATCGAGAAACGACTTAATCTAGTGAAACTGACCAGTGAAAAAAAAGAATATATAAATATTTATATATAATGACAAATTACAAAAACAAAGACACTAATCGCCACTTTCTACTGAGTTTTATTCTAACTTTTTGACTGAATCGTCAAAGATTTTATGGAACAATTCCGCGTTTTCTTCCAACTATCACTAGCTGTTTCCCGTCCTAGAGTTACGCGACGAGGAAGGTGATAGCATGGCGTCCGTAACACATTTTCTAGCCGTAACAATTATTGTAACTTCAAAACTTCTTCGATTAATTTTCCTCCCTTACATAACACTGGACGCCTAACCTCAATATTACTCACCCTAAAAAACTACCAAACACGGAAGAGATACAACTCAGACACATTTATGATCAAGGGCAGTCGGACCTCTCATATCCTCCACTTCCAATGGCCATGTTTCACACTTATAAAGGACTACAGAATGAACTGGTGCTGTTCAGTAAAAGCGTCCTTTAACCGGTAGCCAGCTGGATATCACCTCTATACCAGAGGGTGAAGTGAGTTTTATTTGGCAAATAAATCGAAAGTTAGGCTGAATGATAAATGGGCTCTTCTTGCAACCTAAAGATTCTTGTGTTGGAGTCCAGAATGCGTACGGTCGAAGGCATCCAAACTAGGATGAAACAGTTGTCAATGGTATTCTAACTGATATCAGTCCATAATCTAACTTGAAACCAATGAAATCCCTACAAACAAACGCCTGAAAATTAATCTACTGCTCATTGGGGCTGGCTACGGAATGCTGTTTCTGAAGTTCAAGCGAGGATTCATAACCACTGGAGTAGACCAAGTCGGGGATGTGAAGATAGACACTCGCCGATAACGTTAATGGCTCGCGGCGCAATATTTCACGTGTTGGGTAGAAGTTGGAATTCATGGGACACTGAGCCCTGGTCCCAGTGGTTGAATGGTCAACGGATACAATTCCATCTGTTCACTACCCCACAGTTTCCAATGATTGTCCAGTTCAAGTGTTGGTTTGCAGGGATTTGATTGGCTACAGATTGCATCATGAGCTGAAATCAGTTAGAGAACCATTGGAAAACCTGGGAGTACTGGACAGCTGTTTCATCCTAGTTTGGGACTCTTCAGAAGTACGCACCCACACTACGGGGTCCGAACCCAGGACCTTCTGGTTACAAGGCGAGCTCGCAGACTATTCAGACACTGGGACCCAATCCAATGGCCCATGAATTCTAACTTCTGCCAATTCACGACATAGCGCGACTCCTAGTCAATGTCCTCGGCGAGTATTTGTCCTCACACCCAACCTGCTACAATGGATATTAGTTTGTGAACTAACTTGAAATAAAAAACGAAAGACATATTAAAATCCATTTATGCAAGAAATAAAAGACTTTTGGGTGTGCTGTGTGTGGCGAAGCTCTTAGTGTCCTTTTCTACACAACATTTTCAGTGCTTGCTTAAATGAGTTTTATTTTGTGATTCTCCATGAGTAGTGATGTAACAGTTACGCTAGATAATCCTGACTAAAAAGGTCTGAGAATTCTTAGAAGCCGGGTACTCAGATCGATATTTACTTCATATATATCAGATTTAGCAACCAATAAGGAACACGTAACACGACAAAAAAATTTGATAGAACAATGAATACGAATGTCAATTAATATAGAGATATAGGAGAAACAGTTATATCATCATTCATGGAGAATACCAAACAACACACGTATACACACTTAACATTCAAAAAAGTTTTGCAGTTGAACCATTCAGTTCAGAAAGCACAACTGCACGAAAAGCATTCACCTAAGTGCACGAAATCTTCTCCACTATTTCAAGAATAAAAGATTGATTTCATTTTATTTTTGAGAAAAACTTCATGGTACATGAAGAAAAACCAGAAATTACCTTTTTTCAATTGCTTCACGAGTCTGAGCGACCTTCAGTGAATCGATTTCGTACTAAAAATCTAGCCAGACATTCAGCGACCTAAAAATATTTTTAAGAAATCAATATTAGAAAACGATATAAATATGTTACACGATTAAAGTCAGTCACACTGGTTATACAGTTATATGCTTTATAAATGTTTTAACACTATGATAAAGGGAGCGTTAATTTGCTCTGGTTTCAGACACTATTATGCCACATAATTTTGTAGAATTTAGAAAGCGTGAGTCAAATTGAAAAACACACGACCGACCAGTTGCGATCACTATGATACCTGTACGTGACCAAGAGTAAAGGAGCATGACACTGTGAGTGGCTGCTGAGAATTCTCAGAAGAACCTGTGATATAAGATTCTTTTCAAGCTAGCTTCAATCGCCGATAAAAACTGTTTTTAGGATAAAGCAATCTCTTTACAAATCTCACAAGTGAAAAACATTTGTAGTTTCCAAACGGTCTTCATCACTGACGAACACAAATTGAAAGTTTTTGATGTGGTTGTGTTCTCTGAGCTGGATAGTTTATTTGTGAAACTTTCATCGCCCTACTAGGCGACATCTTCAGCGCATTCTTCAATTTGAAGTGAGCTTTTAGACTTCTTCACGAGTTTATTAATCATCTCTCCTGGTGACCTTGGACGTGATTGATTGTTTTTGTGTGTTTTCACACCTACGTTGCTTGTATTGGAATTGATTGTTTCTTTGACTTGAACTTTGACCCTTTGTGTGTGAAGTTTCTTTCCTATTGGTTGATAAATTTTGTCTATCTCGATGTGTCTATTGATGGATGATTCACTGGAATGCCAAGGTTCTAAAAATTCTCTAGCATTCTTGTTGTTTCCTCTGTCTAATATTTGAACGTTGGTTGTCCCAGTCGAATTGATGTCCATGGTTGTCTGTATGTAGCGATATGAGGGGGTGGATATCATGTCTTTTGACGGCTAGCTTATGTTCATGGATACGAAAACGAAGGGGACGTCTCGTGGAGAAATCTAAAAGCTCACTTCAGCGAATTTAAGTATGCACTGAAGATATTGCCTAGTAGGGTGATGAAAGCTTCACAAATAAACCATCCAGCTCACAGAACACAACCACATCCAAATCATCCAGCTGAGCTACGAATTTTCTCTATCATATCTAAACATGTTGAAAGTCAGTTAACGATAACTCTGAAATAATAGTAGTCATTAGCTAGATTCAGCAGGGGTGCAGACTTTTATCGAAACCTGAATTCGCTTGCTTACTGTAGTCAGTGTTCCTCAAGATGTTGTTCTCGCTCCTCCTCCTCCTCTCTTTTTTTCTTCCTTTTCACATAACTTGCCTTGTTCCGAAGAAATCAATTTTGTTAAATATGCTGACGACCTTATCGTCTCGTTGCCAATTAATTCCCGAGTTGACTATTCTAAGTTGAATAGCTTTTTGTCGGACATTAGCCTGTCTGTGGTCTACGCTTAGTGATCTTATGTTAAATCCTTTCAAATGTCAGACAGTTAATTTCCCCTTCAAGAATAAACGTGATTTTTAATGAATTCATTAGTTCACACGATGCTTGTAGCTTTGAGGGCACTGAAATAGAAACTAAGTGAATTACTCAACCTTTACTTTTACAATATGTTAACTCTTGAATCTCACCTGTTATTCTTTGTTGCTCCGCCTTAGTCTTTCCTGAGCTGCTCAAAAAGGACTAAGTTATGTTGCGTAGAGTAAAAAAAGGTTGTTAGTAGGATAAGTTGTGTGCCACTTAGTCAGTTCGCTACTACCACAGTCGACAGGCACCGAAACTCATGTAAGAAATGGTCTAAATTCATATTAACTGATTCTTAACACCCTCTCTATTCACAATTCTCCCCCACCTTGCATCTCATCTAATAGGACTAGAAGTCAGTGTAAAAGATTATATGCTCGCACCACCAAGCATAGAAAAATTCAACGATACCCTATTTGACTCGCGTTCTATGTGATACAGACAGTGTTAAACGTGAAGCTCAAGAATTACTGTGTTACAAGCATGAAAAGTGGTTCAGTTATTCTCCCGTATTTGTAATTTTAGGGAGACACTATCCCTAATTTTGTGTTATTAATATTACTATTCTTATTCTTATTATTTTATATTTGTACATTTCGCCCCTACTGTTTCTGCTAATGTCAAAAGTTTATGTTATCAATTCTAGTTAAGTGTACTCTGTAATGTATTTTTTCTGTTGTTGTTGCTGTTGTTCAGTGAATTAGATGCAATATTGTGTTGAAAATTCCCCTATTGTACCATGAATACTGTTTTGGAATAAAGCAAATTATTGTTATTATTATTAATGAAGTTCAGATAGCCGGCCATAAACAATAAGAAACAAGGACCCTAGCAGTGAACCAGTTAGCGACGTATTACCTGCCCAGAAAATATGAAGAAGGGAATAGAGATACGCATTGGACACACACACAGACACACACTGAGGACACCTGCAAGTAACTTCACACCTCAGACTCTCGAGTGGAAGTCGAATGGGACGTGACGCATATGGTATCCAAGTGTGACATGAAGGAGACCATATGAAGAGGAAATGAAAGCCGGTGGAGAATGGTGGAGCCACTCAAAAACGATAGCAGAGAACCAAGTGAAATGGATATGTTCCACTCGAAACGCAAAGAGTGAACAATAACAATTAACCAGGTCCAAGATAGAAAACCAGGATATCTTGATTTTGCATTCAACGTGTTACCTAAGGTCTATTACGCTGAATAAGGCTGTGAAATATATATATATATATATATATATATATGTAACAATGAAGAACCCCACAAACATAAGTTTGTTTAATAGAATAATGATATTTTAGAATGTCATGAAAAACAACCCTTAGGACATCTTATTATTAAAGAATGCACCAGCTCAAGAACCTGACCTACAAGGATTCGAAGCAAAGGTACTAGTTGCGATACTAGGATACTGAATATTCAAGCTCATAGAACGTATAGGGATCACCTTTCTGTTAGTTGGCTAGATCTCAATTACCCAGTACTGGGTTATATTACCAAACTTATTGTGTGGGTGCTAATGATACTACCCAGTTCCCCAGGCTGAAGGACTCCAACCTACGGCCCATCGGCTGAAAGTCGAGTGCGTCACATCTCCACATAGGATAATCCTATAGTGAACCTTATTTTAGAATTATAACAGGACTTATAGGAAAGTTGCGTGTGATTATTCGAAAATAAAGATAGTTATTGACTTGGCGTCACCTGAAGGGTAAATTACTTCTAGTCTCTTATTGTCATACATGATGTAGATAATGTCCACTTTGAAAGCTAGAAATCTACGCATCATATATCAGAAGGGAAAACAGAAATACCATATCCCCCCGTTTCTTACAAGACCTCACAGCTTTTAGTTTGACCCCTTGCAATGATGTGAATGAGAGCCAATGAAAAGGCCTGAATCAAGAGAAAACAGATGCCCAGTGCTTTGCTTTAAATGGTCCCTTGACAGATTTCATTTCTAAATGAAAATCCTGAATAAATCAACAAGAGCCATATGAAAATAATATCGAACTAAAATGATGAACTATGACAAGAATATTTAGAATAATAATACACTACAGAACTTAAAGGTTTAGTGGAGTGTGAAGTTAGGTATCATTATGAAATCTAAAAGTGAGACAGAAAAGAAGCCTCTTCTTACAAAAGTATACTGTGAATGAACTCACCTTGTCTGGAGCGTCCTCCTGTACGGCATGTCCAGTACGTGGAAATAATTGGACCTGGAATTTCCCTAGAGAGAAAACCAAACAAAAAAAATTTACACACTAAATAGAGGTATCCGCTTAAAAATTCGATGCAACAGTTAAATCATATTATTCCAATATGTGAAATCAATAGGTGTAATAACTGGCCTTTAAAAAGTTGAAGCCAGTAGTTTATCATGCCCGGCGTATGTATAAGCGGCCCTATCAAGTGACTTACACATTTCCTAACTACTACTACTACTAACACTGTGTATTCGCTAAGCATAAGCGATTAAGCCGACTGCTGCTCACTAGTTAGATATGTCTTTGATACCACAGATAATACTAGCAGTTTGAAATCAAACAGACGCCTTTGTATTTTGCTGACATACTGTTTGTCAACAACCACTTCCTTTATATCTCTTTTAGCTTCAGAAATAGGCGAAGTGGTCAGTGTATCTGAATATTTGCTTTGGGGTACAGTACTCTATGAGTGTAATACTAGCTATATTGATTAACTTTGAATCCAGTTTCCTGGTTGTTAATCTTAGGAATAACACCGGTAACTTCCTTCCTTGGAACCCTTCCTTCTTAAAGGCTATGAAATGTGACCATTGAAACTGGAAAATATGAAGAGGTTAGTCGCCTTTAAATATATTTGCTTGCATTCTGAATTTTTTTAGGTAGTATAACATGGTGAGTAATGTTGAGGTTAGGCGCAGTGTTAGGTAAGGAGAGAGAGAGAGTTAATCGATGAAGCTGTGAAGCTGCATCCATTGAAACGGCTGGAAGACGAGTTAAGCTCCCCAAGCTACTGTCTTTTTTCAAATGTTGGTTTGTAGGCATTTAATTGGTTACAGGATTTCATCATGAGCTGACATTGGCTAGAGAACCATTGGAAAACCTGCAGGGAGTAATAGACGTCTGTTTCGTCCTAGATTAAGACTCTTCAGCAGTGCGCACACACCGGGATTTGAACCCAGGACCTTCTGGATACCAAGTGAGCTCGTAGACCATTGAGCCACTGCGACCCGATCCAATGGTCCTTGAATTCTAACTTCTGCCAATTCACGATATATCGCGATCCCCAGCCAATGTCTTCGGCGAGTATTTCTCCTCACACCCGACCTGCTGCACCCTACTGGTCAGGACTTCTCACTAAAACCCCAGGTGACTACCTAACTAAATAATAGGGCAAGTCGCTAGTGAGCACCTCATTGATATTCAAGTGTTGGTTTGCCCCATAGCCAGGCTAGGGGTTGCGCCATGTCGTGAATTGGCAGAAGTTAGAATTCATGGGCCATTGGATCGGATCCCAGTGACTTAATGGTAAACGGGCTCGCCTTGTAATCAGAACACCCTGGGTTCAAACCCTGTCGGTGAGTGAGTGCCGATGAAGAGTCGCAAACCAGGACGAAACAGCTGTCCAGTACCCCAGGTTTTCCAATGGTTCTCTAACTAATGTCAGCTCATGATGAAATACCGTCTTTTTTGCCGAGCAATTTTATCTAATATATGATTCGGTTGGGTAAGGGTTAAGGGTGGTCAGACCAAAGCCTGATGTCAATCCACGAAGTCTTTGACAGTAGACCCGAGCAAAGTAGGAGAAGTATACATTGGCCGGCTGGAGTCTTCAAGATGATAAAAATCAACGGCTGGAGACTATTAGTGATATGGTTTAAAATTGTTCTCAATGGTGTGGATGAATTCATTTCAAGTGATAATCCATATATCCACTGCATACTCACGGTTATTTCTCCTGTATATTCGCGTTTGGTATCATTTCAATTCTTTTCTTTTCTGCTGCATTTTTATGCAAACTCCTACTTTGAAAATCCAGTCCACATAAAGTCATTTAATGATACTATCGTAAACATACGATCATAACCTCTGAAACAGATGTATACCAGCATATGCAGAACAAGATCTCATCATCCGAAACAAGAAGTCTCACGGGATTTAACGAAGAACAGTAGAAAAAATCCTACTGATTACTTGCCTATCACTTAAAACAAAGAAGAGATATTTTGAGATGAATGGTCCTAGATGTTTTTTATGTGCATTTCCTCAGCTGTTTCGAGTATTTAACTAAATGATCTGCAAATTGTCATGCTGACAATGTTCCTCTCACCATCTCTCTCTTTCTTTCATTATGTGGAATAAAAAACATCAATGATATTTGCCACAGTGTTAACATAAATTTATTAACATTAAGTGATAAAACAGACTCATCGGCTTTAACTCGAGTGCTTATTATTATTTTTCTTTCTATGGGTTCCGAGTGAAAAATAGGGTTTCAACAATACATCAGTTTGCAATTGGTGGATGGTGGCTAGCAGCGGAATCCAGGATGCGCATTTCGTCCTATTCGGGACTCGTCAGCTGGATGTACCAAATAGGACGAAATGCGCATCCTGAATTCCACTGCTAGCCACCATCCACCAATTGTATACTAATTAAATGCCCAGACATCATCGAAGCATCTGCACAAGAAGTCGACATGTCAACCTGAGACCGAGCACTTCGGTCCAATCAATCGACGGGAAAATCAAAAATTCAATTCAACAATACATCAATTTGCCCTATATGGTGCTGTCCTCTTCAGCTGGGTCCACGATTGCCCATAATCTCTCATACCCCCATTGGACAACCTACTTGTTGTTCCCCATTGGGGTTCCACTCAAGTGATGGCCTGCAATGAACGCAACGTCATTTGACGGTCTTCTCAACGTATGCCTAATCCAACTCCATTTTTTCCCTGCATATGTGTTAAACAACCGGCTTTTAGTTGCTTTGTTGCCAGCCAGAGTCCCACGTTGCTAATTTTTCCTGGCCAGTCGGCCGACCATTTAATCTTCACTATGGAGCCAGCCAGCGAAGTGGGCAGCTGTTTATAAAAGTCGGCCATAGCCTGTTGGAAATGCTTCCCGTGAGTGACACGCACGTACAGAAGAACTGACTGACTGACTTCCCATTTGTGGTGAAAATCGGAATCTTGTTCCGTATGCTGACTGAGTGGGTGCAGAAGATTTCCAAACTAGTTTCAGGTTAGTGAAGGCGTATCTTGCTTGTCCTTCCGATTCTGACTGGCTGGCTTCGACATCTTCATCTGTGCTGTCCAACTGCCTGTGGTTGAAACTGTACTTCCTAGACAAGTCAAGGAAGGAAATAACCTCTGTCGAATGTCTCCCGTTCATCGTGATCGGTGCAGGTTGTTGTTGCTGTTGCCGTTCGTTGGTTCTCTTCATCACCTTCGTCTTGCCTATGCTCATTTGCAGTCTTGTCTTTGCTGTCTACATCTTGAACTCAGTTTGTTGATTTTTGCCAGCAAGTCTTCAAATTTATGTGACATTGAACATAAATCATCCACGCGCGAAATCCAGATCTCCTATAGTCATCTTATCGGTCCAACTTATTCCTGTCTTCTCACTTACAAGAAACAGTCTGACGCATAATCCAGTCCACCATAATTATGAATATCATCGGGGATAATAGACAGACAGCCTTGTCTTACTCCTGCATTCACTTCGAACGGTATTCGAATTTCAGTTTAAGAAGTGAGGCAAGGTGAGATCAACAGTAATATATGTATATATATACATAAACTCAAATACTGAAAAGAACAGGAAAACGAACCTAGTAAAAAGACAATAGGAAGAAGAAGAAGAAAGAAAGGAAAAAAGAAAAACGGGTGTATTATTATTATCATTATTCCATAGCATACCTTGCATTTGTCCAATCATTAGATCTTTATCTAATCGATCAGCATCAGCTAATAAAAGTAATTTTGGCTCAGGTATTGACAAAAACAATTTCGACAGACCAGAAAACCATTCTTGCCAGAAAGGCTGGGTTTTCATCAAGTCTATACGCCAGGTATACTGTGAACGATTCGATTGAGATGATACTGATGAAGTAGCCAGTGGAGCGTGAGAAGGAGTAGAATAGGAAGAGGCATCATTGTTATTATTATTATTACTGCTATCATTATCATTATTTATAGGATGATGAGATTCGCCACCAGTTGCTTTTGATATGTTGGATGAAAGTGATGCGTGATTCTGTTTTTCTGATTGTAAGCTGTCATCAATATTCGCATGTTTAGGAAGCTATTGACAAAAAAAACACATTCGAAACGAAAACAAAAGAAAATGCGATTAGTAGAAGTACATTACATTAATGCATAAAAGTGTTCTCTAAATGTAAAGAAACAATAGTTATAAAGTAAGAGTAGAATTTGAGTAATGTAACAGAATATAAATCCAGATTAGATAAGTTTATTTGTTACAAAGGAAGACAGTATTATTAACTGGATCAGTCACGTTTTGAGCGTGATTTATTGCATATATATATACTTACTTTGCTTCGGCTATCTCCTACGGGAGGATGAGCCGGCTTCATGAACATCTCGAATCATCGCTGCCCAGGCGCGGCGATCTGATGCAAGGTTTTGCGACAGGGTTATCCAATTCTTGTTCCACAGACGGAGTCCGTAGACGGTTTGTAGCCCCAGGCACTCCATATCAGCCTTGACTGTACCAAGCCATGTTTTCAGCTGTCCACCCTGCGACATCGCCAAGATGGTAATGGCGAGGGATTTAGAACTGATTTGACCAGATCGTCATCTGGTCGGCGCAGAACATGGCCAAACCACCGAAGGCGGCGTTGTTGGACCAGTACTGGAATTTGGTTGATGTTGTAGCAACGACGACGCACTTCTTCGTTGGAGAGTTTGTCCTGCCAACGAACATGCAGAATGTACCTGAGGCACCAATGGTCTACTACCTCGAGTCTGCGTAAATCTTCCGCGCGAAGAGGCCAGGTTTCACAGCCATACAGGAGAACGGGTCGTATGGAGCTTGGTAGACCCGAATTTTAGTCCTGAGACTGATTTCTCTCTTGCTCCATAGAACGCTCCTCAGCTGTAGAAACGCATTCCGGGCGTTGGAGATTCGCGCATTCACTTCGTTTTTCGCTTGGCCGTTGGGGAGCATTATGGATCCCAGATATCTGAAGGATGGCACAATTTCAATAGGTGCTCCATTTAGGATAAGATTTCATCATTGCTGGTGGATGTGTTCGAAAACATTTTGGTTTTGGAAGTGTTAATTTTCAAACCGATAGTAGGCGCGAGGTGGTTTATCTGGTCGAGCGCCTGTTGCATATCGGGGAAGTTTTCAGCTAATAACACGACGTCGTCGGCGAATTCGAGGTCGGTTATGTGAATATCGGGCGAAAGTTGGACGCCGTGGTGCTCGGTTAGGGCGTGCCGCAAAATCCAATCAACTGTGAAATTGAACAGGATGGGGGATGCTGGACAACCTTGCCGGACACCGCTGGTTACCTCAAAAGTGCGGACTCTTCACCGTTCACTCGGACTCGAGCTTTGGTGTTGGAGTAGTATGACCTGAGCAGGTTGATTAGCTTGGTCGGAACTCCGTCGAGCTCCATTAGATACCAGAGTGCTCCTCGATCAACTGAGTCGAATGCCGCTTGGAAGTCGATGAAGCAAGCAACCGTCGGCTGTTGGAATTTGTCCCTGTGTTCCAAAATTCTTCGCAGTGTGAATAATTGATCAACACAGCCTCTTCCAGGTCGAAATCCGGCTTGATTTGGCCTTGTTCGCACGTGGCGTTCGGCCGCGAAGCGGTTCAGGAGAATGGAAACAAAAACCTTAGCAGCGATATCAATCAGACTTATGCCTCGGTAGTTCTCGCATAGTGACCTGTCTCCCTTTTTGTGGAACGGTAGCAGAACTGAGGTGCTCCAATCGGAAGGAATGGTTTCGGACTCCCAAATTGAGCAGAACAGCGAGTGCAGCATCGATTAGCGCTGGAGTGCAGGCCTTGTATATTTCTGGGGTAGACCATCTTCGCCCGGAGCTTTTTTGTTTCTGAGTCTGTTAATTGTTTTAGCTATTTCGGTTGGAGTGGGTGGATCGCAGTCAACTACGTAGGGTGTTGGTAAGTGTCGTATCGGTCGATGAGACGGTTGACCAGCGTTGCGATTGAGTAGCTGCTTGAAATGTTCGGCCCATCGTTCCATCTTACCATTGGTGTCCGAAATAATTTCTCCTGATGCTGTGCGTAACACAGCATGACTGTTAAGGCGTTTGCCAGATGAAGGCGTATGAGGCGATAAAGTTTTCCGAAATCGCCTACATTTGATGCTGCTTCCATGTTAGTCGCCACATTAGACCAATAGCGATTTCTGTCATTCCTAGCAGACTGTGTAGCTTTGCGCCTGAGGGAGCGATAAACTGGAGACTTTGCTAGGCGAGCGTCTCTGGCTTGCGAGGATAGAGCATGGTGTGCTCTGAAATCCAGTCTTTCTGCTTCTTGGATGTGGTACCCAAATGCGACATTGAAGCTTTAGAGACTACTTCTTTGAAATGATTCCATCGTGTCTCAGGTGTATTAGAAGATGTGGATGTTGGTTCATCTGCGGTGCTTAGTTCGGCCTGGATTTGTTTGGACAAGGCTTGTCGCTTTGTCGAACATTGAAGCGGGGCAACATTGATACGCTTCGGAGGTCGCGCCTTCTGGCGTGTTGTTAAACGAAGTTTGAATTTCGCCCGAACTAGAGTATGGTCTGATCCCCCTTTATTTCCGGCCTCTGCGCCACGATAGGATCGACAGTCTTCCACCGAGGAGATCCAGCGTGAGCGCACTAGGATGTAGTCGATCTGATGTGCAGTGCGACCGTCGTTCGAATACCAGGTGAGAAGATGTTTTCTAGGGTGTTGAAATCGAGTGTTGGTGATATATAATCGATTGTAATCAGAAAAAGCTAAAAGTCTATCACCATTACGGCAGCGCTGATCGAGACCGTGTTTGCCTAGTATATGTTTTGTCGCGTCGTCTGAAGGGCCAGTGCGGGCGTTCCAATCGCCGGCTACTATGAGAACGTCACGCTTTGGGATTTTGTTGATTGCCTCTTGAAGATTGTCATAAAATTCGTCTTTGATACTTTCATCAGAGTCGAGGGTTGGGGCATAGACAGCGAGAACAGAAATGTCGAGCGGGGAACCCTTGAACCTAGCGATTGCAACTCTGGAGTTGACCGGTTCGAATGATATTAGGGCATTATTGGCTTTGTTACTGAGAGCAAATGCTACCCCATGTTGTCCCGAATTATTCTGGGGTCCACTATGAAGCAACCAGAATGAAGAATCTGTTCCAGGTACGGCTATTCGGCGGGAGCCATGATCGGGTAACCTCACTTCAGATAGACACGCTATGTTCACCTTGTAGTCGTATAAAGAACGCATGGTGATAGACTGGCTACCAGGATCCAACAGCGTCCTAACATTCCAGCAGCCAACAAATAGTTGGTTTCTAAGTGTTAATTTCCCAGCTGCTTACTTTTCACACTGGCCACCGGGTGAGCACAGGGCGCGTCGCTTACCGGGAACGCCGTAGCATGGTGAGAGTTGTTTGTAGAGAGTTCATGAAGTTTCATGGGAATTTGGTACGAGTGATGTCCCCAGCATCGCTCGGCCTTTTGTTTGAGAGTGCAGCTCTAGCCTTTACACAACCAAGTGTGACCTACAAGGCAGTAGGAGTGGAGTAGGAGTCCACTATCCATTGGCAGCCGGTGACCGGAGTTCGGTTCATACGCCTTTTTGAATGGGGCCAGACATCCAGGACATCCAACAAGCCCTTTGTCCATACGTCTGCCGGTGAGCTCCAGTGAGCTTCATACGCCAGTCGTTGGAGGTTTGGAATCAGGGTTTAGCCATCTCCCCTAGACTGTCATCCAATGGACAGTCAACCCGGTGAGAGCGCCGGGCATCCGCTTTTGCCCTCTCACTTCAGTGAAAAACACCTCCGCCACGTGAAGGCAGTGAGTAGGACTTCCTCAGGAGAGGCTATGTAAGACGCCCGGTCATATGGGAGCATTTCAAGAGGTGTACAGAGGGGTGGTCAACCAGCAGCCCAAGGCACCCACCCCCGACCATCCTGAGGCTTTGGAGGCTCATATATATTCATATCAATGTACTCAACAAAACTTGTTAACTTGCTTTATACAGCATTACCCCATGATTTTGTTTATAGGAATTCATCATGAGCTGATATCGGTTAGAGAGCCATCGGGAAACCTGCAGGGAGTACTGGACAGCTGTTTTGTCCTGGTTTGGGACTTTTCATCAGTACGCACCCACCGAGGTTTGGTAGCAGTTCTTCAAATATCCCGTATATGCGTTGTGTCATCTAGATTGCGTGTTGAATCGATCAACATAGATTCTTCTTCTTTGTATAGCTGAAGCTCTGGCCATTCACATAGCAAAACCGGAGCTGGGCTCAACCACTTCTGCTGTCATGGTAACAACTTTGTTGATTTCTGATGGCTTCATTTTGTTCGTTTGCCTATTCTTTAATTGCTTAGAATTCTTGTATTCATTTAGGACTGTTATATAATTTCGTATTCTCTTCTTTGTTCTTATGTGTATCCTGAGTAAAACTCACTCATCAAACTATTCATATTATTACATAACTTTTTTTTAACAACTGCTTATGACAACTCATCACCTTTGTTACTACACTAATTCCATTAACACCTAATTTTTTTGACTGATTTTGTATTACGTCACTCCAACAACCAATCTTTGCCTGTTTAGTTAAAATAACCATAACCAATTGTATTTTTGTTTGACAAACTTAATGTACACATACACACAGAATAACTCAGATATATTTGAGATTGTACAGCTAAGAAAATGAATTCGCCGGCGAAAAGAGACTCTTCACTGAACATAGATTAGGTGATTAACCTCTCTCTCCGCCTAACTATATTACTTCGTGATACTCTTACCCTATCCTACCATCCTATTGTGTGATTACATACAGGTAAATGCAATACACCTTACCTTGGTTTTTTAAACTCATAGAGACCGGGGTCGATTAGACTATCAGAACATAGATCCAGAATGATTAACGCCGCTAAGCTAAATGATTTAGAAAAAAGTTCAGCCACTGCAGTGCATTCATTTGCATGTAATTACACAAAAGGATGGTAGGACAGTATGGGTAAAAGCATCAGGAAGCGATATGGTGAAGTGGAGAGGAAGAGAGGTTAATCACCGGATCTTAGTTCAAAAACCAACATCAAACACGCGCACTAGGAGAGATAGATGAAAAATTCCAACAAACAACAAGGGGGATATATATATATATATATATAAAGCGAATTATGAAGCCATGATGTTGAATATGTGAGCAATTAATTGCGCTCAAAACGTGATCCAGATGTTAATAGTGTATCAATGTGAGTTAAGTCACAGAAACTTATCGAATATGGAACAATTATAAAGGGTTTTACAGATAAGGTTATTTAATAACACATTACAGCTAGTTAAAGTATGTTGGTTTTAAACATTCATCTAAGAAAGGTAATAAGGTTTTCATGTACGCTGTTAACTTAAAGCTTGCCTGATATACATGTTCTTAATGTAAACGTTTATTTCATACATCCGGTTCCCTTAATCTGTTTGAATAAACAGTATCGGCAAAGTGTTTAATTATCGCAATCCTTATAGAGCCAATGCTACCGTTTTGCAGTCATGTAGGATAGTGTTCTTGAACCCTTTTAGACAGGATACAAGTCGAATGACCAAAGTTCAGTCAGGACTGCATGAGAGCAGCAACAGTGTTTGATGAACTGAATCCTGTTGCTACTACTTGACTGGTGAAAAACCATATATTAATGTAGAGCCAGCCGATGATGAGGAACTAATTGAAAGGGGATATATTTCTTCGTTAAATCTGTTGTTGATTTTTTCTAAATGCGTAAATGGGAATTTGGAAATTCCGCCGATTTGCTATATGTTGCGCAACCGCAACTGCTTTGCATTACAACCTTAAGATCCTGGGTTTAATCCGTGGTGGGGTCATAACTGCTTTCTGTCGAACAGTCCTAAAGTGGGAGGAAACACCTGTTCATTACCTCATGGTCCCCAGTAGTTTTCTAACTGAAGCCAGTCTGCGATCAATTATGATACAGATCACATTAAAAAAGAAGTTCCAATCTGCGAACAGAGTATCCAAATATGCAATAACATCTATGCGAAAGCCAACCAATATGGCAAGAACCAGGAAAATCGCGAAAATGATATTCTCACAATAACGCGGAATGAAATCAAACAATCTGGCGAACCAGAGAATTATTGTTATTAATTATATCCTAGAAGGAACATAGGGCTTCAGCTGCGCATCTCCATTGCCTTCGGCTTTCTGCCAACTTTTTCACCCCACTCCAAGTCTGCCCACAAGCTTTCATCTCCTCTTCACACGACCTCCTTCAAGTCACCCTTGGACGATCAACCCGCCGCTTCTCTTCCGGGTTCCACCCGAATTAGTAATTAGAATTAGAGGGAAACAAAAAGCCGTTTGTAAAACCTAACCCTTTTGAACCATCATTAAAGCACAAGTACATCATCTATACTTTAGAATTTACTACCGCTCGGCTTTTCATGCAGTTGGCAATGTACCACACCAATTATGTGGGGGTTTGTGTTACTCAGTGAATGGAGACGGGTTCGAACCCGTGACCGAGTGTGTTTGGAAGCCAAGCGCTTAGACCAGTGGAGCCACAGGTTCACTAATATTGGTATGAAAGAGAAATGAGACTTTTTTGAGTTTAAAAGATGGTCGATAAGACGGTTAACAATAATACTGAGAATAAACTATATAACTGAAAAAAACTTACTTCCGATGAATTGTGATTATGTTCTGATGCATTTTGTGAACCAGTAACATCGGTAGAAACTTCAAAATTCTCACATTCATCTCCCTCTTCATCAGATTCAGAATTTTCAACTAATGGTTGGCTTGACAGTCGACTGACAGAAGAAACTTGACTGTCTGACACTGAATTTACAGGCATAGAAGTAACATTTTCTGAAATGAATGCAATTCCCTCGTCTAATTCACTAGTGGCAGTTTGACCGCTTGAAATGCGTTTCAATTGTCCAGGGAAAGATACACGAGCTGAATTTACATTACGAATTTGCATGCTTCGAACACTATCAAAATAAATATGTATATACGGTGGTAGTTATTTTTAAAAGGTATTTGAAGTATAAGAGACTAGAAAATATTTAAGGGTTTCTCCTAAAGCATTTACAAACTAATTAATGAAAGTAGGGAAATAAAAAGTTACATTAATTCGATTAGTCTACACGTTTTAAAGAAGTCCTTCAAACAAGGTGTGTCTGTCTGATACTTCAAAAAGTGTATGATAATTTTATGACATTGGGCATTTAGACCCAGAACTGTTGGCATTAGAAATGAAGCCGCACTGAATAAACTCACTCGTATAAACACTCGTCTGTAAGCTGTGCGGTATTACAGTGTTAATTAAAATGGGCAGAAACTGACAAAAGAAATGAAAATTCATCAAAAACCCTGACCATTTAGCAATATATTACAACCTCGGATACATATTAAGATGAATTTTACTGCCACACGATGCTTGCTGCATTACTAGCTGAGAGCTTTAATTTCCAAAATTAAAGAAAAGCTTCAGTGGAACATCATTCAGGTAGTCTTCAAGAGATATTTCACCACATATTCGATGAGACAGAATGTTACGCAATGCCTTACACGCACAGACCACCACCGGTTTCCAACCGGCTGCAAAGTGAAACATCAGCGTCGTTGACGAACCACTGAAGTACTACCCCCTTGCGGAACTAAAAGTTATTATGAAGAACGTAATGACAGTTAAACTATGGTTTAAGTATGCATGAAAAAATATCATTCATTTAGCTAAAGATAGATCATATTAGATGGTTGGACACTATCCAATCAAAGTATACAATACGATGCTACAGCAGGTCAGTTGCGAGCCCGGATAGCTCAGTGGTAACGTCTCTCTATCTCTGACTGCAGCATTCACTGGGTGACGCGGGTTCGAATCTCAGAAGGGACATGAGTTCCTTCAAGATTGTAGATACGCCTGCCTATCTGACTGACGAGTCCCAACAGACCCGAAACTTAGGTCCAAGGCTCCCTACCGATCGCTTCCAATCACCTAATATCATTAAATCAATGTGAACCGTGATGGCTAGCGAGCTACCTAGAATGGTGGCCACCTTGCAAACCTGAGTGGTAGAATTCAGTTTGCATCAGACATAGGACTAGATACATCACACTAGTTACTGACTAGTGTCCAATCAAAGTAAAGATAGATAATGATAACAGTTAGAAAGACAGTTATAAAAGAAGACTTTCAGTCGGAAGTCTCAAATGACTTGATAGGCTAATTTGAAACTATCATCGGGCAAACAGAAGTGTTACTGGATGTTTTACTAAGCATGATTAAAAACACACTGCTATTGGAATAAGTAAATAAATAAATATGGTTTTTGTGTGAAACACCTGTGGTTGATTTGTACAGGATATTTTTTTAAAATTCCATCGGTACACTATTATGTAAGTCTTATACACAACTGTATTTCAAGCCTCCAGAAATAATATTGGTTAGACTGATTTCTTTGAAAAAGAGTTACAGTAATGCTATCTTCGTTTTTTTCTCTCTCATAAAATGCAACAATCACCCATAGTATCTAGAGCGATTCCATATGATCTCTATACCTCAATCGCTCTATTAGAGTTAATCTGATTGGTGGTTTTAAAATACACTGATAAATATCTTGAAGTAGATTGTTTAAACTAACCCGAGACAATTAGAATTTATAGCTTCCTCGACAAACTTATTTATTTATCTTATCTAAGAACCATATCCTAACTTTGTTCACAAAGGGGTCTTACCAAATGTGAGTAATACTAATAAAGCAACGATGTTAAAATTTGCACAGACATTACTGTTACCACTTTCTAACATTGATCAATTATTGCCTATCAATTCGTCAAAGTGTATGATGTCTGTGTTTAGATCATATTACATCAGCTCCAACGAGTTGATCGCTGACAAAATCTCAGCAGGGATACAGAAGGCTAGTTTCGCATATGCCAGTTTACGCTGTCTCTGGCGTAGACGTGATATCCGGCTATCGACGAAAAGGCGTGTGTACTGCTCATCAGTCCGTTCCATCCTCCTTCATGGCTGGCTGTGAGACATGGCCATTGAAAGTGGATGATACGGAAAGGCTAGCTGACTTAATGGTCTACGAACTAGCTCGCCTTGTAATCAGAAAGTCCTGGGTTCGAACCCCACAGTGCGGGTGCGTACTGAAGAAGAGTCCCAAGGCTAGGACGAAACACCTGTTCAGTACTCCCTGCAGATTTTTCAATGGTTCTCGAACCGATGTCAGCTCATGATGGAATCCTGTAACTAAATGCACTTAGTAACTCATACTGAAAAAGTTTAAAAGCCTATAACTATGTTGTATTGTGACTTGAATAAATCATCAAATGAACTCATGTGGATAGCATCATGCATACAATAGTGAAAAGTGTATCTTTATATGATTATAAGAATACTCTGAGAAATAGGAAGAACATCCACAAATACCATCTTTTAAAAATAAAAAGTAATTATAAATTAATCGTCAAACAGTATTCAACTGACCTCCATTCAATTGCTTGGGGTAATGAACGAAAACTTTGAGGACGACTACTTAGGAAGGCTGTCATACCTCGTAAAGAGCTCAAAGCAGTGCCTAAGTAAAAAACGATAAAGTATAATCACATCTAATACACAGGAGACTTTCAAATTTAATGGCTAACTGAAAATACTAAAAACTATGTAACACCTAAGCTCTTTAGCTTTTAAATCTCAGTTCAAATATAAGTTTTAAGATATTCAATAAGTGAGTCGGCAAAAAAGATTAGAGTATATATACAAACCTCATTATAAACCAGTAATGACATCAACGACAAGTGTAATTCAGTAAATTGTTATAAACACATACACAGGATACTTAACGAGGCGGATAAACAGAACTACAGACACACTACAGTTGCATACCAATAAAAATTACAGCCTAAATTAGATATTTGCTTTCAACTTCCGGCTAAGATTCAAATTTGAAACCAAGAAAAGTAGTAGGATCTGTTTGTTTTACTTTATGTGTTTCAAAGAATAGCAGTGCAAAATTAATGATTAGATTAGCGACTTTATAGGAATCCAAAATGGCAATATCATATTAGGGTAAATCATCAGTTTCCCTCCAGTTTACCAAGGATGGATAACTAGAGCAAGAAATCAGCTTGACTGTCATAGTATTCAAGGTTTAAAAGCTGTCTGATGACTATGTGACGCTTGTGTTTTAGGTTACAACGAGATTGCATGTATATCAAATTTGTACTCCTTGACAGAATGTGGAACACAGATTAAATTACAGTTATTTGATACTTGATATATTCTGCAGCCAATTAATTCCGACGATTGAGACACATTGTGATTATACCTAACCATAAGGGGAATGAATGCTCAGAAAGTATGTTAATTTTAATGTAAACTTACTGATGGATGTGAATCCGCCACTGGAATTGACTTACCATCAGAGGAAAAGCTGACCAGCTTAACTTATTCAGAAGGTATAATTCTCTTAGTTGAGGATACGGGACAAAATGCAATTTTTCAAGTTACCTAAGCAAAACCATAAACACGTTCGGTATACACTTCATCCCTATAAATGTAAAAGAAGTGCTGCTATGCAGCGACTTACAGTTTAAGTCTAGGAAGAGAGGTGAAATGGTAGTTTTTGGTTAACCACTGACGGAAAAAGGACCTCCATTCAACTGCTCAAACAACAGTAAACACAATGTTAGATGATACATGCGTTAATAAACGAGGCTGTGAAGCTTTGCTGATTAAGGTTACTGGGAGACGTGTTAAGTATCATGGGTCACCACCTTCCTTGACAAACAGTCTCAAGATTCTGTTGGAAAGGAGATAAGAGTGATAGGATCATATATCGATACATCTGTTTGACAAATCAAACATACAGCGGGGTTTTAATGATAATGAAAAAAGAGATTTTTTAAACTACGTATACACCACTTTAAAGGATAATGTTTTACCTTCAACAACATCAATAACAACAATACCAGCCAATGAAGGGATTGTTCGTTTACACGCCACATGTACAGCTACGGCTCCACCCATACTAAAGTAAAAGAAAATAAATTGGTTATAAAATTGTGTTACAAAAACAAAACATTCCTAAGAAATGCCACTTCACTGAAAAGATTACTCTGTTAGCTCAAATATAACTCCCTTCCCCTCATATTATTCTCTACAACCTTTACATAATTTCAGCCTAAAATTAGACCACTTTAACTTCTTATCCTTTCTCTGCTCAAAACCATTTAAAAAATATATTCGCCATATCTGTTTTGCGGAGAAACTACTAACACCTACTAGCTTTTAATAATCTCCTCTATTAAAGGTAGTCAAAGGCCTGAAAATAAAACTTCACAACATATGGAAAACGATGATAGCTTTCATTTAAATCAGTAGCATTGTCTAACACTTACTCAGTCTCTGAATAAATAAGCATAAAAAAATTCAAGATAGAAAAACTTTTTGATATATTCACTTGAACGAATGATTGGTGGGTGTCCAAATATACACTGGAAGTCTTCGTAACGAACATGAATAGTGGTAGGGAGCAAAAACCAAAGAGACAGAATAGGCATCGGTGGTAGATAACACCAGACATCTATCTAGACTTATTAGGAAAACCGGTTGTGAAACAACCAATGGTAAGAGAAATAATTTTTAATAAGGAAGGTGCTTTAATTACATTTCAGGATAAACGAGGCTGGAAGGCTGAGGGAAGCACTTTGGGCAGTTTAACTAGCCTCTAACCACCCTAAATTTGCCCAGTATCCAATAACCACCTGGATAGAATATAGATGTTCCTGCAACTACAACTGAGATTGCCAACGCTGTCTCCAATCCGAAACGAGGAAAACCAGCGGAACCTGGTAGCATGAAAAAAAACGTATTTAAGGATGGCTTTGATAGGTTATTATAAGATTTAACTAAGGTATTGTATTGTGTAACGTGTGGGAATCCAAGGTAGTCAGTTGGACTGGTGCAAATCACTGATTACCCCAGTTTATAAGAAGACAGATGTCTTCCCGTGATAACCATAAGGACATTAGCCTGAATAACATAGTATACAAAATCCTGGGTTCAATAATCATGCGGAGATTAAACGGTGCTGGAGAAAACCAGAAATACTTTAGGCCAAGAAGAGGATGTATTGATCACATCTTCACCAGCATACTTCCCGGCGTACAGTAACTGCCATATTTCTTCACCTGAAGGTAGCATCTGACTTAGTTGACCAAGAGGTTCTGTGGCAATGTCTAGCGGTGAAGACATTACTGGAAAAGTAAGTCGCGCTAATCAAGACACTCTACTGTCACCCACGCAGCTGTGTAAGAGCTCATGGACAGTTGTCATCTGAAGTGATGACTAATAAACATACTGCATGTACTAACAGACATGGGTTCAATCGATTATGAGGGAGTGAGTTATTACCAGATAACAGTCTTGTCGACTTAGATTATGCGGATGATACTATCCTTTTATGTGAAGACGCTGGCGAAATAGCCTTCTAAATATCTTGAGCAGAAATCTTTGTATGTTTAGCAAGAGATCTACCACTGTCAAATGTAAGATGATGCTAAAAGACTGGTCTGAACCGACTTCTAGTTTATGGTGAAATGGTCGGGCCCGTTGATTACTTCACTTGCTTGGGAACTTGAATTAACCGTAATGAGATGATTACTAACGAAATGTCATCACGAACAACAAAAGCTCGTGTGACAATTGCTGAATCACGGTATCTCTCCGGCTATCCATCAAAGGACGTATGTGTACTGAGCAGCAGTTCGCTCTACCCTTCTTTATGACCTGAAGAGGCAAGCTCACACGTGTTACGAATGCCGAGTAGCAGCCTTTCTCAACGAACAACGTTAGATTGTGGACAATTAGGTTGGAAAAGAGTGAGGGATGGTCTAACCAAAACCAGGTTTTAATCCATGAAGCTTTTTACTGTTGGCTTGAACCACATAGGGAGACGTAGGCTGCTTACCTGGGGCACTCGAAACTCTAAGAACCAAGGTTGATGACTGCTGCTGACATGAACTGAAGTCATTTTGAATCGGACAGATGCATTAACTCTTTGAGAACTCCCAGATCCGTCAAATTCTCATTGTCCTCCATGGACATAATGTTTCATCTATAAATTTCAGTTTACTTTAGTTTAATTGAATAATTCCTGTAATTTTCTGTGTTTAATTAGGTATAGCAACTTGGACTGCTGATCTTTTCTACATCACCCATATATAATATATAAATTTTAGCACTAGTGTGATGAATACATGAAGACTGGATGGACATAAAATAGAAAGTTAGGGATCTAATTCACCAAATTATGTGTCAGTTTCAGCTCACTAAAGAATCGTCTTGCACAATTCATTGACCAAAAATAAGTTTTTATCACTGATATTTAGCTATAAGGTCAATTATACTGCTTCCATGTAGAGGTCTTACCTTTTTAGTCATTCAAAAAAAATACAGGCAGTATACGATAATATGCTACAACGAAAATAATTCATTTCGAAAATTTTCATTCATTTACGTTCCCAGTAAAACCATAGGGCTTCAAGCTAGAGGCTTGAAGTTTCGGTAGCAGTGGTGTTTATTTTTACTGGATGGAGTTGCTAGACTCATGCCCAACCTTCCGTCTTCACCACCTTAGAGAGGTAAAGGAGTGTGTCAGCCGGAGATTGAACTCCGAACGACGTGCGTGGTTGGCAAGCATTCTACCGCTGTGCCACCGACAATTTTGAAAATAAAACCTCGAAAACGCCATTCGCTAATCCAAGGAGAAGATCCAGACAAACAGAAATTTATTTGATGAAAGCTGAAATTCTGAAAGATAGTTGCCACTTGGCATGGTAACCACGACTATATATCGTAATAACCCAATAACATACACTGGCTCGACGGAGGGATTGTGCACAAACGTCAAACGGATAGTGGCTGGACCAAATGCAGTTACCATCATAGTGTAACTTGCCTGAACTACCAAAAGAGTATGAGGACGAAGTCATACGGTCACAGGGAAAGATGTATGGTAGAGGTATGATGTTTCCGTAACATGACCAGCAAAACCATTTAAGATGTTTCCTACTACATCAAACGAGAGCTCAAAGGAGACCAGTTCGAAAACTGTACACACTAACCTACTGAGCAACAAAAACAGCAGTTGAATAGAAGCTACAATACACCCAAAAAAAGAATAAAGAGAAGTGCCAGGGAAGACAAAAGACAACATTATGAAGCTATGACAAGTGTAGCAGAACAAGCTGCAGGCAAAGGACACCTCGCAACACTCTACCGAACAACTAGGTTCCTATCGGGGAAGAGATCAACACAAATTAAGCCAGTGAAGGATGGCAATGGAAAGTCAATCACCAAAGAGGTGGGGCAAAGGAAACACTGGGTTGAACACTTCAAAAGACTTCTTAATCGACCACCAATTACAATGTGGCCAATAATACCAACAGAGGAAGCAGAACTACCAGTGGATACCAACTCTCCAACGAAAGCAGTAGTCCTGAAGGCCATAAAAATGCTAAAAACTGGAAAAGTAATACGACCAGACGGAATCCTTGCAGAAGCATTGAAAATGGACTCAGAGGCATCAATGGACTCGATGACACCACTACTGAATAAGGTGTGGAAGGAGGGCAAGGTACCTCCAGATTGGAAGGAAGGCTACTTATTCAAGTTACCGAAGAAAGGAAATGCAAGAATTGGTGCGACATTATTCTCCTGTCTATTCCAAGCAAAATACTAAGGCGCATTATCCTGGAGAATCAAATACGCCCTGGATGAAAAACTTCAAACCGAACAGGCTGAATTCCGGAGAAGAAAGTCATGCATCAATTAAATCGCAATACTACGGATCATCACTGAACAGAGCTTGGAATGGTAGTCAGCTCTCTAACTCAATTTCATCGGCTTTGATGAAAAGACCTTCGACAGGCTCGATCAAGAGGGGGTTTGGAAACTACTTCACTACTACGGGGTGTCACTAACAATTGCATACCTCATCCAGCAGCTGTACGATAATGCTGCATACCAAGTAATCCACAATGGCAAACTCACGGAATCCTTCGAAGTGAAGACGGGAGTAAGACAAGGCTGCCTACTATCTCCAATGATTTTCCTGATTGCGGTAGACTGGATAATGCGACAGAGAGCGGGCAACGAGAAGACAGGCATAAAATGGGACCACACATAGAACTTAGAAGATCTGGACTTCGCCGATGATATATGTCTAATTTCCCGCAAACTGGAAGATATGCAAGTGAAAAGCAACAAGTTGGCAGAAGCATCAAAGATAGGACTTCACTCCAGTTGAACATAGAGAAAACAGAGGTGATGAGCATTCCTGGCCAACAGCAACAACAGCAGACAACAACGAGCGTAAATGGGAGAAACCTCAAAAAAGCAACTTCCTTCACCCACCTGGGAAGTATCGTTTCAAATACAGTCGGAACTGATGAGGATATCAAAGCGAGGATAGAGAAAGCAAAGCAAGCTTTTATTACTCTCAAGTCTGTGTGGTGGTGAACAGTACTCAGCATGAAGAATAAGATCCGGATTTTCAACTCCAATATGAAGCCAGTGCTATTTACCATACGGATCAGACCACGCGTCATGAAGAGTACCTCAAACAAACTACAGACCTTCATCAACAGCTGTCTTCGCTCAATACTACTCAAGATCAAATGGCCAGAAGAGATCAGCAACAGGGATCTCTGGCAACGAACCAACCCAGCAGGAACCAATTGTGCAACAGATGAGCAGGAAGAAATGGAGGTGGATTGGCCATATACTGAGAAAACAAACCATCGAGTGACATCACACTCCAGGCCACTGATCGAGTGGAATCTGAACGGGAAGCGGCGAGTTGGTCATCCGAGGATGACATGGAAGAGGTCATTCAAAAAGGAGATAAAAGCATGTTATCTGTATTTACCAACAGTGGCAGTGACTTAGGATTTGCGAACATCATTTCTGGTCTCTAAAAGAAGCATAATACCAATTCCTAATTTCTGTCTTTGAGTCAAGTCAGACAACAGGTCTTATCAAGAAAAACTGACATTAGAAGCTACAAATGTGTATTGTATCACTTAATCCTACCTGGCTAAAATGATGGATCTTCATCTTATTACAGTGAGGTGATTTTATGACTTTTGGGTACTTAATGGTGTCAGGATAGCACTAATGTCCACAGAACACAACCCATCGTCCCACTAGTTCATGCGGAGCAGTAAGTTAAGTGCACTCCAACTGAAGAATAAGAAACGCACTTATTCTCCTACAGACTGCAGCTAGTACGAAGTAAAGGCTGAACTTAATCAGAGGCTATCCAACTCAATGAATACAATAGAACACTCCAAAACAGTCAGATTAGCAAATGATTTCAATACTCAGTTACGGAAGTCGAACTACTCGTAATGTTATCACAGACGAGTCCAGCACCTAACTATATGTAAAGAAAACATGATACACTGAGACAAGAAAAGTCACTCATCATCCCACATGTTCTCGTTTATTCCGCGCATGAACTTATCGTCACAATACTATTCTGCCTGAAATTTGTCTTCAAACAACAGAAACTGAAATGGAGTCAAAAAAAAGACTAAATATGCTTGATTAGAAAGAAAAAGAGAACCATAGGAAGTCAAACTGAGAGGATATGAGTTACTAACTCTGGTGTCTCCTCATTTGCGGATAAATCTTTCGCCCTTTACTAAAGATTTCCGTGGGGAGGCACAATACAATTAGTCTTGTATCATTTTTTTCAGCTCTGTCTTCGGACGGAGTATTTTAGGCGTCGGTGGCATAGTGGTTAGGACTCTCGCCGACCATGCACATGGTCCGGAGTTCGAGCACACGCCGACGCACACCTGATATCTATGGTCGCCCTGCGAATTTTGGGCTACCGATATCCACGCTGAAAATTCCATACTTGTACCAAAAATACAGTGTGGAATCAAGCTGTAATCAAAAATAAAAAAAATAAAAATAAATAATCCCAACAAGCTACAAGGGTAAAAAAACAGTTGCAGTAACGAGTTTTATGCACTGCACAAAATCACATACCTATGACCAACAAGGATTATTGGTGGGGCCTCCATGGGGTACATAGCAAAAATGATTTTAATGATGTCCCTTAAGATGATTATACAACAATAAAAGACGGTACTTTGACAATGTATCGACAGAAAAATCATCATCATTTAAACACCTTGTATCACCATGTCCCCTCATATCAACAGCCAAACACTGACATTTTACTTGCTCAGTTATAAGGACCTAAAAGAAGAAAATGATTAAACATTGAAAATAATTACACTCAAGACGGCCCATGTTAGTGCTGAAAACCCACCACCATGCAAGAAAAATAACAGAGGACCCTCAACGCCTCGTCGATAGATGCGAAATGTCTGAGAATACAATGAAGTCGAAAAAACAGTCTTACTCCACCTTCAAGTTCTATGTCATCTCGTATATTAAAGTATTCACTCCACTTCACAGGATCAAACGACACATTCTCTTGATTGCTAAAGAAGAAGAAAAAACAGTGTTTTTACATTTTGACCGTCAAACATGTACTCCTTGACATTTTAAAACATCATAAATTTGATGGAACTTATCGTCCACATATAGCCAGGGCTTACCTTGACATTTTGTAAATCCCGCTCCAGAGTGACAACAGAAAACTTAGGTCACTGAATTTAAAAATCCTATATAATTTATGATGATCAACTATTTATTATTCGAAAATTTGCATTTTGAAGGCTCTTCTTGTTTTAACGATTAGCTTTCTGGAAACCAAACAACTGTTGTATTAGTTGTCGCGCAGATGCTCTCTGCACGTATTGCTTTACGTTTCATTTCAACATCATTTGCGCGAGTAACAGATCGTCTCGCTTCAAATTCTATTCGTAATTCATCTACCTTCAAGGTATTCTTATGAAATTAAATCTGCAGTCTACTATTTAGTATTCCGACCTGATTACTAATACTACTACAAACAGAAAGCCAGTACCTGAAAAACCGTCAGAGTTTGGATCCACTTTCACAGATCACATGCTAATCATTAACTGGAAAAAAGATTCAGGCTGGTCACCACCTGAAATATGTGAATGTAAAGAGTTTCCTATTCACCCTGGTTCCAAGGTTTTGCACTACTCTATTGAAGTAAATACTAATGCTATAATGTTAGTTTCAAGGCTTTTGAAGGTATGAAGGCTATGCTATCAAAAGATGGAAAACTGAAAATGTTTCGTCCTGACAAGCACTGTAATCGTCTGCTTGACTCCACTAAGGCTTTATGTCTTCCAGTAAGATAATCAGCAAAAATAGTAATCTCTGCAGGAATTCGATCCTGGGGAGTTACTCAAGTGCATGAAAGCACTACTGAGAATAGATCAGTCATGGGCTCCGAAGGGTATAGGGACTGCACTTTATATGCGACCAGTAATATTTGGGACTGAAGTATGTTACAGTACTTATTTGATCAATTTCAATTTAAAGCCATCAATCCAACTGGATGTAAGCTCAGAAGCCAAGCTGATAGTGATGCTTTCTCCCGTTGGTGAATACTATGCTGGAGAAAAGAATGGAATTTCATTGTATGCTGATCCTGAATTTGTTCGTTCTTGGCCTGGTGGGTATGGAGCTTATAAAGTTGGTTCGTAAGTTCATAAATATTGTAATACCTGTTATTTTAACACCTGGTCTTTTCGGAATTACCACTTGAAGTTTTGGAGGGTTTTAGTTCGCGAGTGTTATATGGCATAAACTTATCTTAATTGTATGTAACAATTATCAACTGCAAATATCCTGTGGCCAAGATTTGACCAAGTAGTTCCGGAATATTTCAACTTCGCTGAGATTATACGAATATAGTTATTGCATATGCTTATCAGTATTCCGTTTTATTGAGGGCTGACTGGACTTACGACCGTTATCTACTAATGTACAAACTTTTGATCAGACTGTTGCTTCATGTACTTTTAGTTACGTATGTATGATTGTTTGGTTGCGATTATTGATATTGTGATAGCTCAATTCCATCATTTATACATTATTATTTGCTTATTTACGGAGGCAAAGGATGATGCTACACTGGATGTATGTTGCATTCCCGTCGATTCAGTCATTTGAAATATTTACCTAATAATAGATTAAATTCTTTAAAATCTATGATTCCATGGGGTTAAATCAATAGTGTCACAAATGAATTCATTCCCAGATAATTTCAAGGTCTGCAGGAAATCAAGAAGCCTGACTCGTTTGTAATCTGAGTTCGTACACTCATTTAAATATATTAGTGTCCTTCTTTTCCCTTATATCTCGTCCTTCAAAGATTTAATCAAGTGTAGCGCACTTGGTAAATAGACCCTTATAGGTGATTTTAGCTCACTTTCATTTATCGTCCGTCCAGACTAAAATGAATACATATGTCTGTCTGTTCTCAACATAGAACATTGCACATATGTGCGGCAGTTCAAGTCGCCGCACTTTATGCAGCACACAAAGCAAGAGAATAAAGTGCAAGAAAAGCATAATAGAGACAGTAAGCAGAGGTGTGAGACAAAGGAGGAGGAGTAATAATGAAGAACAAATGAATATATATATCCTGAATCTGCCTTTATTCTCCTTGAGCAACACGTGTTTACAGGATTATAAAACCGCCTCACATTTTATCTTCAATACATCTCAAAATAGCAAAATACTGGTTGGTATTAGTAAAATGAAGGGTTTAAAATGGACCTTAAGGATCACTTTCTCTGTTAATTTTTGCATAAAATTTAATATAAATAACAATAAATGTAAGGATAAGTGGTGTCCATAGGTGAACAAATAAAATTTTAGTACATAGGGAAACTCAAAATGTTTAATTTCCTGGTGAGTGTCGTTCAAGAGATCTGAGAATATATGCATCTTTTCATCTTTATTATCACTCGAACCATTATTCCCAAATAAAGCTTCCTTCATCTAACCCAGCATGTATGTACTCACGAAAAAGCGGAAGGAAGTCCTTCATTTTTATAATAATAACGAACCAGTATCATACGAGGGAACTACTGAAATTCGTGAAGGATAAGACACATCTGCTTCCAACTTGCAAAACTATGACTTGATTTTTTAGTCACCGGTTCAGTATTTAAGATCTCATAATACTAGTTCTGGATACGGCCATACTGTCATCTGACGTGTATCCATAACAGTCTACAGTCACTTCTGGATAGACAGGTGCCAGTAGTCCACACTAATTCAGATTAGCCCCAATCTCAACCACCCATTATAATCAATTTTGTCAAGGCTTATAATCATTTGCTTTGAGTTAAAGATCCTAGTTCTATACACGTCAAGCTACTGTATACTACGTTTCTGAGCTGGAAATTTTTATTAGACATTATTCATCCCTTTTATTTTTGCAAGAGAACAAAATATTCTACTCCGATATCTCGTCGTAAAAACCTTATAGATTCTATTATAGATCAGTTCTTAAAAATGTTTAATATGATTACGTGAATGTTATACAGAAGCGGTGTTCTGCAATGGTAAATTAATGTGTTTGAAATAATAAGAAAGCTCTAAAGATCTTCCGAAAAAGACTATTATAAGTTAACTGTTTATTTGATATGTAGAAATTATGGACCAACACTTAAAGTTCAGAATATAGCCAAAGAAAAAGGATGTGAAAACAATCTCTGGCTTAGTGGTGCAGAAGAGTATATTGCAGAAGCTGGAACAATGAATATTTTTATTTACTGGACTGATGAGTCTGGAAGTGAGTTTGATTCACTATTAAACTAACTTTATGCTATGTATTCACTGAATTATTCATTTTGATTCGTTGCTATGGTCAATTCAAAATGCATTACAATTTGTATTATGTTATTTTACTTTGAATAGGAAATATTCTGTCAACACCGAGGTTAAGCGGGTTACTTTTACCAGGAGTTACACGCTTGAGTATTTTGGAATTAGCAAGAGCTTCAGTAAGTGATTCTCGCTTTAATCAATAAAAGAAGTGAATGTATGAATTAATAATGATGATAATAACAATTTACTATTAACACCTTAGACTGGTTTTAATGTCATCCTTCCAAAATGAATTTACTTTTTGGTTAAGATAATGCTCCTTTGAGTAAAACAGCTTGTTGACGGAAATAATCTGGACCTCCTCAGTCATGTTATTTGCTAAAAAGAAATCTCCAAAATTCACTCTGTAAAACTATATGGAGGTGATTCAGAAGTATGCTTTAAATTAGGTAAAGCCATTGAACGATTTGTAACCAATACAAAGTTGACATGTAAAAAAATTCCATTAGGATATTATTACTGTAAAGAAGTTTTATGTCTGTATTGGATTCTTTTGAATATATTTTTTATATCATCAATATTATTATTCCCTTGCGTTTCGAGTGGAACATAGGGCTTCAAGAACACACATCCAATTTGTTCTGTTTTCCGCTGTCCTTGTCACGAATGAACAAACTGTCTCATCTCTCCTTCCAACTCACACGATTTCCTCCATGTCACCCTCTCACCGACAGCCCAGTCGTCACTTCCCATTTGGATTCCACTCAAGGGCCTGTCGTGTAATGTCATCTGGCGACCTCCTCAGTGCATGCCCAATCCATCTCCACTTTCTCCTACATATCTGTCGAGCGACCGGATCTTGGTCGATTTGTTTCCATATGCTCTGATTGCTTACTCTTTCTGGCCATTTAATCTTCAGTATGGAACCAGCCAGCGAAGCGGGCAGCTGTTGATGCAAGTCTGCTACCCGTTGGAAATCCTTTTCGTGCCACACTGGCCAAGTTTCTGAGCCGTTTAGAAGAACTGACTTCATATTAGTGTTGAAAATGAAAATCTTGAACCTTATGCTGAGTGCGGGAGATTTCCAAACTGGTTTCAGGTTGGTGATGGAGTATCTTGCTTTTCTTTCCGATTCTGGCTGACTTTGAAATCTTCATCCGTTCCGTCTGTAGTTGAAACGATGCTTCCCATATAAGTGGAGGAGGCAACCTCTGTTAAATCTCTCCCGTTGATGGTGGTTGCTGTTGGTTGTTGTTGTTGTTGCTGTTTGTTAGTTATCTTCATCACCTCATCTTCTCTGTGTTCAGCTGCAGTCCTGTTTTAGCTGCCCGCCTCTTCAGCCAGTTTTTTTGTTTTCGCCAGAAAGTCTTCGAGTTTGTGTGACACTAGACATATATCATCTGCAAAATCCATATCTGCTAGAGCCTTCTAACTGGTCGTCCAGCGTATTCCTGTCTCCTCGACCCCTACAGTCTGACGCATAATCCAGTCCACCACGATTAAGAATAACATCGGTGGTAATAGGCAGCCAACCTCGTCTTACTCCTGTATGCATTTCGAACACCTCGCTGAGTTTTCGGTTGTGGATCACTTGACACGTGGCATTGTCATATAGCTGTTGAGTGAGGTTGATATAGATTTGAGCACTGCAGGCCATGGTTTTGAAGTAGCTTCCAAATTACTTCTCGGTCAACGCTATCTGTCGAAGGCCTTTTCAAAGTCAATGAAGATGAGGCGAAGGTTTGACTACTATTCTATGCTTCGTTCGATGACGATGCGTAGAGTTGCGGTTTGATCAGCACATGATTTGCCTTTCCTGAATCCAGCTTGTTCAAGTTGACAGAGTTCTGTATCCACTGCATTCTTTATTCTTACCAGGACGATGCTAGTCAGTACTTTACTGGGAGTGGACAAGAGCATTATTCCACGCACTTGTTTGGCAGTGTGACGGGGTAGCCCTTCTCCCAATCGGTAGGCACCTTTCCTTGTTACCAAAAGTTTTTCAGTAGTAGAGTGAGCACATCTGCCATAATCTCTGTGGCCATCTTCAGTGCTTCTGGAGGAATTCCATCTCGTCCTGCTGCCCTCTCGGACTTCAGTAGCTTGATTGCATTCAGGATTTCTTCCTTCATTGGAGGATTGGTTTCAACTGGCACTTTTGTGTTTGCTGTTGGTGGTATTTCTCGGCGAGTTTCAGGTGACGGAAGATTAATGTGTCCTTTAAAGTGATCAGTCCACTGTTTGATTTGTTTCTCCTCCTCCCTTCACCACCTATTATTGATTTCATCATCTGATTTGCTCTCTTCCCGGATAGAGACTTGACTATCTGATATAGTGTCCTGATGTCTCTTTTGCCTAAAGCCTGTTCTGCTTCAGTTGCCAGCCAGTGTGTCGAAGGATTGTCGTTCGTCTTTTATAATACTCTCCTTCACTTCTTTATTCAGTACAGTGTGCATTGAACTCACCTTCTCCTTCTGTTATCCACCTTTGCATTCAGTCATCTTCTCTTTCACCATCCTCCTCTTCTCGATTAGCCTTCAGGTATTCGTTGACAGCCTTTGAATATATTAAACCTGTGATATTCTCTTATTACACGCAATTCACTTACCAATCATTTATGAAATGTACTACCTTATGAATTATTATACGTGTAAAACTTTGGTAATGTGGCAGTAAGTAATTCCATATTAGTTTGTTTATTAGATATATCACACAGTGAAACTGTATTATTACATACTGGATGACAAGGTTTCGAACAGAATTTATTGCTGTTCATAATCATTTCATCAATTATAATCACACGACTTCGAAAATTGAGTTTTTTAGTTTTCTTTGTCCTCTCCTATTTGTCATCGTTGGGGTGGTAGAATTTTCCAGATATCTGGGACAGGTGTTGAATCATTCCTATTACACGTGTTGGTTTGCAGCTGATTCGATAAACAAAACTTCTGTTATCAATCCCTCCCTCCACCCTGTGAAATTAGATTTTAAAACTGCCATTCTATCCCATCCCATTGTATGGTTATGTGTAAATGCATGTAGTGCTATAGCTGAACTATTCTCTAGATTTTTTGTCTTATTTGGGTTTTTATGTTCAGCTAGTCTGACACCCTCTGTTCTACTACTTTGACCTATGTATTTGACCTGATAATCATTGCAGGCATGGTATTAGATAAACTAAATTGTTTTGTTTTAAAGCTTCCACAGGATCCTTTAACGTAAAGAATCCTAGAAATTTATCAGTCAAACGTTCTATCCACAGTCAATTCTATCTAAAGACGATATCAGTTCTCTCTTGACGATATTCGAGGAACGGCTGAGTTGTGTTGACGTTAGCACCTCATTTTTGTATTACAGCACTAAATTATCACCCAATAATCACTTTTCAATACAGTTATAATAAAACTGGAACGCCTTATTTATGTTTAATATTTAGACTGAGATTCAACCTTCCTAAACAATCCTATACTACCTCTAAATCACTTGCAGATGATTCCTCGATTTCAGTAATTGCATAGTACTTATGTTTCAGTTTGTCATGTTTTTTATAAACATCCCGAAAGCAACTATTTTTTCATGAAACTTAGAAGCTTTATGGGGACAAGGCAGCGTTCAACAATGCTATTTTGTTGATCGCAGACTTTCATTGATTATTAGAACATTTAGATAATAGGTGTGAAAAACCACTGTTTTCCGAAACTACTTTTACCTTTCCAATAAAACATCTAGTTAATCTTGTAATCTAAAAAATCGTACTTATATCTGACTGGATTGATCAGTTTTATTGTTGGTATATCGATTTCGTGAAAGGATGTCTCAGTAGTAAGTGCTCAAAATTTTATGTTTGGTCATTACTAACAGTAGATTCCAGAATGTGAATTTCGGCCTACTCAGACTGAGCCAGTCAGCTGGATGCACTTTCTCCCATCAAACGAGTAACCTCTGACTTACAAGTGTGCTTACCTTAAATGACATCACTCGGAAAATGACAATGTATACCCACATCTCCCTTATTGCATAATAATAAGAACTCTTAGATATGATAGAGAAGATTTGTAGCCCTGGTGGATGATTTTGAGGTAGTTGTGTTCTCTGAGCTGGATGGTTAGTTTGCAAAGCTTTCATCGCCCTACTGGGTGACATCTTCAGCGCATAATTCGATTCAGTGAAGTGAGCTTTTAGATTTCTCCACGAGTTTATTAATCATCTCTCCTGGTGACCACCTTGGACGTGAAGTCAAAGGTTCACCCATGGGATCGCCAATATCAGGTTTGATTGCAGAAGCAGTGATGCAAAGACTCGAAAACATAATTCTACCAAAGATCAAACACAAGATTTGGATACGCTACGTCGACGACACATTTGTAATCATCAAAAGAAACGAGTTAGATACAACTCACAACTTAATAAACAACGTCTTCAACGACATCAAATTCACAAGAGAAGAGGAATCCGAGAACAAAATACCATATTTGGATGTCTTAGTCAAGCGAACAACAACAGGGGAATTAGAAACTCAAGTTTATAGGAAATAAACTCACACAGAGCAAATCCTGAATTACAACAGCAACAACCCAATAACACACAAAAGGAATTGCATACAAACACTATTCAAGAGAGCCAGCCAGGACTCATTGCAGCACTCCCACCTTAAGCAAAATTGAAGAAAAGTATCTCATGGACGTCTTCCAAAATAATAGATACGCACTGAATTTCATCAAAAGACATATACCCCCAAGCCAACCTACCAAAGCAAAGGCCACCAAGGAAAGCATAAAGAAAATCGCCTTACCATACATATATAAAGGATATCTCAGAAATCACTACAAGACTCTTCAAAGCTTTAGGAATTGACGTCGTACACAAACCAACAAAGTCACTTCACTCAGTTCTATGTCAACCAAAAGACTCAACAGCGAACGAAGATAAAACCAATATCGTCAACAAAATAAACTGTAACAACTGCGAAAAACACTACATTGGCCAAAGTGGACGTCCTCTTCGTCTTCGTATCCACGAACATAAACTAGCCGTCAAAGGACATGATATCCACTCCATCACTCATATCACTACATACAGACAACTACGGACATCAATTCGACTGGGACAACTAACGTTCAAATATTAGACAGAGGAAACACGAAGAATGCGAGGGAATTTTTAGAAGCCTGTCTGGTATTCCAGTGAGTCATCAATTAATAGACACATAGAGATAGACAAAATTTACCAACCGATAAAAATCAAACGTCACACACACATAACGTCAAAGTTCAAGTCAAAGAAACAATCGGTTCCAATACAAGTAGCTGCCTAGAAGGTGTGAAAACACACAAAAACAACCAATCACGTTCAAGATCAGGTGACCAGGAGAGATGATTAATAAACTCGTGGAGAAATCTAAAAGCTCACCTCACTGAATTGAAGTATGCGCTGAAGATGTCACCCAGTAGGGTGATGAAAGCTTCGCAAATCATCCATCCAGCTCAGAGAGCACAACTGCCTCAAAATAAGAACTCTTATTTTTCCTATCACGATGTATCAATATATTTTAATTGTATTATATTGAAACATATTTGATAGAATTTCGTTTTTGACATTCCATAAGGATAAACTAAGAGTTGAAGAAAGAAGAATCAGCATAAAAGAAGTTATAAAAGCAACTGAAGAGAAACGAATGCTTGGCATGTTTGGAACAGGAACAGCCTGTTTTATTATGCCTATAAATAGTATCCTTTACAGGGATAAACATTATGAGATACCAAATAATTCATGTGAAAGAGGACTAATTAACTGGCTTAAAAGAAGACTTACAAATATACACGTGAGTTGTATGAATTATTATAATTAAGTGTAATGAAAACTATGAAATGAATTTATAGTTTCCCACCTTGTTTGTTATGGCTCAGAAGCTCTTACATACAAGATTACATTTTTTTTATTCCTTCACGTTCTCAGTGGAACATAAAGCTTCTAGCTAGAAGCTTGAAGTTTCTGTAGCAGTGTTTATTTTTACAGGATGCGTTTGCTAGCCTCATGCCCAACCTATCCTCTTTACCATCTTTTATTTCGGGCTTAGCGAGGTAATGGAATGCGTCTGTGACCGGAGATCGAACCCCGGACCATGTGCACGGTCGGCGAGCGTCCTAACCGCTATGCCACCGACGCACTACAAGATTAGATTGACTGGTTCTATTGAGCAAATGCTTATTTAATAATTTCACCACTCTTCATTCAGTATTGTTTAACCTCCAAGATCGTCGTTAACCATCAATCTGTTGTCTAGTGGAATATACCTGTGTATAGTGGCACTGGAGCTGCCCCTATCCCTTTTCGTCTACTCTCCAGGCAGTAATATCCTATTTGTACGGATTATAAAATCATAGTTTGCCTAACCAGATGAAGGAAGTCGAGCACTTAGAGGCAGACAGGATAGACATTCGCGAAATGCACGGAGTATATTAACGCAAGATCTTATACCAACAACTTCTATATTCTTTTCTCGTGTACCAAAGGCAATGCAAAAGACTACAGTTGATTTTCCAAACTACGAGATATATTTCGGAACCAAATCGCGGACTGAAGCGGAAGCTAAACTGGCTAGTTATCGTGCACGAAAGTGACATGACGGAGTACCAAATGGCCGGGATGCTTGATCTGAAGCCTTCAGCTAAACAAGTCGACTTAAACTCTAAGGGTCAGCATCCAGTGTTCACTGATGATTCCTATGGTCACGATGCAATTCTTCTCTTAGATATGATCAATTCTTATGGTCAATAATTTTTGGGAATCATTTACCGCTGCAGGCATAAACTTTTCACTGGTTTATCGAGTTTATTGTCTTTGTAGCTTTATTGTTTTCGTACATCTAAAACACTGCTTTTCCGATGTTATCTTACAGGATGTCTTCAGTTTATTCTTCTAATGCTTCTAAAAAATGTATCTACAGATGAGAGGAAATCCTTTGAACAATAAGATACTCCTAAGAAGTGTTTTATTTTCATCTCGCAATATTCCACTGTGTGAGACATAAGGCTTGAGTTAACGAGACGTCAGTTAGGTAGCTGATAGCCAGTTGTTAATCATACACTCCAATAGAAGTCGTCATTTGCCACCTTTTGTAGTAAGTAATCTGGTTTTACTTCAAAAAAATTGATTTCACAGTCATGGTCAATGTACTACATGGTAACTAAGTCTAGGTTCAAACATACCGCCCATTAGACAGATGCTGATGAAATGTTTATACAAAGCTACTTGCAAGGTATCTGTCTGCTATATACTTTGAAATCGGGTGACAAGAAGAATTTAGAGGATTTGAACTCAGCAGATGATTAATGTTGTATGTCACACAAACCCGAACATATACAGACTAAGGTTAATAAGTTGGTAGAAGAAGCATAGAAGGCAGGACTTCAAGTGAATATAGAAACAACACTGGTGATAAAGATACCTAGCCAACAACAAACAGCAACCATCAATATCAAAGAAAGAACTGTGAGGAAAATCGGATCTTTTTACTTATCCAGACAGCATCATTTCAACTACAGATGGAACAGATGAGGATGTCAAAACAAGGATCGGAATATCAAAACATACGTTCATTTCTAGAAAATTAGTCTTTACATCTCCTCCAGTAAGCTTCCAGAATAAGATTCAGATCTTCAATACCAATCTCAAGTCACTGTTTCTATATGGTCCAGAGACGACCTGGTTACACAATTTAGGCATTTGTCGTTCCTTTTTTTAAGTATATTCAAAGAAATTCTGAACTACTCATCGAAAATGAAAAGCTTGGACCTGATATTGGATCAGATTGTATACAATCGTAGTGCTGTCTGAACAACTGTTTGGTGTTTAGGAATTCTTGCTTAACTCTTCAGAAATCCGATCTATCCGAGTCATTAACACTCATCAGTGTAACAACAGTAGAAGTGTTTATTTATACTTAATCAGAAGTTTATTATGCTGGATTAGTCTGAGAAGGAATTAAATTGTTGATCCACCGCCTCACAAATGGAGGCTTAAACTTACCGGCTAAGTTACCATGAAAAAAAATAATATTTCATTGTACAGCTTACGTACTATTTGAAATTCCTTCATTAGTAAGTATTTAACTTAAGTTTCATTCTCCTTAATTTTAATCATGAAGACTTATCCGTAACTTTAAGAAAACATTTACTCAAGAGGATTTGAAGATTTGTCACTAAATCGATAAGACCATAGGCAAACATTTGATATTATCAGAATAAGTACATGAATCGGTTATCAGAATTTTAAATGTATTTATGCATATATTTGTCGTTCCAACAAAACTTTTGCCTAAAACTCTATTTACAAATGTTGGTTTGTAAGGATGTGACTGATTGGTTACAGGATTTCACCATGAGATGACATCGGTTAGAGAACCACTGGAAAACCTAAAGGGAGTGTTGGATAGTACTTCATCCTAGTTTGAGACTTTTCGTCAGTACGCACCCATTGTCAGGGTTTGAACCCAGGACCTTCTGGTTGCAAGGCCAGCTCGTAGACTATTAAGCCACTGAGACCCGGCCCAATGGCCAGCCCATGAATTCTAACTTCTGTCAATTCATGATATAGCGCGACCACTAGGACTAAACAGCTGTCCAGTGCTCCCAGGTTTTTCAATGGCTATCTAACTGATGTCAGCTCATGATAAAATCCTCCAACTAATCACACTAAAACATTATGTCTTATTGCGGCATAAAATCTTAGTTTTATGTTTGTAAACTTATTACTGGAAGCATAAATTACATGCTTTAGTGTCAATTTAAATAATAATAATAATAAAAATGTACATTTTTCGGCTTCTTTCCCCACCCGCCTATCCACCCCCATTCAGTATGGTCTGAGAGGTCCACATCCATGGATGGTGTCAATTGATGAATGAACAGGTGTAAAATGCAAGCAGATATTCACCACACAAGAAATCATTTTCATCTTGTTCATGGAAAGACTGTTTTGAATACACTAATTATTTTCCCTAAAGCTGACTATGAATTATCATTCACATTTTCTTTCTAACTTCCTAGAATATTTTATTTTATTTTCAAATATTGTACTAAATTCGAAATTGTAAAAAAAATATTTCGAGTAAGCTGACTTCTATTTTCATATGTGATATAACTTTGATTGGTACGCTTGTATTCAAAATTTTTAAGATATTTCCTGGTTTTTACTGTCTCGGAAGAAATCCTTCAGGAAATTTAAATTTATATCTGACGTGAGGTATTATTCTGTCTATCCTACGTTTAAGTTTTTTTCAATTACAGTTAGCTCAAAGAGTAGCACATATCCTAAGGGACTGATTACTATTAAACTATAACACTTGTTACTCATAAATGTTTAATTAGGATGATTAACAGTTCACACCGGTCAGATGAAACCACTTTGGACTACTATTCCTTTTTTAACCCCTCAAGTTCCAAGTGAAAACCAGGGATTAAAGCTCTGGAGATGTGTTGATATTTTACTGGCTGGGGTCTCTAGCTTCATGCCCAATCTTCGTTCTTCTTCAGTCTTACCACGGTATCACTTATTTCTGATAATTCTTCCTTTTTCAGTTTCTTTGTTAATTACTGTCCACTATCGTTGAGCAGTTTCCACTCCTTGGCATTTTTGGAACTAATCAGTACTATTCTGCTTAGTACAGCGAGTTTCGATAAAACTGTAAAATTTCGCTTACATTTACCAAGTTACAATCACAAGTAATCAACAATCTTCACTAATTTTTCTACATTTGACAGGATACCGTGCTAGTCTTCTTTATGATGAGTATTTTCTTCAAACTTAGATAAGAATTTAGTTATATTCTGCATAAATCATCTAGATGTCGAACATGTAAGAGCTTCATAGCAGCTGGTTCCACTTCTGGAAAACAAGATAGTAGGATAATCCAAAGTTGGAGTTTCTCAGATGAAGCGATAATATTCCACCAATCCCTTCTGCCGATAAAGTGTGATGATATCTGTCAACTGTTAGCCTTATTTAGACATCCAGCAAGTTAGACAGTGCCTCTTTTTTATGTTTGAAGTTATTTCTGACCAAGAACTCCTGGTTATCTGAATATGATTGTAAGGGATGATCGCCATAATCTGTTCGCTGCCATAGGATTCCACAGATACATCCTGAGTAGTTTTCGAAATGTTCGTATTCCCTAGCTTAAGATTAAAATCATTTACTCATATGGTATGATTTCATTTGCTAATACAACTACATTTATGTATTTTGTTTTTTACTAAATTGGACAGTTTCTGACAAAGTTCATCCTTTATTTCTTTCTCATTGCTCTCAGCAGATCCTAATGAGTATGTTACGAAATAGCATTGATTTTTTTCTTATTCTTCAATTGAAGTGCATGCAGACTACTACCCATCGTAGTACTACTCCTACAACACTACTAAGTACATGAACAGTTATCAGAAAACCACCTAAAATGCGTAGAATAAATTTTTCAGATCTCCCTTATTAACAAGATGGTATAGAGTAAATGACTACGTTTGGTTCTTGCATATGTAACCGAAAGTCCCAACGTAAATTTAAAGTCTGAAATGCCTGAACTTAGACTAGAGAGGCCCATTTCTGGATTGACCATAAGGTAGGGATATTAAGAAATCTAAAATGATTTTGGCTGATCACTTCCAATAATTATATATTATTTCAAATATTTCAAAGTTTTTAACTTGAAGTAATTTGGTTGATGTTGACTGGTAGTGGGATGCATGATGCACATTTCATCCTATTTGGGACCAAATATTCGGTTCATCCAGAGGCTGAACATTTCCCGTCCAATCAATCAATGGTCTAGTGGGTAACGCTCTGGTGTTTAAAATGATGAGTATTGGTTGGAGCCCCTCCCCCCAGTAGGAACTGGGGAAAGCAGATACATCCATGTGATGAGTCCCAAATAGTACAAAATGCGCATACTGGATTCCACCGTCAGCCGCCGTCCACGAAGTTACTTCAAGTTAAATCTTTAGACATCGTCAAAGCATCCTCATAAGAAGCCGACATGCCAACGCTAGGCCGAACATTTCGGTTCAATCAATCAACCGGAAGTTCAAAGTGAATTAAATAGTTTCAATGTTTGTATGCTCACCTAATATTTCAATTGTTTCATTATTTCTTGAAAGAAATAAAAGAGTAATTGAAGAAAACACTGAGAAAATATACCATATTTCTTCAAATATTTTTGTACATATAATAAATAACAATAATGATATAATATTAATAATAATAATAATATCAGCAATAAAAAATAGTAATAATAGAATGTTCAAATGGATGAATAGATACAATAGGCAAAAATAATTGTTCTCTTTCTTGATTGCTTTCTTCTTCTCCACTATCATATTCTACATTGAGTAGGGACAACTTACCAATTCAATGTCCAGATACATATTGATTGATTGTGCATGATAATAAAACTAACAGATTTCAACAGCTTTTAAAAGAAATCCATTGGCATTTATCTTTAACACATTGGATTACAATTTCGACATGCATTTACTCAGCTAACTAATGGTTGACCTACTGACTTTGACTGAATGACTGCGAGGGAGAAAAGTACAAATATCTTCATTGAAAAAAAGGGAGATATTTAGTGGGGAATTCCCATATTTAATGATTGTCTCTTAAATTTGGGTGAATTTTTTTCACCCTTTTAGCCTTGCTTCTTTTCTTTATTATGATGAGTAATATTGCGGTGGAGGAGTGAGGGCAGGGTAGGTGTTTGTGTTTGTGTGTGACATAATGTAGTTAGAAAAAGAGTTTTTAAATGATCATAAAAAACCAATGGTTGTAGTGAATAGTAAAAAGACAAAAATAAGAGAAAGCGAAATAATTTGACATGTGAGAATAAAATTTTTAAAACAAAACAGAGGTGAAAAGTAAAGTAATATGCAAAGTGGTACAATATATATATATATATATATATATATATATATATATATATATATATATGTGATATGTAGGCTTTCTAATTAATAGAAATTTTAGTGTATATAATGCATATTACTGATAAAACTAATAGTAGTATAATAATATATTCACTGATTTTTTCATTTATTCTGTACCAGTAGCTAAATGCCAATTCACTGGTGATACAATAACATCAACTTCAATTAGAATAGCAGTTGTTACAAATATTAAGTAAACAATAATTAATACTATACCATAATAACGACGAAATTTAAATTTGCCTATTAATGCTGTAAGAATATTTAATGTAAGTACGACTAATAGACAGGAGAATAATAGTGCTTGAGTTAATGTAAATGATAACTGATGTATTATATTGTTAGTTAATTCGTTTATGTGATGTTTTTTTGGGGGTCGGGGGGGGCAGAGGAGCGTTGTTGTTGTTGTTAGCGATTGATTGATAATATTTATGGGGTATAAAACAAAGAGAGAGGGAGAAAAATTAATTAAAATAAATAATTTTATTAAATTTTATTTAAATTAATGAGTATTATGAAAATATTTCAATTTGTAACTCAACAGCGAACGAAGATAAAACCAACATCATCAACAAAATAAACTGTAACAACTGCGAAAAACACTACATTAGCCAAAGTGGACGTCCTCTTCGTCTTCGTATCCACAAACATAAACTAGCCGTCAAAAGACATGATATCCACTCCATCACTCATATCACTACATACAGACAACTACGGACATCAATTCGACTGGGACAACTAACGTTCAAATATTAGACAGAGGAAACACGAAGAATGCGAGGGAATTTTTAGAAGCCTGTCTGGTATTCCAGTGAGTCATCAATTAATAGACACATAGAGATAGACAAAATTTACCAACCGATAAAAATCAAACGTCACACACACATAACGTCAAAGTTCAAGTCGAAGAAACAATCGGTTCCAATACAAGTAGCTGCCTAGAAGGTGTGAAAACACACAAAAACAACCAATCACGTTCAAGATCAGGTGACCAGGAGAGATGATTAATAAACTCGTGGAGAAATCTAAAAGCTCACTTCACTGAATCGAATTATGCGCTGAAGATGTCACCCAGTAGGGTGATGAAAGCTTCGCAAATCATCCATCCAGCTCAGAGAACACAACCACATCAAAATCATCTACCTGAGCTACAAATCTTCTCTATCAGAATGGCATATCTACAACCTTGTAGGAAATGATATCCCCTTGAAGATTTGAACCGTCATCATTCAGTCCTGCATAACATAGGCATTACTACTGAGCCAATAGATCTAACGATTAACCTCCTATAAGACTCTAATGGTCATATTTATTCGTCATCAAGAGCTAACTAGTGTCATGCATCTACTCCTTAGTGTTGTTCTTCCCATTTGAATTCCTGATTAATTTAATTGCCTTTAAGAATTTGAAAAAAAGTAAGAACAACAGTGGCTTGTGCAGAATAATATGGTACCATCATTTATTTCGTTGGCTTCTCATCAGCTGCTTACAGCCTAAATAAATTACGAGGTTTAAGTACAGAAACGTTCTAACATACTTGCAAATTTCTCATAATGTCAGTTGACAGAAGGTTCCACAATGAGTAAACAGTACTCAGAGAACTGCGCTTATATAGTTTTTACACAGTCAGTCCAAGTTTAAACAAAATAAATGTATGCATACAATGGTAGAGGAGTCATGTAATAAAGACGAGAGATGCGTGAGATGCAGAGTGACTAATAAATTCGGTAACAATGTACTGAGTTGTTTCTATGATTTGAGTTCAACTCAGTACATTGTTACCTTACTTATTAGTCACTCTGCATCTCAGGCATCTCTCGTCTTTATTACATGACTCCTCTACCATTGTATGCATACATTTATTTTGTTTAAACTTGGACTGATTGTGTAAAAACTATATCAGCGCAATTTTCTGAGCACTGTTCACTAATTGCGGAACCTTCTGTCAATTGACAACATGAGAAATTTGCAAGTATGTTAGAACGTTTCTGTACTTAAACCTCATAATTTATTTAGGCTGTAAGCAGCTGATGAGAAGCCAACGAAATAAATGATGGTACCATATTATTCTGCACAAACCACTGTTGTTTTTGCTTTATTCAAATTCATCAAGCGGGATAAATGCATGAAATCGGATTTCAGGCATTTTATAGCGACTACTTCGGGACGCTTGAGAAGAAATGACCCGTTCCGTCTACTGATCATTTCAAAAGATTTCGTAACGAAGTAGCTCAATTCTTCTCATTTTTCCTGAAGCAAACATTATAAAATGCCTGAAACCTGATTCATTTGTTCATCAGAAAGAAGTATTTATCAATCTTTCTTTGTGATGGTAACTCAATGTCTTTATTCTCGCTCTTTCATTTGATTGTGTCACCTCGGGCTTCAACCTATTGTCTTTATTAAACAACTCCTCTACCGTTGTATGTATAAATTGATTTTTCGTTTCAACTTAAAATCTCTGTTGACTCACATCATGTGAAAACTTACAGCATATTAAAATTGTTTCTGCATATAAACTTAATAATACCTTAAAGCTGTAAGCAGCTGATAAGAAGCTAATGAGATAAATGATGAAGTTACCATCTTATTGCTCACAAAATGTTGTTCTTGTTCGAATTCTGTTCGCTAATTTTTTATGCGGTCACCAATGAAGGGGACTGGTCATCTCCACGAACGTTTTTTACTTAACGTTAGAGAGTTTACTTGTTGTGTACAGCTGTACAATCGACATGCATCTCAAACGACTGGAATATGAAGGCAATTCAACTTTTAGTTAACTGATATGATCTATCCACCGGAAACGTACATGGAACGGACAACTAACTAATTTTTATAGTTGGGTGCCTATTTCTAGGAAGAGGAACTTAATTCATTCACTCTGCTTTAAGATAAGGGAAATTTGTAGTTCTGATTGCGTTGACTCAGAACTGGTCACCGACTCAGTTCCAAAGAAAACCTTATTCATGAACTTGGAATTCAAAGGTGATCAAGCTTCAGATATGCTCAGAAATCGTCTCTCCAAATCAGTCAGTAAGACTTCTTTACAGCAAAACTGCATATGACGTTCATGAGCCGCAAATTGTTCTCTACCTCTGTAAAAGATTACCTTCCCCGTCTGGCCGCCTCCATGTGCATCTATCAGTTCACCTGCTCTTGTGGAGCAAGATACATTGGCCGTAGTCAGAGGACGCTCTCCACACGGATACGAGAACATATTCCAGCCACATGGTTGTACAAGAGAGAAAGGAAGTGTGTGCGAAGCTCTATTCTGAAACACCTGATCGACTTCTGTCACTCGGTCAACCGTGACCATGATTTTAAGATCATATATCGAATCCATGCTAACTTCCCGCGTTTTCTTCTTTACAGACTTCTAAAGACAGCTGAGGCCTTGGCAATTCTTGACTTTAAGCCAGACCTTTTTGTACAAAAGAAGTATGTGCAATCCCTACATCTGCATTGGCCGTAGAGGGATAGACATTTATTTATTTTGTTTATTGGGTTATTCTATGTACTTTTCCCTTATTACTTCGCTTATTTTTATTATTGTTATTATTATTAATATTCTCACTCTGAATCTTTTCCACTTGACCCACTTGTCATTTTAAACCCAAAATTATTAATTTTTATATTTTTAATTTTTACAATACTGAATTCTATCTTATCAAATTTCACACCATGTTATGTAATTTTATATTTGTCTACTAATCTTATAATTATGTACCTCTTTCCAAAATCTATACACCTTATGTATTATTCTCTATATGACTTTAGTTATTTTGCCACTTGACATTAAACCATGATTATAATCACATATATTTTAATTGCATTTTATACTGTGATTATTGCATGTATTCACACCTTTGACCTAATTCTCACACCGGAAATAATTTCGTAAAAACCATATATATATATATATATATATATATATATATATCATCTTCGACTGATATCATCTGAAGAAAAGTAGCTGAACTACTTACTGATCTAGTAATTACAGACCTTTGAACAATACACAGCCATCACCTCTAAAACAGTGAAATTCAGGTCTTCGGAGTTATGTGGTGAGTACAATTGGAATTCATAACAACCAAACTGTTTCACAATAAAAGCTTCTATTTCTGAACTTCAGTTAACTGATGAATAGGTATATGCTTTTAAATCACGTTGAATAAGGCCTTACTATATAAACGACATCAGTTTCATTTAATTACGTATTTTGTGAAATGAAATTACAAAGATTCAAGATTTTTAATGAATGAAATTCTGATGATTTTCGATCATTGGTTCTTGATGACTGACTAACTGACTGGTTTCAACAAAGAACTGTGCGCCGATGTGTAGCAGCTCGAGTCGTCATACTCCATGTAGCACACAAAGCAAGAGAAGCGAGTAAAAGGAAATGCAAAATAGAGACAGTAAACAGAGACATGAGGCAAAAGGAATAGTAATAACGAAGAACAATATAGTTTCATTGGAGATCATAAGTCACAAGGAGTGGATGCATATGCGCCATTGAGAATGATTTTGAGCCGTTTCACCAATTGTCTCCAGCCTTCACGGATTTTTACCATCCCGAGGACCCCAACCAGTCAGGAAATCTATACATTCCCAAATGGCTTAAACGAACTGTTGTGGATTTCGCTGACCAATGAAGCCATGTTTTGTTTTGGCCACCATTGGCTCTTTTCCAACCTGATTATATGTCAGCTATCATTACCTGTTGTCGAGGAAGGCGAGGAATAGGCTAGGCATGTGTAACACATGTCCTAACCACCTCAGTCAACGTAACTTCAAAACCTCGTCGATTGATTTCCCCTCCTCACCTAGCACTCAACAACTAACCTCAATATTGTTCACCCTATCATAGCACTTAACACGGGAGATATTATGTAGGCACCTATGAACAAAGACCGCTAGCCTCTTCCTGGTTCTTGATATCACTGATGCTAGATCAATCTTTACACAGAATTGACGAACTTGACTTCTAATTTAGTAAAATAACGACTTTGATGCTAGGTGAACTCATTATAGATGAAATATTACTAATTGACGGTAGTAATATACTGTTATACTACTGATCTTCATCTCATGTCTTTCTATCACTCCATTAATCAAGCTTTTACTAATATACTACTTACAAAACCCTATCAGCATCAAACGCCACACTGCTATTCTCATAATTCATGTTAGATGATTAGAAACTACTGGCTGAAATCCCTCGGATCTGTATTTTGTGCTTATAAACACTCATCATCAGGGTGTATCTACAACATAATGGGAGCTCATAATATCTCAGAGATTCCATTTCGTATCACCTTTTGCTGCAATCAGAGGCGTTATCACTGAGCACTGAGCAGATTCTATTCGACTCTCTACAGGGATATCATTTCTCACGAGGTTGCAAATACGTTATACTGACGAAAGCGAGGTTTATTACTTCCACTTGGTCATCTCCAACCACTAAACATTAACTAAAAATGCATCTCAACGGTGTGTCTTTGACTTAGTGACTACATTACAAGCTCTTGATAGAATTCGGTCAGTCCTAAAGACTGGACAGCATGACATAGGTTACTCTTTAGTGGCCAATTATTTTATCTATATCTACTTCCAATACACGCCTTACTATTTACCATATGGTAATCAATATCAGGCAGACAGTTTAACTTTTAATTCCTTCAATTCACCACTATTCTCAATTGTCACTGCATAACTTACAAACACTGTGTCACTCCTGCTCCAAAAAAGATCGTACAGGTTTGATTTTTCACTTCATATAAAAAAGCAAGACAACTTGTTTTCCTGTCAGAATGGAATCACTTACATTTGCATGTCCAACACCAGCTCTACTAATTTTAATTGTATATGAAAGACCAGCACCAAGTAATAAATTAAACAATGGTGAACCAAGACAAGCTGCATACGCAATTCTTGGATAACCATTACGAGCCAATAAACAATTAGCCATTATATCTTAATGAAAACAATAAAAATAATAATAACACAAATATATACAGAACATTTTGAATGAGAATTAATTGTAAAAAAAAAATAAGGCGTGTCAATACACTTATACATGATTAAATGCAATCTTCAGTGATGTATCTTATCTGTACTGGACGCTTACTTCAAAGATAAGTAGACACTCCACTAGAAGTAGGCTTTATTCTCTCTCCCGTGATGGTAATCTTTTATAAAACCGGAAATATTGAAAAACTAAGTACGTTTCAGTAGTGAACACATTATTATTATTGTTTCCTTTCGTTTAGAGGAACATAGGGCTTCAGCCACACGTCTCCATTGCGTTCGGTACTCTGAAAACGTTTTCACCTTGCTCCATGTCTGCCCACGTGCTTTCATCTCCTTTTCACATGACCTCGTCTATGTCACCCTCTCACCGACGATCCACTCGTCACTTCCCACTTGGATTCCACTCGGGCAATGGCCTGGCGTGTGATGTCAGTTGGTTTGTTTTCTCAGAATATAGCGAATCCATCTCTATTTCTTCCTGCAAAATTGTTGCACAATCAGTTCCTGGTTGGTTTGCTCCCAGAGATGCCTTTTGCTCATCTCTTCTGACCACCTCATCTTGATTAGTATTAAGCGAAGACAGCTGTTAATGAAGGTCTGTAGTTTGTTCGAGGTGCTCTTCATGACTCGACAAGTCTCTGATCCGTGTAGTAAATAGCACTGGCTTCATAGTGGAGTTGAGAATCCGGATCTTATTCTTCATGCTGAGTGCTGTTCACTAACACACAAACTTGAGAGTAATAAAAGCTTGCTTTGCTTTCCCGATCCTTGCCTCGATATCCTCATCAGTTGCTCCTGTATTTGAAATGATGCTTCCCATTTCGGTAGATAAAGGAGGTTGTTTCTTTCAGATTTCTCCCATTTATGCTGACTGTTGTCTGTTGTTGTAGCTGTTGCTACTGGCCAGGAATCTTCATCATCTCCGTTTTCTGTATCTTCACCTGAAAACATTGTGACAACAAAATATCCGATCTATTATCTATTGATATAAGAATAAAACTTGTGCACTGTGGTAGAGTGTAATTCAATTATGTGTAAATTTTGTTTCGATAAAGTCTCACAGTATTATACAGTAATGTTTACTGATTACGTCTCGAGCAAAATTTATTACCACCATAATCATATCAAGGTAATCACACAACTTTCTAACTTCATTTATATAGTTCCATTGTTTTTCACTTGATTTGATTGGCAGCAGTATTTTCCATATTTTGGGTATGACTGATGAATCATTTCTATTGTATGTGTTGGGTGTAGACCCAATGAACAAGGATTCAGTAATCAAATAAATAAATAAAGCAGGAATTAGGGTGGTATTCAAACCTACAAACTCACCCAGGTAGGACAAGCTCTGTAGGTTAAAGGACCCAGTTGACCCAATTAGACAAAATAATATAATTTACAAAATACCCTGCAATGACTGTGAGTTAGGTAAACTACATAGGTCAAACTAGCAGGTCAGGGATAATCAGATTATCAGAACATAAGAATTTAGCTAAGGTAAGAATGGTTGACCCTGAAAAGATAAGTAATTTAGAAAAAAGATCAGCAATTGCACTTCATGCATTAACACATAACCACACAATAGGGTGAGTGAGGGCTAAAATTATAAAGAATAATCTAGATATGTGGGGAGAGATGTTGATTACTGAATCCTTGTTCATTGAGTCTACACCCAACACATACAATAGAAATGATTCATCAGTCATACCCGAAATATGGAAAATACTGCTGCCAATCAATTCAAGTGAAAAACAATGGAACTATATGAATGAAGTTAGGAAGTTGTGTGATTACCTTGATATGATTATGGTGGTAATAAATTTTGCTCGAGACGTAATCAGTAAACATTACTGTATAACACTGTGAGACTTTATCAAAACAAAATTTACCCATAATGGTATTATCCATTCAGCTTATAATCGTAGATTCATAGTTTCGTGTGTTCACAACTTCATGTTTCAGATTCCACTGATAATGAATTAATTGAAACTAGCAGTAACATGATGTTTGAATCGTTCTTGTAATCTATTGCTTCGCTATTGCTCCTCTATTCAAGTATCTATCGGAAATACCTCAAGAATAAGATGAATGTATTGTAAAAGTAAAATACTACAGGATGAGAACAGTGCTGTTTGCTTGTATTATTAGTAAGTTTGCCAAGTTTCAAGATTCTATGTTCAAAACGAGACTAGAAGTGTTCGTGCCATGGTTTTAACACCTTAGACTTACTGATGATAGTGACAATATATTCTGTACAGTATTATTTCTTAATCAAAGGAGAAAATTTTATGCTTATTCATACTTGCAATGGTACTCTAGTTATTGAAGATACGTACAGCTGAGAAGTCGGACATGAGAAGAAACAAATTTCCTATCTTGCATTGATATCTATTCATTATTAAAATATAACCAAAGGTATTGTCGAAATGTTAATGGTGTCACAATAATTTGGATCTAATTTCTAGCCTTTATGGATAGGTGGATTAACCTCTGGCACCAACTTTATATACATGTCTCAGTTTTAGTTCAAATCTTCGTCCATAAAGAGATTTTTTTGATGTTTCATAGAGGCAGAATTCAAGATAGGTGCCATGTTTTGTGAAACATTGGCAAATGATTACATAATGCTGTTTTTATCAGCTTTAGAATGTAATAATCATCACTTCATTCACCAAAAACATTGTCTCAGGTATCTTACTGAAACTGGAAGGTATTTTTACCCGTACGCAGATGCTTGAAAGTATTCATCTCGTCAATACAAATATAAGTTGGCCTCATTTTACGAAAGATTCCGTCATGTTCTGATATCAGTTGGAGAATCAGTGAAAACTAAGGAGTACTAGACAGCTGTTTCGTACTAGTTTGGGACTCTTCATCAGTGCTCACCCATAACCACATAGAAGATCAAAGATAAAATATCACGAGTCATTGGTTTCCATTCGGGTTACTGAATGGTTAACAGTCTCGTCTAGTAACCTAAACTTCCAGGATTCAACCCGTCTTGAGGTCATAGGAACGTCCCAACCATGGATCCCAAACTACGATCTGACAGCTGTCCAATACATCTTGATATTCAACATTTGTCCGAGTGATTCTGGTCGCTGAAGAAATCCCCCTCGAAATCAATCAATTTTCTACAATTCCGACAATTGAAGTTCACATTTATTTTCGAATATTCATAAAAACTTTAGTATTTCTCCAAGTGAACTAGCCAATACGACCTACAGATCAACTAAACGAACACTGGGAAGTTCTGAATTCTCATTAGAATGGTGTGATAACAGTTGAACAGCCTACATTGATAGTCATCCAGTGAACAATTTGCACACCTTTTATTTTACTACAGTTTCTTTCAAAAAGAAGTCAGTTCATCTCAACCTCTGTGAGCATAAATTTTTTAATAATCAACCTAATTGCTGGTGGTCACGCATATACCACAAACCAGTAGAGGTTCGCACTGATGGGTTATTGCATTAAGTCCCAGAAACTCGATAGTCTACGAGCTCACCTTTAACCCGAAAGTCCTGAGTTCGACCCTTGTAGAGTCATAAGTGAAGACTGCTAAGGAGTTCCAAACTAAAACGAAACAGCTTTGAAGTCCTCCTCCTTGGTTTTCAGTAGTTCTCTAACTAAAGGCATTTCATGATCAGTCTTTAGAAAAAAAAAGACAAATTTGAGCAATATTAAACAAATACTCACCTCCAATTGAACTGGCTAATGCCATAACACTTAAGCCTAGAATAGCTTCACTTATCTCCCATACAATACCCAGAGTTTCCAATGAATTAACTAATTCATGAGCTAATGCATATATCCAAATAATTGATGTAACAAAACCAAGTGTAGCAAAAAATGGTCTATGATAAAGTTTCGGGGGTTGATTCCATTTTGAAGTGAAAAATACAACTAAAGCAATTATAAATCCACCTATGAGAAATGGACAGAATACTGGAACAGGCGATTGTCCAATTGGTAATAATCCAATACACTTGCCGTTAGCTAAACAAAAAATAACAAATGAAAACAGAAATCAAAAAATACGCTGGACAGAACTTGGCAGAAGGTGTTTTATTATTATTATTTATTGCAGTTCTTGGGGTTCCGAGTGGAACATAGGGCTTTAATAACACATCTACACTTTCTTCTATTTCCTGCCATCCCCTTCAGTTGGGTCCACGATTGCTCATAATCTCTCATCTCCTCCCCCTCCTCCTCCTCCTCTTCGCAACACGATCTCCTCCATGTCATCCTCTCACCGACGATCCACTTATCACTTCCCACTTGGATTCCGCTCGAGCAATTATCTGCATCGCGCGCGATGTCATTCGACGGTCTCCTCAATGTATGCCTGATCAATCCATATCCATTTTCTATATTTGTTGGGCGATCGGCTCTTGCTTGTTGGTTTGTTTCCGTCCGGAGTTATTTCTTGCTAATTATTTCTGGCCCACCGGGTGGCCGGCTATTCCATCTTTATTATGAAGCTAGTCAACGAAGTGGGCAGCTGTTGATAAAAGTCTGCAACTGGCCGTTGGAAATCCTTTACGTGACTGACACGCAGTGAAAGTTTCTGACCCATATATAAGAACTGACTAACTGCACAATTGTGTTGAAAATCTGAATCTTGTTGTTTATGCTGACTGGTTGAGTGAAGCAAAAGATTTCCCAACTGGTTTCAGGTTGATGAAGGCGTATCTTGCTTGTCTTTCCGATTCTGATTGGCTAACTGCCTGGCTTTGTCATCTTCATCTATGCTGTCGGACTGCCTGTGATTGATACGACGCTTCCTAGATAACTGAACGAAGTGATCTCCTGTCTATGGTGATTGGTGCTGGTCGTTGTTGCTGTTGCTGTTCGTTGGTTATCTTCATCACCTCCATCTTCTCTATGCTCACCTGCAGTCCCGTCTTCGCTGCCAACCTCTTCAGCCAGTTTTGTTGGTTTTTTACGACATTTTAATTTAAGTTAAGAAGAATTTCGTGTCCACTGACTTATATATCTCATTCCTAGATGATGGTATACTACAAAGGAGTATATATATATATATATATATTTATATAATAATTGCTTTATTCCAAAAACAGTACTCATGATACAGCAAGGAATTTTCAGCATTCAGTACAATATTGCATCTAATTTACCCAAAAACGACAAAAAAAATACACAATACATAATAGTAATAAAACGATTGTTGTAGCAGCTACGTAGCAAAATACTGTGTGCCATACGGAGAAAAATATGTATAAAGTACAAAATTGTAGTAATAATAGTAATACCAACTAATATAAAATAGCAGAGTAACGATTTAAACGATAGAAAGTGTGACACCATAAAATACAGAAAGATGAACGATAAAAGGGTCGATTCACTGTGCTAATTACATAGTAACTTGTAAGTTTCACGTCTAACAGAGTCTTCGTCACATAAAGTACGCGCTAAATAGGGTATTGTAGAATTTCTATACTTAGTAGTACGAGCATATATCTTTTTATATTGACTTCTCGTCCTACCTGATGAGATACAAGGGGACAGGTGTGAATAAAGGGGGTGCAGAGGGTCTGACATTATAGCCTTTGCCCATTTCGTACAGGAATTTATATGCCTCTCGACTATAGTATTAGCGAGCTCATGCAGTGGCAGACCACAAGCTCTACTCACAGCATTTAATACTCTTCGTAATATGATATGATTAATGGAGAGCAGTAGAGTACAATAGGTAAAATACAGGAGTTTAAAAATTGCAAAACTAAAGGTTGGTTGATACCTGATTGTCTTAACTTTTTAATGTAGAAGGTAAGACGAAACATTTTCTTAGAGATAGATAAGATATGGGATGACCATGAAAGGTCAGAGGAAAAAACTAGTCCAAGGTATTTAATACTTGATTTGGTTTCAATTTCCGTGCCATCTATGCTACAGGGATCATGAGAGTTAACTAGTTCAAGTAAGTCACGTCGATGCTTGAAAGTAAAGTCAAGCACCTGACATTTGGAAGGATTTAATATAAGACCATTTGACTTGGACCAGTTGTTGATGTCCAACAGAAAGCTATTAAGTTTGGAGCTGTCAGACTCGGAAGTGATAGGCAGTGATACAGTCAGATCATCTGCATATTTAACAAAGTTAGTTTCGTTTGAATGAGGTAGGTCATGTAGGAAGAAAGAAAAAAGAAAAGGAGAGAGGACAGCACCTTGTGGAACACCGGATTTTGTAAGCGAGGTAGAAGAAGATTTGCCGTTATATACAGTATACTGCATTCTATCAGAAAAATAGGAATGCAACCAACTCTTAGCCCAGGATCCTGTTTGTGTCAACGATAGCTTATTTAATAAAAGGCCCCTAGGTACAGAGTCAAAAGCAGATGTGTAGTCTAAGAAAGCACTACGAACATATTTAGCACCTTTGTCTAAACAAGAGACAACATTGTGATATAAGACAACCGCAGCATCCAAGGTACTTCTACCATGTTTGTATGCAAATTGTTTAGGATCATTAAAAGGTTTCAAAGCGGGTTCAAGACGAAGTAAAAGTAATTTTTCCATCAATTTTAAAAAGGGGGAAGTAATTGCAATAGGCCGAAATTTAATATCAGAACCAGAAGATGGTTTTGGTATAGGGATAATTTTAATGTTTTTCCATGCAAAAGGTAGAACGTTACCGGAAAAAGAGGCATTAAAAATGTTAGTAAGAGGATAACACAAAATATCAGCACAATTCCTGAGGACAATGGCAGGTATGCCGTCAGGACCAAGGCTTTGAGAAGGCTTAAGAGACCGGAGACATTTAAGCACATCAAGGGTATTAAAACCACTAAAGTTATTGTCAATATGATTTGTATCATTTGGAAGGGTATATAGGAAACCTACAACAACGGGTCCGTATATTCATTTTTTCAGTTTCATACCTTTGAAATATAAACGCAAGCTGGTAACGTGTTTGGCTCACACAGCTAGGACAATTTGCTCAGACGACTCTCCCAATTAGGATGCCAAAATTATCAAAGCATTACTCAGTAAAGATGGTTGTCAACATGAGTTCATTGCTAAAAATATGGATTTAGCACAAAGGTAAGTCAATATGGAAACAGCTCCAAAAGAGCCCTTGCTCATAAAACTGTATTTCTTTTGGTGATAACATTAGCGAAGCAGTAATACAGCGTCCGAAGAGAGCAGTTAAAAATCATTCGACGTAGCAAAGGCACACTGTCTCTTCACAACCACTCCAATTTTACGTTTGAGAAATAAGGACAAAATACCAGGTCTCACTTCCTTTTTATATCTCTACCAGTTTGACTGCTCCTGCGGAGCCAGCTACACTGGGCGTATAATTAGACAGGTTCTTCTTTGGATCTTCGTGATTAAGCAAGGAACAAACAAGATCTCTCCTTGGCTCTGTTTTAGTCCACCTTGAAGACAGTGAGCGGAAAGCTGATGTTAATAAAACATTTAAAGTTATTTACCTATCGTATTTCGACTAATATTAATTTTTCTTGACAAGTTCTTTTTTTACACACAGCTGAAGCAATCAGAATCCACCTGAAGAAGCCAAACCTCTCTGTTCAAAAGAAAATCATGCAGCCACTTTCTTTACCTCGGCCATCGTTAAATGAATGTAAGAACCTGACAATTTCACCCTTCTCCTAAGCATTTCACAAGTTATCATTGTCTAAATTATTTTATTTTTCCGACTACTTTATCTTTAGCAGTTTATTGCGTAATTAACTTAAACACTCAATTATTCTTTAATTACTCCTTGTTTTTCCAAAAGTGTACCTTATGCAATCCACTTGGTGTAACCATTTCTACCCTTTAATTGTTTTTTAATTTGTTCTTTAAATATTCCCATTTTTAATATTAGAACAAGACCTATAAGCGAACAGTATTGTTGTCTTCAATTAGTTCTTTTTCAGGCTTTACTCTAATTCACATAGATTTATATATAAAAAAATTTTAACCAACGATGGTGATTTTGTGGATCAAATAATAATAATAATGTGGTGAATGTTTTGAACGTCATTAATAACGGTGATTATAACGATAACGAAATATTGATAATAAGGTTTAACGCAGGTGGCGACAAGAAGAATAACGATTGTAGTACTATGTGTATATGTAGACAATTCAATAAATAAATAAATTAGGTCAAATCTTAAAAGTTACGTAATACTAAAGGTGTAGTGGACAGATAATCAGAGTTTAAATAAATATCATAAAAATACGGAGGGGATGGAAAATAAGAAAGGGTGGGAGGGTTTTGAATAGAATTCACCTAGGCCAAGGGAGAGACAAAGGTAGAACAAACTTCTTTTGTTGTATGCAAAGACTAGGATTGTTCTCTGGAATTTTCATAGCTTCGGCTATGTGTAAAAGACGGATTCGAATTCCGTTTGAAAGCCTCGATGGAATGCGATAGATAACTTTGAGCGCATTATTTTTGTCCATTTGGTGACCGCTATCAATCAAATGAGCCAAAACAGAACTTCTTATAGATTTTATTTGGAGTTTTCCAAATTATTATTATTATTTGATCCACAAAATTATTTTTTTTAATTTTTGATTTACAGCTTGATTCCACACTGTATTTTTGGTACAAGTATGGAATTTTCAGCATGGATAACGGTAGCCCAAATTTTACAGGCCGACCATAGATATCAGATGTGCGTCGGCAGGGGATCGAACCTCGGACCATGTGCATGGTCGGCGAGAGTCCTAACCACTGTGCCACCGACGCACCGTCATTGGTTAACATTTTTTTATATATAAATCTATGTAAATTAGAGTAAAGTCCGAAGAAGATCTAATTGAAAACAATATTTCATACATTTGGTTCCCTTGATAAATTTTGATAGAGAAAGAAAGACCAGATTTGCAGTATAAAATTGATGGTGACTTAGATTATACTACTTATATTCCTAGATGCGTTCACCTTATAATGTCTTCTCTATTACCTGTCAAACAATGAAGTATGAAATGTTATTATTCATAACCATTGTAATTTCAGGCAGTGGTTTGCAGCAGCTGATGAGAACCTGTGAAATAGAATGATGTCATTTTATACTTCAAATCTGGTCTTTCTTTCTCTATCGAAAACAATATTGTTCGCTTATATGTCTTGTTTTAATTAATTTTCCTGGTTAACTGTCACCCTCATTGACAGGGTGATATTGATTAATTATTCTTGACAAACTTAACGCCACTAGATTGATAAATATTTTCTGTATTGTACTGAAAATGCTGTATATATAATAGTGCAAAGCCAGCCCTCAGGATCTTATTGAAAAGGAAATTTTCTTTTGCTCAATCCTTTCGTCTTTTAAATGTCTGAATAGAGATTTTTTCCCTACAATGATTTATGTTAGAATGAAATGTTCAGTCTTTCTTGACATTTCGACTTCTGGTACTGATGTTTTGCCGATTTCTGATGACTACCAAGATATTATTTGGTTAGTAACGGCTGGCAGTGGAATTCAGGATGTACATTTTGTTCATTTCCATTGATTTATGCACACAGAAAGAGAGAGAGAGTGTGTGTAGTCAATCTCTCACTCCTTTGGTAACCGTATTACTTACATTACACTGATTAGTCATACACACTAGTGAGCTCAGTTCACTAAGCAAGTATTCAATTTGATGAACTTTAACCTTCTTGGTTTGCTATGCTGATGTACAAGTTAACACTGTTTATTAGATTTTTCTGTTTTCTGTCTTCTTTCACCTCCCCCCCCCGTTTTTTTTCATAGTTTGATAGTATATAAATTGGCGGTAACTTAAACTTTAAAAAATTGTAATACTTATATTCCGGATGCGTTCATCTTATAATGTTTCTATTCAAGTGTTGGTTTGTAGAGATTTGATTGGTTTCACGATTTCATCATGAGCTGACAGTAGTTAGAGAATCATTGGAAAACCTGGGAGTACTGGACAGCTGTTTCACCAGCCTAGTTTGGGACTCTTCAGCAGTACGCACCCACCTGGATTCGAACCCAGGACCTTCCGGTTACAAGGTGAGCTAGCTCGTATACCATTAAGCCACTGGGACCCGATCCAATGACCAGTCCTTGAATTCTAACTTCTGCCAATTCACGACATAGCGCGACCGCTAGCCAATGTCTTCGGCGAGTATTTGTCCTCACACCCGACCAGCTGCACCCTACTGGTCACGACTTCCCACTGGAACCCAGGTAACTACCTACCTGAATAGGGCCAGTCGCCAGTGAGCATCTTATTGGTATTCAAGTGTTGGTTTGTAGAGATTTGATTGGTTTCAGGATTATTATTTATAACTATTATAATGGCAGTGGTTTGCAGCAGCTGATGAGACGCTGTGAGATAGAATGATGATATCATATTATAGTGCAAATCTGGTCTTTCTTTCTCTATCGAAATTTATCAAGGGAACCAACCAAATGTATGAAACATTTTATTCTATAACTAACTACAATGAAAACATTCCTAAAAGAGTTTCTGAATAGGCAGAATGAATATATATTGAGATGGTCATAACAGATATTTAGACTATCTTTTCAAGAAGTTTCATTTACAAAGGAATCTTGTCACTTATTTTTAATACACATGCTTCAAATGTTTTAGAGAAAGTATATTTTTGTCTTTAAATACTACTTTTCCCGCCCAAATTTCTTATGATATAAAATTTCCTTCAAGTAGATTTTATTGTGAATTAATTTGGCAGCTTAAACAGCTGATGAGACCCAAAGGAACATCAAAAACCATTTGGCAGTAATACAAACTGATAACACAGTGAAGGCAGTTGCTTATTATGAAAGTCAATAGCTGCCTTTCTCTTTATACTGAAGATCAAATGGCCAGAAAGAATAAGCAACAAGAAACCAAACAAGAGCCGATTGCTCAACAAATATGTAAGAGAAAGTGGAGATAGATCGGGCATACATTGAGGAGACCACAAGAATGATATCGCACGCAATGCAGGCCATCACTCGAGTGGTATCCAGATGGGAAGCGACAAATGGGTCGTTGGTGTGAAGGTGATAGGGTGGCGATCGTTTGAGGAAGAGATGAAAGAGTTTGGTCAATCGTGGACCCAGCTGACGAGGACGTCAGAAAACGCAAGAAAGTGTCGATGTTTTGTTGAGGCCCTATGTTCCACTCGGACCACAAAGGAATAATAATAATAGTTTAATAATCCGGCAGAGTATCAAGTGTGGAATAAGCATGCTATGAGATTATCAAAATACTATCCACAATCATTTGGTTAAAAACTAAAAAGTCCATCATAAAGTGGTTTTCATTAGTTCTGTGATGACTGATGTGAATTATTTTCTAAGTCTATTCTGAATTCAATCAAATCCAAATGAAAATCTGAATGAAATGTATCAAACAGTAAAGGTTAATAAAACAGGATGACTTAATGAATTCATCAAATTTCAGTTGAAATCGTCAACTCTACATACTCTACATACACGGATATATATATACTTTTGAAATTATATTGGGAGATATAAGACTGATAAGTAAACAAAGCTGAGTGCAAAGTGGCAAAATCCTCAATAACTAAACATCTTGTGGACTACGGACATGATATCGACGCAGTCAAGTCATTCACTGTTGTCAGCAGACAAAGAAACAAGCAGATGCTTACAAATGCAGAGGCTTGTGCAATTCGAGTTTATAAACCAGGTTTCTGTGTACAAAAGGAGATGGTCGTGACTCTGGATCTACCTGACACACCATGGTAGTACGTTTTACTTATTATTCTACCTCTTATTATTATTATTATCATCCTTTATCAGTAGGATTATCTTATCTCACTTCAACACTTATTATTATTGTTATTATTACTATTACTATTGATGTTACTCTGTGTGCAATTCTTGTTATATTCCCTAATGACTAATTGTTTATCTAAGTGACGTAATGGAAGCGTTTATCTTAATTTTCATCTCCTATGCTCTCTATCCCCTTGTCTATTTGAACATGACCTGGAAAACATTCGCACCTGTCTTTCAGCGTGACTAATTCAATGTAGTTTGTTTACTTATCAGTCTTATATCTCCCAATATAATCTCAAAAGTATAGCTGACGAGTTCTACCGAAATTTGATGAATTCATTAAGTCATCCTGCTTTATTAACCTTTATTGCTTGTTTTAAATTCGTATTGTGAAATGTATCAGTTTAACTGTGGATTGTTGAAAAGACTGACGTCTTCTTATAGCTCGAATATTTATAAGTGAAGGTATTCGATATTTTGCTAGTCTAGTGAAATAAACGGTAACTCCTCTGTTCGAATTCTTTCTTAAATAAATAGAGTATAGTGTATTTCAGTAACTTCATCACATTCGGGGTACTATTAGCTTAGGTATATACACATCAACACTTAGTTCACAATACACAACGATTTAGAGTTATTCAACATAAGCTATTTAGGCTACGAAATGTACGAAATACCATTTTAGTTTGGAGACCCAAATTTTTGAATGGTTAGACATGAAAAACTGCAACAACATAGATGTGATTGAGAGTCTGTAGTCATTCTCTCTCTCTTCCTCTCTCTCCCTTCCTCTCTCTCCCTTCCTCTCTCTCCCTTCCTCTCTCTCCCTTCCTCTCTCTCCCTTCCCCTCTCTCTCTCTTCCTCTCTCTCTCTCTGATTGCTTTGCGTTCTAAGTATTACAAATGGTTTCAAGTTTTTTTTCAGAAGTTTCGGTACATCTATAGTTATTTTTACGGGGTGTGCTTGCAAGTCTCATGCCCAGCCTCTCTCTTTACCAGGATTATTAGCAGCCAAGCGAGGTCTATATGTGCACTGGCCGGGGATCTAACCCTGAGCTACGTGCATGGTCGGCGACCATCTACCCACCTCTATAGGCTTATTAGAGTGCTATTGATCCTTCTACATCATTTTTGTGAATGATAAGGAATAGAGGCGATTAAAACTAAGTAAATAACCTTTAATCATTTACTTCACAATGCTCAGAATAATAAAATACTTTGAAAGAAATTTCAAGATTCACCCAATTCTCAAATTCTCTACTCGCGCTACCTTACCTGTTAAAAGCATCGGCCATAAAGTTGGCACCAGAAGACATTGGAAAACATTTAACGGTTTACACCATCCATGCATAAATTCTAAATTAACTTCAACTGTTTCTGTCTGTTTGTTCACATCAAATTCTGATTCATGATTTGATTCAGGAGGATTTGTTGAAAAAGTTAACTCTTTACCTTCTAAAACTGTTACAATTTCTCGTGTAGTTTCACTGATCTGTTGATTAGCATCAACCGGTTGTTGTGCGTAGACATCTTGTTCAGATTCATCAGCTAATTCTTCTAAAACAGTTGGTATTGTCAATCGAAAGATAATAAATATTGGTGTTTGTAAAATTTGTAGAAATCGACTAAATATCGATTGCTGATGCCATGATTCAACGTCGATTGGTATCATGTAGTAGGCGAAATGATGCCATACACCTTGCATAGCCCATTTCTCTAGCCATGAACACTCATCTTTCACTTCCTCTTCTTCCTCTTCATCTGTCAAGTCTTCGTCTTCTTCCTCTCCACTTTCCAATTTTCTTATTTCATTTTCATTCTCATAGTCTTGAAAACCGCCTTCTTGATGACCGAACTTATCGACAATGTTATCACCAGTCGTAGCAAATTGTTTACCTGTTTCTAAATCACTTGGTTGAAAATTTAATTTGATTCTTTTCAATGAAACAGAAGATTTCGGCATAGTGTCATCATCCACGGAAAAATCGGATAAGGTAGGTGATGGTAAATGACCTGCATTAGTTAAATTCGATCCAGGACGTGATCCCTTACGACTGAATAAATCCCCTTAAAATAAACAAACACAAAGATCAAAACAATTAACCCCTTTGATAAATTTGAATAAGGCATTAAGAAGATAAATTTCGCTAGATTATATCGTCATTTCGTAGTTTCTTTACAACCGCTTTACAACTAACATGGTTAACAATAATAAAATAAAATAAAGTTTATGAAAATTACTCAGTTAAATAAAAAACAAAAGTACATACTAATGAACAATCATATATAGATAGGTCATGTAGTCCATGGTAGGTAAAGATTGAAGTCTATTGTTTTGACTGTACACACAGTTTAGGCTGTATGTGATTAATCCAAAGATTAATGTCGAAATTCGAGAAAAAAATGCAAAGTATGCTTGGAGATGCTATGCTGTATAAACGTTGTGTAGATGATACTCTCATTATTGGTAATAATAGTAAATCTATTGAAAACTTCATTACTCTATTTAATCATATTCATCCAAATATCCGAGTGGCTTCCGAACTAGAATCGAATAACAAACTCGGAGAGAAGATGATGGAGAGATGATGGAACGATTCGGCGATCTATTTTCCATAAACAGACGTGGAGTGGACAATATCTTCATTTCATCAATTTTATTCCTATCCAGTATAAACGTTCCCTAGTGAAATGTTTGTTCTCAAGGGCCAGAAAAAAACACGAGTGACACATTGATGGATGAGTTTCGACATACACATTCAGTTTTATTAGGTAATGGTTATCCGGAGAACTTTACCACTCGTCACAGTAAAGAAAGACAGCTTCTGTACCAAAGAAAGCTATCTTTATTAACCTACCATTCAAGGGCGACCAGATTATGCATTTGACAGCTCAAAGATTTCGATCAGCCATCAAACGCACATTCTACGCCGCCACATCTCTTTTTCTCATTTGCCGAACATTTCCGATCCCTGTACCTACGATTAAAGGACGAAATTCTGTGGATTCTACTTCAAACTGTATCTACAAGTTCACCTGCAGCTGCGGTGACACCTATATAGGTAGAACCAACAGAGTGTTCCAATGTCGTTGAAAAGAACATGTTCCAAACTGGCTACTAGATCATATCAAAAATCCCAACGTGATTAATCTTAATAGAAATCCATTATTACCATCCATCGCAAAACACTTATAAATGTTAGGTCACAAAACCAATATTAATGAATGTTTCACATAACTTTCATTCAAGGCTATTGAAGGTAATGGAAGCATACTGGATTAATCACATACAGCCTAAACTGTGTGTACAGTCAAAACAATAGACTTCAATCTTTACCTACCATGGACTACATGACCTATCTATATATGATTGTTCATTAGTATGTACTTTTGTTTTTTATTTAACTGAGTAATTTTCATAAACTTTATTTTATTTTATTATTGTTAACCATGTTAGTTGTAAAGCGGTTGTAAAGAAACTACGAAATGACGATATCATCTAGCGAAATTTATCTTCTTAATGCCTTATTCAAACACAAAGATGAAAGAAATCATTAGCATCAGAATCATTGTAAAAGTGCATATTAAATCGTGTCATTATGCGCTGCTTATTGGTTGAGATGAGTAGTTGTATATCATTCACTTAAACGGTCGTAATATAATCACATCGAACTGAACAAATCTTTTAATTAATTAGTAAATTACTAATTTGGTTGAATTTGTTTGAATGCTCTCTATAACCAGAAGTTTCTTTCATGTAAATCCCCATCAAATATGTGGAAGTTATTAAAGGAAATCACAGGTGGTAAGCAAATGTTGAATGATATTTCTGTAGATGTTAACATGCTTAATGAATCCTTCATATGTATCCCAGCAAATGTTATGATTCCTAACTCAAATAGTGTAAACAATGACTGCTTCTCATGCTTTAACACGAATGATGTCCTCAAGTGTCTTCAATCTCTCAAGCCTACTCAGTCCCTCGGTCCTGATGGTGTTCCTGCTGTTATCCTTAAGGAGTGTGCCGACATCTTGTGTTCCCCGCTAACTGACATTTTCAACGAATCGTTTTCCAAAAGTATTATACCTGAATCATGGAAAAACATCAAGATCGTTCCAGTGCCTAAATCTACAAGTGGACCTAATGTTAAGTTTAGACCCATTTCAATTACCTCACCCTTTTTGAAAGTTATGGAAAGACTTATTTTACTTAATCTTGATCCCTCTTTAAAACCTTTCAACGACCCCAACCAGTTTGCTTATAAACATAGTAGGAGTACGTTAGATGCCGCTGTCGTCCTCCACCATAGCATAGTCTCTAGTTTAGATAAAGGAGCTAAATACGTTCGCTGTGCCTTCCTTGATTACACATCTGCATTTGACTCTGTTCCCAGGTCTCTCTTGCTAAGTAAGCTTGCTGCAACACAGGCTGAAAGCTGGACAAATAAGTGGTTGCATTCCTATTTTTCTGAAAGGAAGCAGTACACCGTCTACAATGGAAAATCCTCCACTACCTCACTTACTTTAGCTGGTGTTCCTCAAGGTGCTGTTCTTTCTCCCTTTCTGTTCTCGTTTTTCTTACATGACTTGCCTCATTCTGATGTAGCCACTTTTGTTAAGTATGCCGATGACCTCTCGGTTTCTATGCCTGTCAACTCTCAGTCAGATTGTTCCAAATTAAATAGCTTTCTGTCGGAAATTAGTCAGTGGTCCTCTTCAAACGGACTTAAGCTTAATCCGTCTAAATGTCAGGTAGTCAATTTCACTTTCAGACGTAAATGTGACCTACAGCAACTAGTTAGCTCACATGGCCCCACTCTCATTGACGGCACAGAGGTTGAAAATACATCTTATGTCAAGTACCTTGGGCTGAGTTTTTCCACCGATCTTTCCTGGTCTTCCCACATCTTGCTAGTTACTAGAAAGATGTTTCGCTTAACGTTCTACATTAGGAAATTTAGGCAGTCTGGCATAAACCAGTCTTTACTTTCTCAGTTTGTAAATTCTTGTATTCTACCCATCCTCCTTTACTGCTCCCCATTAGTCTTTCCTGGACTACTTAAGAAAGACTTTGCTTCGCTGAGAAGGGCACTAAAAGCTGTTAGTAGGGCAAGTGGGATATCGTTAAACCAACTGGTGAACACTATTGTAGATAGACATATTATGTCATGTAAGAAACTAGCGAATACAATATTGTCGGACCCCGAGCATCCTCTCTATACGCATCTATCTCCTTGCATTTCATCTGGAAGAACTAGAAGCAGCTATAGGAGGCTATATGCTAGGACTACCAAATACAAAAAGTCCACAATACCATATCTGGCACAGCTGTTATGTGATGAGAAATCCGTTAGGTATGACACGATAAACTTACTGCGGCACTCTAACAAATAGTCTCATTAGGTTTTTTTTTCCTTTCCTCGTTACTACTACACTGTTGTTCTCATCTACTACCACACATCAACTTTATATTTCAAATCCTGTGGTGCATTGTTTGAAATGAAATACTCTACGCTGTTTTTTTCTTAATTTTTAATATTTATTTATTTTATTTTTATTTATTTATCTTTGATTTTTAAAAATCTTATATAATTTATGAGGTAATTAGATGCAATATACTGTAATGCACGCTGAAAATTCCATACCTGTACCACAAATACTGTTTGGAATAAAGCTGTTATTATTATTATTATTGTTTGCCTAAACTTATACTACTTTTTATTAAAAAGTAGCTTCATCATAAATTTGGAAATTTTATTATTCATGTTGTGAAACGTGTTTATTCACTAAATAGTTTTCAGTGTTTCAGAATATTTAAACTGCAAACGGATGAGAAGAAAAAAGAGGTTAAAGGAAGCGGATTATCATAGGATAATTTAAGCTAACATTTATGCCTCTGTCAGATTACGTTGCTATGTCATCAACCCATGAAATCTTTTATAGTTGGTTTAAATAACGTAAAGACTTGTGCTCGGGTTGCTGAGAAGCAATCACTCATTGACGCAAATGCATTCACCCTTTTCGACTTCCCATAACAACTATCCACACTGCTATTCCTTCACCAGAAGATTCCTATTATTATTATTTTTATAACTGTTCTCTTGGGTTCCAGCTGGAATATAGTTCTCTGTTCATTAAAGTTCTTTTGGATTTTCAATCTTCTTTCTATCGTTTTTTCTACATTGTGTAATATGTGGAGTGTGGCAGTTTGAACTGCTGTAGTCCCGTAAAAGGGCCCCGGTGGACCCAATTAAACAAAATAATATAATTTACAAAATACCTTGCAATGACTGTGAGTTAGGAGAACTGCATAGTTCAGACTAGTAGGTCAGGGGTAGTCAGATTGTCGGAACATAAGAATCTAGCTAAGATAATAATCGTTTACCCCACGAAGATAAGTTCTTTAGAAGAACACTCAGCAATCGCACTGCGTGCATTAGCACACAATGGGGTGGGTGGGACAGAGTCAAAATTCCAAAGAGTAATATAGGTAATATATGTCCAAACCAAGTTCACTTCTAACAGTTTCAAAACAATTGGGCATTGGGTATATGATATTCATTATAATAAAGGTTTTTGCATTTCCCAATGCATGAAAAACAAAACGATACCGTTGGTTTTATTGACGTTTCGCTATTTAATGCTGCTAATAGCTTTATCAAAGTATTAGTAAACCGGAATCTGACCTGGTTACAACACCTCCCTCCCCATGAAGTGACAAAATCAACACGAATGTTATAAGCAAGTTCACTATGTAAACACATGCTGCTTTTACAATTTTACACACTGGTCAAATCCAACAATCTACACCTGTTGGTTTTGTTATCTTTACCAACTGACCAACTTGACAACGAAAAATGACCCCAGACTGACGAACGATGTAATCAAGTTAATAAACTTTGTTTTGATACCATAACAGATGTACTATTACCCTTGTTATTCGGTTTAGTGGTCTTCATTGTTATTTTTACTTTCAATACGTCCTTTTAACATGACCTAAGTCTATTTTCTCAGCCCTTAACTCTTTGTTATATATATATATATATATGCTGAGATTTTGTAAATTCCGGTTTAATAATACTTTGATAAAGCTATTAGCAGCATTAAATAGCGAAACGTCAATAAAACCAGCGGTATCGTTTTGTTTTTCATTCATTGGGGAATGCAGAAACCTTTATTATAATGAATATCATATACCCAATGCCCAAATGTTTTGAAACTGTTAGAAGTGAACTTGGTTTGAACATATATAAGGTTAGAATGTATTCAATTCACACCATAACATTCCAACGAGTAGTTTATTTATTTTATTATAAAAACATCTTATTTCCCATCTCATTATATATTGTTGATAACACTAATATTATTTCCGAATGTGCTTTATCTTATAGTGATTTTATTCAAATGTCTAATCATCAATTTTTACTCATGTATATAAATGAAGCAAGAAAATTATGTGAGTAGTGCCTTGATATGATTATGAGCAGTAATAAATTGCTCTTGAAACGTGGTCATCAGTAAATAGTAGTTACTGTATAACACTGCATAACTGTTTCCAGTAACTCTGGAAATATTGTCATCGCAAAAGCTGACAAATGAAACGCCACCGTAGTTCTGAATAAATCTGACTATATCAAAAAAGTTACTGAACATATTCAAACGGGTCCATATGAACAAATTAAGAAGCCTGTAGATACAATAATGAATAAGGTTAAGAAATTTACAGCAGAATTAATACGCAGTATAAAACCGTCACTGGGTGAGTCTAAATGGTTTAATTCAATGCCTAAAACTAATAATGCAAGTAGAATATATGGTACTATAAAAATACATAAGCCAGGTTACCCCATAAGACCAATAGTAGATTTTAGAAATACCCCCACGTATGAATTATCAAAACACTTAGCTCTAATACTTTGTCCCATTGAAAATCGTTCAAACTCTAGACTAATTCATATGAGATGAAAAATAAACTAAATGACATTCAGCTAGAGAATGATGAAAAAATGGTTAGTTTTGATATAACTAGTCTTTATACTAATATACCAGTTAATATGGCCTTAGAAGCAGTTAAAAAAGAATTAACTGCGGATCCTGAACTCACTTATAGGACGAAGCTACCCATTGAAGAAATTATTTTAGGGATTCAGTTATGCCTCACATCTACTATCTTTAAATTCCAAGGTAAAATATATAGACAAACAGAAGGTGTAGCAATGGGATCACTAATATCCCCTATCTTAACAGATATCTTTATCGACAGCTGGGAAAGTAATGCTCTTAATACGTTTACTCCTACTCCAAAAATATGGTGGAGATATATGGATGACACTTTCACACACAGTGTTAAAAACAGAACATATCTCTAGCTTCTTGACACACATAAACTCACTAGTGGCGGAAATAAAATTCACATTTGAAGCGGAAAATAAACAAGGAGAATTAGCTGAGATGTTCGATTGTAAAATAAAACGAATAGAAGAAGGTAAACTGCACACTAGTGTGTACAGAAAACCAACTCATTCTAATAGATACTTAGACTTTAATTCGTCTCATCCGTCGTTGTCTGTTAAGGCAGGCTTAGTTATGTGTCTAACAAATCGAGCCATAGCACTAAGTAGCACAAGAAAAGACCTAAATGACGAAATAAAGCAGATAGAAGAAGCGTTGGTGTTGAATAACTATCCTATAAAATTCATTAGGAAGATCAGTAAAGACCAAAAGCAAAATAAAAATAATCGTGAAACTATTAATGATAACACAAATAAGAAAGAATATAAATCATCCACTGTTATACCATATAAGGAAGGATTCTTAATAAGGCAGGAATTAGGGTGGCATTCAAACCTACAAACTCACTCAGAGACAAGCTCTGTAGACTAAAAGACCCGTTGGATCCAATTAAACAAAATAATATAATTTACAAAATACCCTGCAATGACTGTTAGTTAGGTAAACTACATAGGTCAAACTAGTAGGTCAGTGATAGTCAGATTATCAGAACATAAGAGTTTAGCTAAGGTAAGAATGGTTGACCCTGAAAAGATAAGTAATTTAGAAAAAAGCTCAGCTATTGCACTTCACGCATTAACACATAACCACACAATAGGGTGAGTGAGGGCTAAAATTATAAAGAATAATCTAGATATGTGGAGAGAGAGGTTGATCACTGAATCCTTGTTCATTGAGTCTACACCCAACACATGCAATAGGAATGATTCATCAGTCATACCCGAAATATGGAAAATACTGCTGCCAATCAAATCAAGTGAAAAACAATGGAACAATATAAGTGAAGTTAAGAAGTCATTTGATTACCTTCATTTATTTTTTTTTATTTAGTTTTTATTTGATTACAGCTTGATTCCACACTATATTTTTGGTACAAGTATGGAATTTTCAGCGTGGATATCGGTAGCCCAAATTTCGCAGGCCGACCATAGATATCAGGTGTGCGTCGGCGAGGGCTCGAACCCGGGACCATGTGCATGGTCGGCGAGAGTCCTAACCACTTTGCCACCTTGATATGATTATGAGCAATAAATTGTGCTCGAAACGTGGTCATCAGTAAACATTACTGTGTAACACTGAGACTTTATCAAAACAAAATTTACCCATGATGGAATTACAATCTACCACAGTGCATGAGTTTTATTCTTATATTTTGAAAGTCCTTTTTGTTCGAGCTTCATTGAATTTGAAGTTGATGAGTTTGACAATTCGTTCACCAGTCTGCTTGGAACTTATTGTTCAGAGTAATCAAAATTAGGAAATATCAAAATCCTACATATATATATATATGTCTCACAAAGGCAAATCCATTACATATGTTTCATTTCCTCTACCATTCCAAATTCTAAGTATTTCTTTAATTATGACTAATAGTCGAAAGTAAGTTTGTGAATAAAACCTATGGAGTGTTAGTTTGCAGGGGTTTGATCGGTTTCGCGTCAGACCACGAAAAATTCAATCTAATATTCACAAACGAGTAATTAAAGGATGAAGTCACCTGAAGTCCTTATGAGAAAGAGAGATCAGTGGAGTCCTTCAAAATCGAGCTTAAGGATAGATATCCACTAACAGTTGTGCTCTGTAATACAGAGCAGTCGAAGCTAGAACTCTGTCCCAGTTTCAAGACAGTCAACTAGTTCGCCTCATGACCTGAAATCCTTGGGTGTTGTCCTAATTGGAGTCACTGGTAAGTACTAATTAGTCTGAGACTAGGAGGGAACAACTGTTCAGTACTCCGTGGTGTTCTCCAGCTCACATCAGTTTGTCATGTAACCTGAGAAAAATCCTTCTCAACGAAATAGCTTCTCAGTTTCTTTAAACTACTAATGAGTAGATTGTACTGTTAGTTAAAAGTTTGCAATAAGTTTCACTTCTTGAATCAAATAATCAAACTCACGTGGTATGAATTCATATTTAGCTAAAAATTTTAATGAATCACTACTTCACCTACTGATAGTATGCACTCATGGTCGTTTTAATCAAACATACATGACACAGAGGTTAGAAAATTTCTAATAATCAAGTAAATTTTAAAACTAACTTTGTGTAGATTGATCATTTTGCGATTCATCTTGATCATATTGAGAAGACTTCTGTGATCTTCTCGTATCTCCATCTCCTAAAATAAAGCAAATAATTCTCTTCAGTTTGAATTTAGCAGTGATTATGATGTGTTGAATAAATTTAGGGAACACTATCATTGACGAAAGAAATTCAGCCAATGTTTGCCGGTAAAAATTCATTAACATAGGGCTGCAATAAAACATCTACACTTTCTTCTATTTTCTGCCTTCCTCATCAGCTGGCTAGCCCCACGAATAACCATAATCTTTCATTTCCTTCTTCAAAAGTCATACGATCTCCATGTCATCCTCACACTGAAAATTCACTCGTCGCTTCGTATTGCGATTCCAGTCGAGCAATGGCCAGCATTAGACGCTACGTCATTCAATGGCTTCCTCAATGTATGCTCAATTAAAATCCATCTACATTTTCTTCTACATGTTTTCTGAGCAATTGGTTCCTGGATTTTTTGTTCCCAGACAGAGTTTCTCGCTACTAATTATCCCTTCAATATGTAGCCAACCAGCGAAATGGTCAACCTTTTCATAAAAGTCTGCAATTGGCTGCTGAAATACCCTTTTCGTAACTGACACAAAGTGCAAGTTTCTGATCCGTATAGACGAACTGACTGACTGACTGACTGACCTCATATTAATGTTGAACAGAATCCGAATCTTATTCCGCACGCTGACTGAGTCACAGTAGAAGATTTTCAAACTAGTTTCAGTTTGATGAAGGTGTATCTTACTTTTCTGATTCTTACTTTAACATTTTCATTCGTACTGTCGCCTATAGTTGAAAGGATTCATTAGATATGCTGTATCTTATTACTTCTCAACAAGGGTTCTTTTCGCCTATTCAATAATAATTCACTATACAGTTATCTAATTTACATTTTTTGTGTGAGTTCAAACATATGAAAAGGAAATAAATGACATGAACAACTGTTCCATGCTCCAAAATCAATACAGTTGAACCTTCTTTAATTTAAACCCTTGCCAATTTTACTAATGTGCTAGTTTTCTAGCCGGTTCCAAGCCCTGGGAAAAGAGTAAAGGTTGATCGGAGGGCTAGCGGTTCTACCCCCAGAAAATCAGTCCAGTCAATACAGAAACCTCAAAGCACTGTAAGCGAACATAGAAAAGACAGAAATGATGAAAACAAACAACAAGTATCAAACACCGTCAACTGAATAAATTTGAAAGAGGTGGTTTCCTTGACTAATCTTGGAAGCATCGTTCAAATTACACGCAGTCGGCACAGATGAGGAATGTCAGAACCAGAATTGGAAAGGCAAGATAGACCTTTATAACTCTGAAACCAGTTCAGAACTCTCCTGCACTCAGCATAAACAACAAAATTGGGATTCTGAACACCAATATGAAGTCGATTCCTTTAAATATGGATCAGAAATTTGACTTACGCATCACAAAAATAATTTCCAACAGACTACTGCAGACTTCTATCAACAACTGTCTTCTTTGCCGTCAAGGTGAATATCAGATGGCTGAACAGAAATAATTTGCAACAAGCAACTCCAGGAACTATTCAATTAAAAACCTACTACTCAAAAAACTATTCTGAGGAAAATGGAGATGTATTGGACACATACTGAAGAGACTATTGGGCGACATCATACGGCAGTTGAACCCAAATGGGAAAAGACTTGGTGGTGTGTCTGATTATGACATACAGGAGATGATGTGCGTAAAAGATGAAACCTTACGGGGAATTATGAGAACAGCTAAAGAGGACCTCGAAGAATAAACCGAAGTGAAGATGTCCTGTTGAAGCCTTACATTCCATTGGGAACCATGGGAACAATAATTTTAATAATCTGTAATTGAAACACTTTTTCAAAGCATAAACTTAACTTGGGTATACCACTAACATGTGAGATTACCTGTTCAAGTGGTATCATTCCATCCCAGTCCTATCAGCTAGATAAACTATCTGCTGTAACACAATAATATAACCGTTTTATAAGTCATAATAAAATCAATGAATATTTCCATCATATAAAGGAAGAGAGTAGGTCAATATGTCAAACAATTGACTTTCCCATACATAGTGCTCGTTTTTATACTGAGTGATACACCACATAATTTAAAGGCTTCATCCCGTTAAAACATTTGGTTCAGAAGCTATAGATACGTTTAGGAATTGCAATGTAGCGCTTATTTCATGTCTGAGTCTTGTAGAAAAGCCTGTATTACAAAAAACAATTCAGTGGTCCTGATAGAATTGACAGCATGCCTAAAAATTTAAATCTCAACCATTTGTGGTAGTTTCTAAACACCATTAAATAGCATATTTTAGTAGTATCACGCTGTATTATTTTGATTTAATCATCCACTTATCACAACCACTTTGTCTAAAACATTAGTCACATATGGGTATTCTATTATCCGGTGTTACTCTCTTTTCAAATTGGAACACGTACAAAACTTTATCTGATAAAATTATCAAGAAACCGACATAGTTTTATCGTGAGATATTAAACCCAAAGGCGCTCAAAAAGCATATCACAGCTTAGCTGGAACCTAATGTCCAATGATTTTCAAAATCAACACCACCACTACTACCTTTAGCATAGTCATCATCCAGCTAGATCACCTCTACGAATCAATAATTTCAGTTTGTGCCAAAATCAAACAAAATTCTTTGTCTGGTGCTAAGTGTGTTTATTGCCTACACTCTTTTTAGGGTAAATCAAACACATCGAATTCCAGCTTTTATCTACATTTCCCTTTCTTATAAAATTTTTTTTTGTGTGTGTGGAATGTCTGGAATGAACATGACGATAGAAATGATTTCCCACTTTTTCATGATATCTGGAAAATTCATAAAAATTTAATTACCTGAACTAAACGAACTAACCCGCAAAAGGTCTAGACAATGAATAAATAATACAGCCAGAGAAATCATAGTTAATTTCAGTTTTGCACATCATTTTTTATTGTTACATCACTATGTTTATATTGTTTAACAATCTAAATCTGATAGAAAATGTAGGTAGATTAAAACAACGGATAAACTTTATTGCTATTACCTTGTTCGTCAGTCGTCCAGCGGGAGAGCGCTAGCCAGTCAAACATAAGGCCCCGGATTCAATTTCCGGATGGTGCACCCCTAAATCAACAGGATAACCCCTCCAGGAGAAGAGGGGAGGATGGACAACCCCACCCGGTAAAGAAAACATTAATACTACTCCTACTAAAACTTCAAGCTTGTGGAGCTTCGTTTCACTCGGAAAGTATAGGAATAAAATAAGGTATATTACTGTTTTGACGACTAGAGTTTTCTTCTGTTCTGTAAGTCCTTTATTAAGGAACTTATTTTTTATGATGATGTACTCATAGATGAACAGTGGAAGGGATGGGTAAATTTTTTGAGTGATTTTAACATGATGTTAAAACCAAATTAAAATGAAAACATTTTGACTACTAGTCGGTGAACGGAATAAACAAAAAACAATCAGAAGCTGGGTTTCTGTTTCTAAATGCCAGTCATCAACATGGAATATCTTTAACCAAGAGGGAAATGCTGTCTTCCTGGAGACTTGAGATTTTAAAACTCAGTGCTTTAGTGACGTGACGACATTGAGACTAAGGTTCAATGACCCTAGAGACGTTTTAGTCACTACATGATTTCAAGATGCGGTAAATTCTCCAAGAAATCTTAAGATTGTATTGTTATTATTATTATTGTTCCATTGGGTTCCTAGTAGAACATAGGGCTTCAACTGCACGTCTCCCTCCACTTGCCACTTCTGTCTTCCTTCTGCTGTACTTTTCACCTGCATCCATCCATGTTAGTCCACACTCTTTCAACTCCTCTTCACACCATCTCCTCCATGTCACTCTCGCACTGACGTCCCACTCCCCTCCTCCCTTTCGGCCTGGTTCCACTCGAGCAATGGCCTGACGCGCGCGCGATGTCACCCAGCGACCTCATCAGAGAGTGTCCAATCCATCCATCTCCACTTTCTCCTGCTTATTTGTGTTGGGTGATTGGTTTGTTCTTGTTCTGTTTGTCCCCATAGTTTCTTGTTGGTGATTCTTTCCGGCCCGCCCGGCCATCTGATCTTCAGTATAGATCCAGCGAAGATAGTTGTTGATAAAGGTCTGCAACAGGCTGCTGGAAATACTCTTTGTGACCCGCCCGCCGAGTTTCTGATCCCCATAGAAGAACTGACTGACTTGACGTTTGTATTGAAAACCTCAAGATTGTAATTTCATATAATGATTTATTCTAAAGATAATAAAACATTCACACAGTGAGCTTCATGTCACCTTAAAAATGCAATCTGTTATCATGAAAATAATACACGAAGAAAAAATGTTGGTTTTTTTTTAAACTGGTTAACTTACGTGAACCTAAAACTTTCTCTTCTAATTCACGATTGGCTGTAATACAGAAAAAATGACAAACAATAACAAGAAATATTAGAAGTCTTACAATTATAACACATAAGCTATTTCGAAATATAATACTTTTAAACAATTTACTCATAAATAAATGATTTCTGGGGTAATAACCTAATAAATACTGTAGGTAAGTAATAAGTATATAAAATACGTAGAAGACAATTTTTGTTATTTATGTTCAATTAATAAAAAAATATTTGAACTCTCATAGAATTTTTAATGCAGTTACTAGACACTTTCGTTAACCTGAAAACTAAGCAAATTAATGGTCTACGGGCTAGCTTGCCTAGTAACCAGGCAGGTCCTGGGTTCGACCCCTGGCGGTGGAGGCGTACTGATGAAGAGTTCCAAACTAGGACGAAAGAGTCGTCCGGTAGTACTCCAAAGTTTTCCAATAGTTCTCTAAATCGTGTTTGCTCATGATGAAATCGTGTAACCAATCAAATCCAATCTCTACAAAACCAATATTTAATATTCTGTTGGATAATTCCTTCATTAGTTATGGACATACATAGCACTTAAAGAGTAATTATTATGGATAACAGTGACGTTTTTAAAATTATATTGAGTTGTTGTTAAGATCAGTTAAAACAATAATCACTTTTGAATGACTTAGGGAGAAAAGAAAATCTTCACACTGTGCGTCGATGACACAGCGGTTAGGACTCTCACCGACCGTGCATATGATCGGGAGTTCTATCCCCTGCCGACGCACACCTGCTATCATTGATCGGCCTGTAAAATTTGCGCTACCGATATCACATGCTGAAAATTCCTCACTTCTACCAAAAGTAATGTTTGGAATCAAGTTACATTCAAAAATATAAAAAAAAATCACGTAGTGATAATTAAAGTAAGGAAAATGTTTGAACGAATTTGTTTTGCATGTATATATGTTCGGCTTCTTCAGGTGGATTCCAACGGCTTCGTTTATATGTAAAGGAGAACTCGTAAGGCTAATAAAGATTAATTGGAAGAGAGTAGGTAACTCTAAATATCTTGTTAACATCAAGTTAATGTTTATTATATACAAGATGAGATAAAACAGAGCTATAAATACATTTTATTTGTCCTTTGTTTAACCTTCCTTACTCTTCGAACACAAAGTTGAAGTAGTTTTGAAGTGTATTCACTGCATTATTTCGAAGTTTTGTTATCATTATATTAATACTGTCACCAAGAAACCGTAGTTTGAAGAACTTAGGCTTCTTTGAAGCTGTCAGTAACAATTATTGTAAAAATATTACTTTTATATAGCTGATGATGGGGGAAAATATCAAAAGAAATTCAACTGTACCTGGGGTGACAATTATGTGGGGCACACTACCACTAGACAGCTTAGCCAACGTGTCGAGACTGAACATCTTCCATTGTGGTGGTTTGGCAAAGGACAGACAAAAACAATCCATAGCTCAATTTTGTCACATTTAATTGATAGTGGTCATGTACTGGAGAAAACGAGAGCTTTCAAAGTAGTTCATCGTATCCCACCGAATCTTTTCAATAGACCTTTGTGTTCGTCTACTGCACACAGCTGAGGCGATATGCATTCGAACTATTAAACCTAAACAATGCTCATTCAAAAAAAGTTCGTACAGCCATTATCCCTCCTCTATTGGCTTATTAAGACATAACCAATTGATGACTTCTACACCACCCCTTACATATATTATATTTTCAACCCCTCTCTCTCTCTCTCTCTCTTATCATCCCTTAATCTTATCACATCTTCATTAAAAACGTGTCTCATTTACTTCCCTTACAATCTAACATTACTGAATCGGTTCATTTGTTTCTCTTAGCCTTTATTGACTACTATGTCTACCTGAACATTTGTTTGTTTAATCATGCTGTTTTTCATTATTCGTTAATATATGTGTAAAACTTGGGCACTGTGGTATTAAGTAATTCCATATTACTTTTGTATACAAAGCGTGGGTTTGAGCTTTTGTATAGCTAGCGCCTCGGCTATGCCCAGATGTCTTGATTTTACTCCCTTTGATGGGTTTGATCGAATCTTGTAAATGATTTTGAAGGATTTTTCGAGTGGCGCTGAATGTCCTGAATTCACCAGGTGTTCTGTCACCGAACTATTTACCCGTTTTCGTTCTCCTTTTACTAGCCAGGCTGGATAGTGTTCACGAGCGCGTTTTTCAAGTCGGCGCATGGTACGGCCAACGTACTCAGCTCCACAAGAGCAAGTAAACTGGTATATGCACGTTGAGGTGGCCCAATGCGACAGCTTGTCTTTCGCGTTCTGGCTGAACAGTTTCTTGCAGGAAAACGTCAGTCGTAGGCTAGCGGCGAAGTATGTTTTCCTCAGCGATTTTGAGAGGCGTCTGCGAAGGATTTCTGCTTCAATATCACCTTTGAATTCTAGATTAAGCAGAAGCATTTTCTTTGGGACGGATTGGACTTGTTCAGAAGTCTTCTTAGGTTTGAGATTCTTTTCTATGAACCTGGGCGGGAAACCGTTTTCCATCAGGGTTTTTCGAAGATTACGCAGTTCTTCTTCAACCACTTCCTCGCTGCATATCTTCCGAATCCTCGAGGAAAGAGCGTATATCAGGTTCCTCTTTCTGCTCAGGGGCACGAAGCTTTGAAAGTTGATGAATTGTCCATTCCATGTAGGCTTTTTGTATATGGACCTTTTCAGGGAGTTGTCGGCGTTTCTTGTCAGATGGACGTCGAGGAAGTGGAACATTCCGTCGGATTCAGTCTCAAGTGTGAAGTCGATGTTTGGGTGGGCATTATTGAAATTTGAAGTAGGTTTTTTAAATCACAGTTCTCATCACAAATAATGAAAGTATCATCGATGTATCTCTTGTAGAGATGGAGGTCGTTGATAGTTGTTGATAAGGCGTTGTTCTCTAAGCTAGCCATAAAGCAGTCGGCTAGAAGGGGTCCTAAGGGAGAACCCATTGCTACTCCATCTACTTGCCTGTATATTTCTTTGTTGAAACTAAAGTATACGTTGAAGGTGCATCGAAGTAACAGTTCTTTCAGGTAATGAATTGGTATACCGACATTGATGTTATTGGATTCAATGTAGTCACAAAGGAAACATACGGTTTCTGTCAGTGGAACGTTGGTGAAGAGAGACACGACATCCAGGGAGACCATTTTCTTTTCTGCCACATTGACATTCTTAATTGAATCAACAAAGTCGAATGTGTCGCGGAGGTTATGTCTTGACAGCTTCTCTTTCACCGGCCCGAGAATATCAATTTTTTGATATTGATATGATTATGAACAATAAATTGTGTTCGAAACGTCATCCAGTATACAATACTGTTTCACTGTGTGATACATTTAATAATCAAACTAATATGGAATTTCATTATTCGTGTTATCACAGATCACCTCATTATTCATCCTTATTACTGATAAAACCATTATTATTATTACTATTTTCATTACTACTATTATGACTAATTGCGCAATTTGTATTCACCATCTTATTATCCTATAGACAAAACACCATGATTGGTTTATATTTGAATTTTTATTTGTAAAGTTATGTAGGCATATTACAGCTAAACCTGATGAGATCTAATTGAAAGTACAACATTGTTCACTTAAATGTGTTGTTCTAAATTTTACTATGGGAATATTTAATAATATTGAAATATTCATTTCTCAATTCTTTCAACTTCTAAATGTCTAAATGGGAATTTCTGATGTATCAAATTAAACATTTCAAAGTTTAGTTTTAGTATAGTGAAACAAATCAAAACACACATGCTCTTGTTTTTCTAAGAAACTATTAAATTCCAGTCTCGTTTAATATGCGAATATTTACCGCACTGTAATGTTTTTCCCTCTTATGATGTTATTGCTCTTAATCAGTCTTTTATACGCTCTCCTTCTACTATAACTACTTTCTTCTAACGCTACTAATCATGTACCTGGTGACTTTCATGACTTTAATACTCTCAATGTTCTAAAATGTCTTAAAACGCTTAAGCCCTCACGTAGCCCTGGCCCTGATGGTAAACCTGCATATGTTCTAAAACAATGTGCAGATGCTTTATATTCTCCACTAACTAACATCCTAAATGCTTCTTTCTCCAAAAACGTTGTACCTGTTCCATGGAAAGACATTAAAATAGTCCCTGTCCTTAAACCTGGCAATAGCAAAAACGTAAAGTTCAGACCCATTGCCATCACTTCCCGTTTCTAAAGCTTATGGAAAAACTAGTACTTCTTAAACTCAAACCCTCGCTTAAAAGCTTTGAAGACCCCAAACAATTTGCCCACAGACAGGGTAGAAGCACTTTAGACACTGCAGCCGCCATACACAATAGTATCGTCTCATCATTAGATAAAGGTGCCAAATACGTCCGCTACACGTTTCTCCACTTCACTTCTGCTTTCGACTCTGTACCTAGATGTCTCTTGCTTAATAAGCTCTCGATGACACAAACTGAGTCCTAGGACACTAACTGGTTACATTCCTACTTCTCAAACAGAATGCAGTACCGTATACAAAGGTAAATCCTCCTCTGCTGTGCTCACAGAAGCTGGTGTCCCCCAAGGTGCTGTACTCTCCCCACTTCTCTTTTCTTTCTTTCTACATGACCTACCATCTGCAAATGACATTAATTTTGTCAAATATGCTGACGACCTGACTGTGTCTTTGCCTGTCAAATGTCAAAGTGACTGCTCTAAACTAAATGGCTTTTTATCAGAAATCAGCCAATGGTCCAAGGAAAACGGTTTTACCTTAAACCCCTCTAAATGCCAAACAGTTAATTTCACCTTTAGGCACAAATATGACCTAAAAAAATTGGTTAGCAGTCACGAGGTGTGCAACATAGATGGCAGTAAAATAGAAACCAAGTCGGAAATTAAATATCTTGGCATCATTCTACCTACTGATCTTTCCTGGTTGTCTCATATCTTGATGATTTCTAAGAAAATATTCCGTCTTACCTTCTACATCAAGAAGTTAAGACATTCTGGTATAACCCAACCCTTACTCCTACAATTCGTTAACTCTCGCATTCTGCCTATTATTCTCTATTGTTCCCCCTTAGTTTTTCCATGGCTACTGAAGAAAGACTATACCTTATTACGCAGGATATAAGTATAAAACTTGGGCACTGTGGTAGAGTATAAGTCCATTACAGATAAGATTTTATTTCGATAAATCACACAGTGTTGTACAGTTACATTAACTGATGATGTTTCGAGCACAAACTATTGCTCATAATCATATCAAGTAACTCACACAACTTTTTTCTTACGCAGGATGTTAAAGGTTGTCAGCAGGGTAAGCAATGTGCCACTTAACCAGCTTGTTATTATTCTGGTTGACATGCACATGGACTTATGTGAAAAATGGGCTAAATCCATTCTATCTAACTCACATCACCCTCTTCATTCACAACTCTCGCCTTGTATCTACTCAGGCAGAACAAGAAGCCTATATAGAAAACTATATGCTCGCACTAGTAAGTACAAAAACTCAACCATACCCTACTTAGCTTGTGTTCTGTTCGATAAGGAAAGCATTAGGCGTGATAACTATAACTTATTAAATAGTAAGTAGAACAACTGGATCTCGTCTTTCCAATTCATATCATTTATAGGTACAACGTTTTCTCTCTTTCTTTCCTTTTCTCTCTCTCTTTTTTCTCTATCATGTGCTGCTATGTTTCTTTCTTGCTTACTGACTCTATTAAAACATTCTTCTTCGTTCTCTCACACTCTGTATACCTCGACCTTTTGTTACCGCTTACGCCAGTAAATATGCTAGCATCTACTTTTCTAACACCTTCAAACACTCTGTTCAATTTTGACTTTGCTACCGACATGCCAATATGTTGTTGTCAAAATGAACTGAGATTTCTTTAATTTATGTAGAATTTTATTTATTGATGATGTACTAACTGGATGCAATACTGTATGTAGTAAAATGCTGAGAATTCCATTCAGTATCACAAGTACTGTTTTGGAATAAAACGAATTATTATTATTATTATTACAAACATTATTGTGAACTCTTACAGTAGAACTAAGACTTTTTTTCGATTTGTCAACTAAATTGACCACAAAATGTGTAGAAGTACCACAAGAACTACATGAAATGTTCTATCGCTAATGTTTAAACAGATATTATATTTAAGTAATTTGGTTATGGTTATTTGATAATTAATAGAGCAAGAGAAGTTCGAAACAAATGGATTCCAGTGAGAATTATTAAGCTGCAATCATAGTTAAAATAGTATGAAAAGTGTATAGAAGGAATTAATACGTGTGTGTAAATAAATGATTGCTCTGGTGGGTATGTAATTCCATATTAATTTGGATGTTGGATACATAGGGCTGAATTCAACAAAACATCTGCACTTTCTTCTTTCTTCTGCTATCCCCTTCAGCTGGGTCGATGATTGCCCAAACTCTCTCATCCTTCATTCCAACTTACATGATCTCCTCAATGTCACCCTCTCACCGACGACCCACTCGTCACTTCCCACTTGGATTCCACTCGAGCAATGACCTGCACTGAGCACGATGTCATTCGACGGCCTCTTCAATGTATGCCTGATCAATCCACATCCATTTTCTCTTATATATTTGTTGAGCTGTCTGCTCTTGCTTGTTGGTTTTTGTCCAGCCAGCGCTTCTTGTTACATGTTCTTTCAGGTCATTTGATCTTCAGTATGGAGCTAGCCAGCGAAGTGGGCAGCTGTTGATGGAAGTCTGCAACCTGTTGAAAATCCTTTTCGTGACTCACGCTGGTCAAGTTTCTGACCCATATAAAAGGACCGACTTGACACTGATATTGAAAATCCAAATCTTCTCGATTATGCTGGCTGGATAAGTGAAGCAGAAGATTTCCAAACTGCTTCCGGGTTGATGGTGTATCTTGCCTTTCCGATTCTGACTCATTTTGACAAATTCATTCGTTCCGACTGCTTGTGGTAGAAACGATGCTTCCTAGCCGGATAACTAAAAGGAAGTAGCTTCTGTCAAATCTCTCCCGTTGATGGCGATTGGTGCTTGTGATTGTTGCTGTTGCTGTTCTTTGGTTATCTTCATCATCTCCGTCTTCTGTGTATTCATTTACATTCCTTTCTTCACTGCCAGCCTTTCTAGCCAGTTTGTTGGTTTTCGCCTGTAAGTCTCCGGGTTTGTGTGACATTAGACATATATCATCCACACACAAAATCCAGATCTGCTACAGTCTTCTTATTGGTCAAACATATTACCATCTTTTCGCTCCCACGCACAGTCTGACGCATAATCCAGTCCACCATAATTAAGAATAACATCGGTGATGATAGGCAATCGGCCTTTATTTTACTCTTGTATGCACTTCGAACGCTTCGCTGAGTTTTTCTTTATGGATCATCTGACACGTACCACTGTCATATAGCTGGCTGTCGATAAAGACTTGACGTATGCCGTAGTGTTGAAGTAGCTTCCATAGCTATACTAAGTAATCTGTACTCAAACACTCGTTATCATATGAGAGCCGGAAGTGAGCAGTACTATGGGTGTACATAGTGCTTCTAATTTTTTTTTAAATAATATTAATAGCTTTATCCTAAACAATGTTTATATAATGTACAGAATTTTCAGCGGAGTTTATAGCAGGCGATTTTCTCTCCATTCTTCAGGATATTCAAATGAAATATTAATTACCAGTAGACTATGTGACACGGCGCTATCTGACCTATGTGTAAACTAATTCAGTACAATATCTTTTCTTTGTCTTCTTCTTCGAGAAATGCACAACACTATGGTTGAATACCAATTCTAAAACGTTCAGAAGTACACTGTGTGAACGCAGAGCACCATTCAGAAACGATCATCTCATATATTGGAATAAGCTGTCATCGAGGGTAATTCTTTTTCTCATGTTTAATAGAAACTTGCGAAACTTCAAGTTGTAAATGTTTTAAATATTGGAAGTTATATTTTACTAGATTTAAACATTTTATTATTATTGTTCCCTTGGGTTTCTAGTGGAACATAGGGCTTCAACTGCACGTCTCTCTCCACTTGCCACTTCTGTCTTCCTTCTGCTATACTTTTCACATGCATCCATCCATGTTAGTCCATACTCTTTCAACTCCTCTTAACACCATCTCCTCCATGTCACTCTCGCACTGACGACCAACTCGCCGTTTCCCTTTCGGCCTGGTTCCACTCGAGCAATGGCCTGACGCGCGCGTGATGTCACCTAGCGGCCTCTTCAGCGAGTGTCCAATCCATCTCCATCCACTTTCTCCTGCATATTTGTGTTGGGTGATTGGTTTGTTATTGTTTTTTTTGTTAGTGCCCATAGTTTGATACGGCTGTCTTAATTGAATTTGTTGATAAAGTGAAATATATAATCAATGGTCTGAAAAGCATTAATCATCAATATAGATATATGAACGAACGTGGCATATTCTGTGGCTACTAGCTTTGTGGCATAAGATGTTTGTATCGAAACTGTTATCAGGACACTACAGGGATTAGATTCAAAGTTTTACGTATAGAAGACAAGTCATTCCTTAGTGAGAAAGTCTTAGAATTCTTCACAGAATGACAAACATTTTCTGATATACTTTGCCGAGAATTGTCAATAATCCTAAAATGTAAATCCAAGACATTTTCTCAAGTTGTTATTTGGGCGGGTTATTTTCCCAATCTATACACTGGCTATTTCTGTGGTGAACAACGTGTCCACAAATAAATGGAAGCTTGCTGACTGGATTATATGACATAGTTCTAAGGTCATAAACCGGTTCAATACAATGACATCATGACTGGGGTGAAAATTACAATGATCGATTGTAGCAGAAATTAAATCAGTTACCCCTAGATTACGGCCTGCATACCACAGTGACTAAGCTGACAATCGATCATCTCTTAATCTTGTTGCAGCTTGCTGGAACCGTGCTACAACTCACATATTTGAACAGCAATTATACACAAATTATAAAACAACTAAAAATATATCTTACCTATAATCCATCGTACCATATATGATAATTCATAACCTGCAGCACTCATTCGTGTACTTGGTCTTCGTCTAATCACTGACTGTGTTCTTCGACAACGTCCACGTCCTAAACCAGAATGTTCAGTTGATAAACGTCTACTATCTGTAATTGGTTCAGTTGATGTCATTGAAGAGGCGCGTTTTTTTACACCATCCATTGGAGTTAAAAAGCCAACACTGAAATCTGATAATCTAGGTGAAAAATGTGGACTTTCAGTGTTCTTTATACCTTCATGGCCAACGCCCCTGGCATCATCATAATTGTCAAAATCTTTAGTATTATAATCATTGTCTATATATGAATTAGTTTTATCTTCATCACTTGGTGAAGTGATTTCAATTTTTGGTGTTTTTATCATATGTCGTTTATTCATTCGTTTATCACTGACATGAATATTTGGATTGATTGATTTTAATTTATCTGTTGGTTTAGAGAAAAGAAAAGCAGAAATATATTTATAACAAATTATTTATTATTTAAGAAATCTAAAATAAAATAATAAAAACCACCAGGGAGTACTGGACAGCCAGATGTTTCATCAGACTAGTTTGGGAGTCTTCATCAGTACGCACCCACCGCCAGATTTTGAACTCAGGACCATCTGGATACAAGGCTAGCTAGCTTGTGGACCATTAAGCCATTGGGACTTAGTCCATCAGCCAGCTAATGAATTCTGCCAGTTCACGACATAGTGCGACCACAAGATAATGAGTACTTCTGAAGAGTCTCAAACTAGGACGAAACAACTGTCCAGTACTCCCTGAAGGTTTTCCAGTGGTTCTCTAACGGATATCAGCTCATTATGAAATCCTGTAAGCAATCAATCAGATCTCTAAAAATAAATACTTGAAAAGTACTTATTATTTATTTTTAATTTTTTCCCTTCACGTTCCCGGTGGAATATAGGGCTAACACCTTTAGCTCTGAAGCTTCAGTAGAAGAGGTTTTATTTTTACTATCCTCACGCCTAACCTTCCCTCTTAACATGACATACACTACCGACTAAGTGAGGCTTAGGTGTGTGTCGGCTGGGGATCGAACACTGGACCGCATCCATGGTTGGCGAGAAGTCCATCGCTGCACCACCGACGCAATAAAACAAAGTGTTAAATTTACTAAAACTTGTGGAATAACTACACTTAATCATTGAATCATCTAAAAACATCACAGACGACCTTACAGAATAGTATTTACTCCATCATAAAACATTTTGGCTTCGAGATTATTTAGTACAATCCAGTATTATATCTAGTCACATCACATTTTGACAGAACATTTGAACGCGTCTGTCAATATTAACAAAACATTCAATAGTTTGTTTGTTCGAACTGATCTCCATTGGCGGGCGATAAGAAGGCTGTCATTGCTCAATCGTGTACAGGTTGGCAGAAGATTGGCGAAATACAAGTATTGTTGTATGTAATATTAACGTTTATTTACAACTTTAATACTGATTAACCACTGTAAATCTGTTTCGTAATCTCTTGAAGAATAAATAATCATGCTGCCCAACAGTTTTCTGTTATTCTGCGTCGGTTACAGTGCATAGTGTTTCAGGTATTAAACTTAGTCTTTTGAAACTACCGACAGGTCCAGGATCTCTACCATCTGGATATTTGACAACGTCCTTCATTTGTAAGCGAGTTCAGCTGCTGCTACAACAACTTCAGAAGCATTATAAAGCCCTGCAAGTTAAAGTGATCGAAATATCCAGTGTAATAAACGTCCTTTGCAGTCATTTTCATATTGATATTATTGATTCCACTGACAGTCAATCACAGAAGTACAGAACAACTTATCAGTTGATGGATTATCTCCACAGTTTGGTCTCAACAAAACCATACTGTTGTTGTTATTGTTGTTAAAAATCTGATTGAGAATCTGGATTCCAGGAATGCAGTGAATTCCAGTAAATGTACATTTTGCGCGAAACCAGGTTACAGGATCACTTCGAGTATAGAGATTTTTAATCCAGTTACTCTTATCTAAGATGAAAAGAAACAATTCCCTATACAAGCACCCTTATTTTATTTGACACGAAAAGTTTCATGAAGCAATTTTGCTTCATAAGTCACATCCCGAGAAATGTGTAAACTATACTCTTGCTGCGGCAAAAAATTTCGTCTTATAAAGCCTTCCTCAAAAGACGTTGAAGCACTGAATGCAGACAGTGTTAAAGTTAGGACAGTATAACCGAAGTCCTACTCAATGAAGAAAAATAGGTGCAGAGAATAAAAATGAGGTCGATGAAACAATTAGATGCCCATATTGGTGTACAGTTACCAAACAATATCACTATAAACTCCGCCATAAAAACTCTAATAAGTGAAGTTCACCAGTCACTACGATGGACGATTAAAAACAATCCTACCTGAGACTCATCAACTGGAGACAGGTATATCATTCAGTTCCAATTTCAAAATCCTTTATCGAGGACTAAACTAATGAGCCAACTAATGAGCCGTCTCCTTTAAGATCAGATTAGAGACATACACAAATAAGAATTAGGTTGTGAATAAGAAACCTTGAGGTCCTAATTCAACTCAGCTAACCTGGAACATTTGAACAGTGAGGCCTACAGATGAATAGAATGTTACAAATTCAAAAAATATGAAGATATCAGAACAAGCTTCATCACAAACAAACATTACTTAAAGAACCCATTCAAATTCAAGGGACACTGAACAGCCGCTTATAATATTTTTGGATTCATCGTCTATATATATTCAAAATAATCTTGAGTAACACTGGATTCACTGATAAGCCTGAAGAATTAACAGATGATGAGCGTTCACAGAACACTAGGAAATTCGTGATAAGAGGCTCAAAAACAGTCATTCAAGCTAACTAACAGTCAAGTTAGTTGAGAGTTGTAGGCAAAAAAGGGTTCTCTTGACATGTCTGCTTAAAGTACGGGCACTTTGACAATGTGTGAGGCGTAAAATTAGTGTTATTCGAAGGATGGTGACCAACAGTGGGATCAAAAATGCTCATTTTTACGTATTTGGTAAATTTTGACAGAAGACGAATGTTTCGACCCAAATGGTCAATAGAAAAAACGGGAATTGACATAAACAAACGGTAACTTATCCCTGTTGCACGACAGGTGGCTAAATGGTGTACTGGATAAAACGCTTTAGCGTTTGAAGCGAAGGGTACTGGGTTCGAGTCTCAGTGAGAACACTATAATTTACTGTGGATTTCAGGCACATCCAGATGAAATGTCCCGAGTAGGATGAAGTGCACGCCTCGGATTCCACTGTCAACCGGTCACTATCTAAATTATGGATTTTTCTAAGAAGTTAGATTAGTTTCCAAGCTGATTTCATCCTAAAGTAACATTAGTTATAGATTATTGGAAATCTGGGGTTATTGAACAGCTGTTTCGATCTAGTTTGAAACTATTCAGCACTGCATACCGACGAACTTGCCAGGTATCAAACCCCTGCCTAACTCCTAGGTTACTAGGCCGAAATCTCTAACCATTCAGCCACTGAGACTGAAATCTAATGATCCCTGAATCCTCACTTCTGGTCTGGGAACCTATGACAAGTATTCATAACTACCTGCTATTTTCAGTTTTATTCTAAAACTTACCTATAGGTGTTCCAACTGTTCCGTTAACTTTAAGAATTGGTGACTGAATTGTCCTTTCAGGTGATTTTCGATCCGAAATCTTGACACCATCTTCTGTAATTATATGATTTTTATTGTTATTATTATTATTCGCTTTAGTGGATAATTTAAATTGATTGAAATGCACTTTATTACGTAATTTTTTAATAGCTGAAAATTTTGGACAATGTTGTTTACATGTTTGCATAAATTTATCCCAATTACGATTTAAATAATTCAGCGGTTTTGCAAGTAGTCGTTGTAAACATAAAGGCAGGATACTTTTAGTTCCATGGGATCGTTGACGTCGCATATATGTACTACTAGCCCATGTTGTAAATACATAGCATAAATATAAGATTAAAAATCCTAAAAATAATATATAAAAAGTTACTATTAATTAATTAGATAATATTTTATAAAATATATTTTATAATAATCCGATTATATAATATTTTATTCATACATTCAGGTGGATATGTATCTGTATGGTTGAGTAAAGGGGTAAACAAATGCATAAACAGTTCAGTCTTAGCTCACTTGGTAGGTACTGGACACTGGATAAAACCTGAGCAGCTGTTCCTGGTAATCTGTCTGGAGGAGCTCGACTACGCTTTCTTTCAGTACCTGAAAGGGTAGCAATCAATATCAGGAGACCTGGTTTCTGTATACCTACAAAGTATGTCCAACCGCTTCATTTACCTTGGATTACATTTAGGTCAACAAATCCTTCATAAACATAGGCACTTTAAATTCCTATCATGTTATTTTCTTAGCTTTTCCTTTGTATCACTGAAAAAAACGTTTATTTCGGATCTTTTACGACTTCATGACCTTTCTGATTATGTTAGTTACCTTAGGTTGACATAATGCTTTTTAAACTCGCTATGATACTTACAGAATCCTGTTCATTCCACAGAATTCATTATTACCTGTTAGTCGTTGACTAATGGCACTTTTAAGTTTACACCAGACCATCGTTATTATTTTGCCGTCATTATTATCGTTGTTGTAAGTCACGCTTGAACTCATGCGCTTTCTCGGATTCGAGCCAGCGTCACCCAGTGCAGAGGTAAGAGACATTACCACTGAGCTGTTTGTGCTGACGGATGACCTCCTATAGGACCGTATTGGTTACTTTGATTGGACACTAGTAACTAGTGTGATGTGTCTGGTTAGTCCTTTGTTTAGTGCAGACTGAATTCTATCAGTCAGTCAGGTTTGCATTGTGGTCACCATTCTAGGTATCTTGCCTTGCTGACTGGTGAGTGCCAACTTTCACGAATTAAATTAACGTGCACCGTGATGGCGAGCTATCTAGAATGGTAGTCACATTGCAAACCTGACTGATAGAATTCCGTCTGCACCAAAGAAAGCACTAGACACATCCCACTAGTTACTAGTGCCCAATCAAAGAAAAAACAGCAACATTTAACTAGTTAGGTTGTAGTTAGATTGCGAACTGATATCATTTAGGGGACCACTTAGAACTGGATAATATTAGACAGTTGCTTAGCTTTGGTTTAGTATTATTCATCACTAAACAGTCATGATCTCACCGGGAATCTATTCGAGTGTTCTACTTTGAAATCAGTTAAACCTCAGCAAACCAACATTGCCGAATGACTGTGGAATGGAATGTTTTAAGTTCTAGTGACCATTGGTGTCTAGCAAGATGCGTGCAAGGACAAATCTCAACTGATAACACTGGCTGGTGGTGGCAATATAGATTGTGGGTCGGTAGGGTTTAGAAATGATGAGCCACCTAGTTTCATTAGCTGAATGATCAGCAGACTCATCTCGTAGGCTGAAAATTTTGGATTCGACCCTTGGTAGGATGATGAGTGTGTACTTTCGAAGAGTCTTAAAATAGGCCGAAAGAGCTAATTATTCAGTACTTCCTGCCTCTCAGTGGTTCTTTAACCAATATCAATTTGTGATCTGACGTGAGATCAGACGAATATATGTGAACAAACCCTTGAAAAATAATAATAAATTTGAAACAGTGTCAACAATCAAGGAACCATAAAAACTCAGACCGCGGACAGACTAAAACCAGATATTCAACTAAATTTTAAACACAACAAACTCACCAATAGCATCTGTAATATAAATTTGTCGACGTATAAGAATTGATGCAGCCCAACTGACAGCAACCATATAAAAAAGTGTATCTTTTAGAAATGGTCGACGACTCATTTTAAATGGCTTTAGAAAGATGACTAAACCAGCCGTGACTGTATTCACCAGCAAACCAGAGCCTAAAGCAATAAAGTAAGAAGAAATAATAATTACCAGAATAATAATAATTATTAATATGCGATAACGATATCTACATTTCTGAACAAATAGATATTTAGAAGAGTTTCTGACACCCAGTTCTTAAAAATACATTGAACATAGGAAAAAAGGAAATATTTTGGGTAAAGAGCAGGAACTCATTTGATTCCACAGTTTTTCTTCGGCTCTTTACAGCTAAAAATGGCATAAGTCAGCATAATTTGAAATATATAACATGCTTAAAAAGTGTTTAATCTATTAGATGGTCGAAGGCTATCGGGATGACTGCATTAGATATATTGATTAGACACTAGGTAGTAACCAGCATCATGTATTTAGTCCTTTGTTTAGGGCAGAATGAATTCTATCAGTGAAGGCTGTAATGTGGGCACCACGCTAGGGGGCTCATCATCACTGTGTGCATACGTATACGTATAATTGCATTAACTTCTAAGAAGCAAAATAGCCATGGTTTTTCAACACTCTAATTATTTTGAAGGTTTGAATTATCTCAAGTGTTTTTTCGTAATATTTATAGTAAAAATTATTATTGTTATTATTCCCTTGAGATGCGAGTGGAACATAGGACTCCAGCAACACATCTGCATCTTCTGCTGTCCTCTGTAGTCCTCTTCAGTCGGCCTCACGATTCAAAATAAACTCTCATGTCCGCCTCATAAAATCACTTCTCCTTCACCCTCGATCTCGTGCCCAACTTGACATTTCCGATTCACCTTTATACGAACGATGGCGTGACGTAAGGTGTCACCCAAACTTCTCCTCAGCGTGTGTTCAAATCATCACCACTTTCTTCAGAATATCTGTTGACCAGTATGTTCTTCATTGGTTCATTCGCAGAGTTTCTTGTGGCTCACTTCTTCGGGTCATTCGATCCTCAAAATGGAGCTAGCGAAAGTGAATCTTGATAACATTTAAAAGCCTATTTGAAAAGCTTTTTGTATTACGCTAAGTTTTTGATCAATATAGAAGAACTGACTAACTTAACATTGGTGTTGAGAATCCGAGATATTTTTGTTCACGTTGATTGAGTGCAGAAGATTTCCACATTGATATCAGAGTGATGAATATCTGTATTGCCTCTCCGAATCTGATTTCGACGCCCCCAACCCTGCCGACTGGCCGTAGTTGAAACGATAGTGCCTAGATAAGTGAATGGAGCGACCTCTTTCAAATTTTCCCCGTTGATAATGATTGGTGGTTATTGTTGGTTGGCTATCTTCATCACCTCTATCTTCCCTATGTTCACCAACTTGTTACTTTTTGCCTAAAAGTCTTCGAATTTATTTCACACTGGACATAAATTGTCCACGAATTCCATATCTCCTAGATTCTTCTTATCGGTCCTGTTTTCTCTCTCCCCACTCACGGTGTCACATAATCCATCTCACTATAGTAAGAATATCATAGGTGATAATGAGCAGTCTTGTCTCACTCCTGTCTTCACTTCCAAGGCTTTGCTGAGTTTTCCATTGTAAATCATTTGACACATGGCACTGCCATTTGATATTTGAAGGAGGTTGATAGAGATTAGCAGCATCGCACTCCATAGTGTTGGAGTAGTTTCCCGATCACCTCTCGGTCAAGGCTATCAAAGACCCTTTCAAAGTCTATGAAATCTAGGTAGAGGTTTGATTGCAATTCCATGCTTTGTTCGATGATGATATGTAGGGTTGCAGTCTGATCTTCACATGATTTTCTTCCCTGAATCCAGCTTGTTCCGTACCGGCGGAGTTCTGCATCCAGTACATCTTTTATTCTCTCCAGGATGACACGAATTAATATTTTGCTTGGCGTGGACGGGAACACGATTTTGTGTCAGTTTTTGTAGAAGTCCAAGTCGCAGTTCTTTCACATTTTGACAAGACAACCTTTCTTCCAATCAGCGGTTACCTGATCTTCCTTTCAAACGTCTCGAAATAGTGGTATTAGCCCATCATTTGCCGTCTCTGGACCTGTTTTCAGTGATTCAAGCAAAATTCCATCCGGTACTAGTGCCTTCTCGGACTTCAGTAACTTTGTAGTGAGAGCAGGCTGCTAACCAATTGGTAGACAATTATTTACGTCAATGTTTATGCCCTAAATATTGGTCGTGAGAAAATATGAACAAAGACTGATTCAACAGCCAATCACAGCAGACGTTGCGTAGGCAGATACAGTTAACATATAGATGACCTGACATTCAAGAAACAGTCAAAAAGAGATACAAGGTCAACCTTCTGTGAGAAACAACCAATCAGAAGACTGTTTGTTTGCTTGAATAAGCTATAATAATGTACATGAAAATAAGTGTTGACTTCCTTAATAAACGATCTGTTGCCTGGCCCTTGTCTTCTGTTGTTACAACTTGATCGCATTTTTAAGACTTCTACTTCTGTTGAAGGATTTTCCTTCACTGGCGGCTCTGCGTCAGCAGGAAGTGGTATTTCTGAACACGGCACTAGTGATAGTCGGTTCAGGAGTCCTTCGAAGTGATCAGTCCACTGTTTTCTTTGCCTCTGCTCTATAGTAATTAGGTTTCCTCGACCATATTTTTTATTAGTTGATCTCTCTCCGGATAGAGAACTGGTTATCTGATATAATGTTCTAAGGTCTCTTCTATCTGTGACCTGTTCTGCTTCAGTTTCCAATATGTCATAGAGTTGGGTTTTTTGTCTTTCTCCGTATTGTTCTTCACTTCTTTATGTACCGTTAACTTGAGAGTAATCAATTATTATTATATTATTGTATCCTTTAGTTCCTAGAGGAACATAGGGCTTCAGCTGCGCACCTCCATTGCCTTCGGTTTTCTGACAACTTTTTCACCCTGCTCCAGGTATGTCCACATGCTTTCATCTCCTCCTCGCATGACCTCCTCCAAGTCACCCACACACTGACGACTAACTCGCCGCTTCCCTTTCCTGGTTCCACTCGAGCGAGGGCTTGTCCAGTGATGTCACTTGATGGTTTCCTCAGCGTATGGCCAATCCATCTCCATTTCTTTCTGCCTATTTGTTTCACAATCGGTTCCTGATTGGTTCGCTCCCAGAGATCCCTGTTGCTGATCTTTTCTGGCCATCTGATCTTGAGTATTGAGCGGAGACAGCTGTTAATGAAGGTTTGAAGTTTGTTTGAGATGCTCTTTATGACGCGCCAAGTCTCTGATCCGTATAGTAGCACTGACTTCACATTGGAGTTGAAAATCCGGATGTTATTTTTGATTCTGAGTGCTGTTGACCTCCACACAGATTTGAGAGTAATGAAAGCTTGTCTTGCTTTTCCGATTCTGGCTTTGATATCCTCATCAGTTCCGCCTGTAGTTGAGACGATGCTTCCCAGGTAGGTGAAGGAGGTTGCTTCTTTCAGGTTCTTCCCACTTATGCTGATTGTTGTCTGTTGTTGTTGTTGATGTTGGCTAGGAATCTTCATCATCTCTGTTTTATCTATGTTCACGTGAAGTCCTATCTTTGATGCTTCTTCTGCCAACTTGTTACTTTTCACTTGCATATCTTCCAGTTTATGGGAAGTTTATGGGAGTAATCAATAACCGGATATATTCCTTCTGTCACATAATCAAATTAACTGCAGTCAAAATTTCAACGTGATGTCAACCACAGTTATATTTATTGTTGTTCCCTTGGGTTCCTAGTGGAACATAAGGCTTCAACTGCACGTCTCCCTCCACTTGCCACTTCTGTCTTCCTTCTGCTATACTTTTCACATGCATCCATCCATGTTAGTCCATACTCTTTCAACTCCTCTTCACACCATCTCCTCCATGTCACTCTCGCACTGACGACCAACTCGCCACTTCCCTTTCGGCCTGGTTCCACTCGAGCAATGGTCTGACGCGCGCGTGATGTCACCTAGCGGCCTCTTCAGCGAGTGTCCAATCCATCTCCATCCACTTTCTCCTGCATATTTGTGTTGGGTGATTGGTTTGTTCTTGTTTTGTTTGTTTCCATAGTTTCTTTTTGGTGATCCTTTCCGGCCCGCCCGGCCATCTGATCCTCAATATAGAGCGAAGACAGTTGTTGATAAAGGTCTGCAGTCGCCTGCTGGAAATATTTTTTGTGACCCGCCCGCCAAGTTTCTGATCCGTATAGTAAAACTCAACCACAGTAATTATACTTTAATTTTCCTAAATGAATAATTCCTCGAGGATGATATCAGAGAGATAGATAGGGAAAAAGGAAACCTTCGCTTTAAAACAAAAATGCTTATTACAGTAAGAACTCAGTGTTTTCACAAATTCTCCCCTAGAACAGTTTAAAAAGCATGTGTGAATAAAAATACAAATGGATACAGACAAAGAATACAACATCTGCAAATAATAGCTTTGACTATCTTCTCAAACTTTCAACTTTTTGCTTCATCCTTTAGTTGATTAGTCTGAGAATTCATAGCTCCTAAAATAGTTACCAAAGTGGATGTAAACATTACAACAGAATCAATCAAATCAGATTGTTGGTGAGAATATTGTTTGATCGTGTAGGCAAGTTTCGCTCAAAATAAAAGATAAAGGAAGAGCTATCCATTGTGGGAAATTTCTTATATGATAATGGTTACCCACAGATGTTCACTGACAAACATAGGGGAACGTATTGTTGATAATGTGAATTGCAGAATAGTAGAGGTAAAGCCTACCTTTCTACTGCTTATTTTCAGAGCTGATGATACTGCTAGCAGAGGCAAACTCAAACTAAAGGATGCCCTGAAAAGAACATATCCAGCTGCCAAACTTGTATGCGTTTATCAAATGATTAGCTGTTAAAGAGAATCAAAAGTAGACAAACTTCTACTTCATGTTACCTCGGGAGACAGGTTAGTGGCTCCATCTCTGGACACAAACCAAAGAACCTGAGACTAAGGGGCTCACGGGCATTAAACAGTAAGGCTGCACGCCATCTATTGGACACTAGGTATGTCGTGGACAATTTGAAGGCACTGATAATAGTCAGCAGGCAAAATGAACCTAGACTGCTACCTTTTTGCTGAGGCAGTCTCCATCAAACGACTCAAACCAAATCTAGGTAAGCAGAAAGAGACAGTGGTGAGCTATGCACTGTCTTGTTGACAACAAAGTATACAAATTTTATTGCTTCGGCATCTGTCCTGTTTAGAAAATTTTATTGTTTCACCCTAAGCATGACTCAGATAACCCCCCTCCACTGTTTTGGCTATTTAGCAAAAGTTTTTTTCCTTAGTTACGTAACCTATTATATTGTAATACTGTTTCAAGTTGAACTTTGTTTCCACTTCAAAAGTTTGTTGAACTCTGTCTTATCGTTTCCTATCTATATTCGTCTAATTATCTTACAAATATTAGAAAACCTTGGAGTACTGGACAGCTGCCTCGTCAGTCTAGTTTGAGACTCTTCAGAATTAGGCACCTTCTACTAAAAGACGAACTAGCTCGTAGACCATTAATCCACTGGGACACGTTCCACTAGCCAGCCCATGAATTCCATCACTGCGCTTGAGACTCAGAGCGAACATCACTAGGAATGCAGGCAAACCCAACTGACGAGTCCTAAATAGGACGAAACGTACAAAGTGGATTCTACTGCTAACCCCCATTCATCATATATTCTGATTTATTTTGTCAGCAGATAACAGTAACCTCTGACCTTTGTTATCAGTTGACATCGTGTATGCATAACCTTCTAAATAAGTGTGCAACTTTGAAGTTACTAAAGAAAGGTCACTTCACTGACTAATGTGTTCTGAGTTAAATGAGATGGGAATTTTTCATACCCTGTAGAAATTCGAATCAGTCATCACCCGGTTGTTGTATCGGTTTACGAGTTTTATTGAAATTATCAAATTAAAAAAATGATGTAGCCGTCATCCAATATCGTTTATGGAAATATGTTTTTCTTACGTGATTTGATGATTATTAACTGCTGACGAGAAAAGATATATGACAAAGTAAGCAAACTGACTTATGTAGTAATTGAAGCCCTACTTCCAAGCCATAAATCTTGTAGGCACTCATCTAGATATCTGATTTAGACGGAGGATATCTTTACTGAAGACCTCAGTCTACACAAACTATGATTATGTGATCATGAAATATTTTTTAAACGAAAATCTAATGAATCTATTAAGATACCAGAAAGCTCTGTTCTAAATATTTAACTGAGAGGATGTCTGGAGAATTCGTCTAGGTTATTAGTGATATACTATATATTATATATAAAAGAAATAATATTAAATGACCTCTTATAAAAGGAATTTGAATATATTCATGATTCCTTGATGGAGATGACCTATCCGAGTAGTTTCATGGAGAAACATATGAAAACAGTAGAGCTAAAGCCTGAGACTATGACTGCGTATAAAAACCTCTACTTATTAAGTTACAATTAAGTGGTGACTTATCAAGTGAGATTTTATTCCCAAGACTTTCCAGGAGTATACGGAGAACGCTGTACACAACATACCTATGTCTGTTACTATATAACCGACGAATGACTGGGACGCAAATGAATCTAGATAGCTTCGCCACATCTATGTGCATTTATCAATTTAATCGCACCTGCGGTGACAGTTATGTTGGACACAGTACTACTAGACAGCTTAGCCAACGTATTAGTGAACATCTTCCATCTTGATTTGACACAATGGTTAGGACTCTTGCCGACCATGCACATGGTCCGACGTTCGATACCCTGCCGACGCACACCCGATATCTATGGTCGGCCTGAAAAATTTGGGCTACCGATATCCACGCTGAAAATTCCATACTTGTACCAAAAATACAGTGTGAAATCAACCTGTAATCAAAATGAAAAATAAAGGACAGACAAAAAACAATCCATAGCTCAGTTTTCTCACATTTAGTTCATAGTGGTCATGTAATGAAGAAAACGAGAGCTTTCAAAGTAATTCATCGTACCTCACCGAATCTTTCCAGTAGACTTCCTATTCGTCTACTGCACACAGCTGAGACGATATGCATTCGAACTATTAGACCTAAACAATGCTCATTCAGAAGAAGTTCGTACAGCCATTATCCCTCCCCTATTGACCTATTAAAACATAACCAACTGGTGACTTCTACTCCACCCCTTACATATATTATATTTTCAACCCCTCTCTCTTATCATCCCTTAATCTTATCACATCTTCATTAAAAACATGTTTCAGGATTTCATCATGAGCTGACATTAGTTAGAGAACCATTGGAAAACCAGCAGGGAGTACTGGACAGCTGTTTCACCAGCCTAGTTTGGGACTCTTCAGCAGTACGCACCCACCGACACGGTTCGAACCCACGACCTTCTGGTTACAAGGCGAGCTCGTATGCCATTGAGCCACTGGGACCCGATCCAATGGCCAGTCCTTGAATTCTAACTTCTGCCAATTCACGACACAGCGCGACCGCTAGCCAATGTCTTTGGCGAGTATTTGTCCTCACACCCGACCAGCTGCACCCTACTGGTCACGACTTCTCACTGGAACCCAGGTGACTACCTACCGAATAGGGCCAGTCGCCAGTGAGCATCTCATTGGTATTCAAGTGTTGGTTTGTAGGGATTTGATTGGTTTCACGATTTCATCATGAGCTGACATTAGTTAGAGAACCATCCCGGTGGGTGTGTACTGATGAAGAGTCCCAAACTAGGACGAAACAACTGTCCAGTACTCCCAGGTTTTTCAATGGTTCTCCAACTAATGTCAGCTCATGATGAAATCCTGAAACCAATCAAATCCCTACAAACCAACACTTGAAAAACATGTTTCATTTACTTCCCTTACAACCAGTCTAGCATTACTTAATCGGTTTATTTGTTTTTACTAACCTTTATCGACTATTACGTCTACCCGAACATTTGTTTGTTTAATCATGCTGTTTTTCATTATTCGTGTTATCACAGACTGCCTCACTTTTTCATCCTTATTATTGATATGACCATTATTATTATTACTATTATAACTAATTGCACAATTTATATTCACCATTTTATTATCTTATAGATAATACACCATGATTGGTTTATATTTTGTGATTTTATTTGTAAACTTATATTAGAATTAAGCGTGATGAGATCTAATTGAAAGCACAACATTGTTCACTTAAATGTGTTGTTCTAAATTTTACTATGGAATATTTAATATACTGATATCTCAATGAATAACTATCTATGTTGTTCTATTTGTTTTTTATCTTTTTGTTGTTGTTTTTGTATTTCACTTAACGTTATCATGTTCTTACATTGTGATTATTTTATTGATAACATTTCGAAAAATTTTACTTTCTCATCTTATTGCACTTGAACACAACAAAATTATACATTCACATATTTTTATTTTTTTTTTATTTTTTATTTTGATTACAGCTTGATTCCACACCGTATTTTTGGTACAAGTATGGAATTTTCAGCGTGGATATCGGTAGCCCAAAATTCGCAGGCCGACCATCGATATCAGGTGTGCGTCGGCGTGGGCTCGAACCCCGGACCGTGGGCATGGTCGGCGAGAGTCCTAACCGCTGTGACACCGACGCACTCAATCTTATTATCATCTATTTAACCATGTTCAATCAACTTTGTGTTAACCTTTCTGCATTCAGTGTAGACTTCGTCGTGAAGCAATATCAATTAAAGACCATTGAAAACCAAGAAGCACTGGACAGCTGTTTCGTCCTAGTTCAAGACACCTTGGCTACGAGTACTCACGAAAAATCAGGTATCGAATCTGAAACCTGAATGTTACAAGACTAAGATCAGAAACATTTAGTCACTTGGACTGGTGTATTTCAATGACCCCTGAATTCTAACCTCTATCAATTCATGTGACAACTCTACTTTGAACCAGTGCTCCTGTCGTTAGTGGGTCATGTTCTCATGATCTCATCTGTGTCTTTCTACGACGCCAAACTCACTATACAATTCTCGTTTAGATTTCATTCAAGTATGTGAGACATGATGTCTCTTAACGGTCTCCTAAGCGTGTGTTCAACGCATGCCCATCTCCTTCGGCATATTTCTCGGGTAATAGGTTCTTGGTTAGTTTGTTGCACTGCCATATTTTCTTACCGCTTATCCTTTCCGGCCATCTGATCATCAGTATTGAGTGAAAGCAGCTTTTCCCGAAATTCTGCAATAGACTGTTGGGAATATGTTTGGTGCACCCGCAGGCCAAATACCTGAACTATATAGAAGTAATGATTATCTAAAATCACCTCATCTATTTGTATATACAAAAAGCCATTGGATTGCAAAATCAGATACTTTTTGTAACTTTTTTGTAATTTAAAAATTAAAAATAAGAGTAAACCATTGTGTTCTGCTATTACTGAATATAGTATAAATATATCCAGATACAATAGATATACTTACCTAATAAAAAGCCTAATCCAAGTCCTTCATCTGGTGCATCTGGATCTCCAGTTGTAATTGCTGTAACTGCACTGAAGACATCTGGAGCACCATTACCAAACGCTAAGAGTGTAACTCCCTAAAAGTTAAATCAATATAAGAAGAATTATTATAAGCTTATTTCAAAGCTAAGTTAAAAGGTTCTTCTTGAAATAAAACAACGTGTCGGACCATATGTAATTATGAACGCCTTTTGGTTGGTTTTATGAAACTTTGAATGAATCCAAAGTAGAGTTCTTCATGAACGTCACTCTTGTCCAAGGATCACTGAGAACAAAGAAACTCTGAACAACTATTTAACGCCAGTTTTAGACTCTCCACTAACTGAAATATAAATCATTGTAGGTTCTTTGTCGAGGTTCATCGGGCTTCGAAATTATCACTTCGTTACTCAGCTGTTAGCCATATCTTAATGACATTTTCACATTCCAACCATTACCAGCTCAGTGAATGATAAAGTTGTATTTATGGGGCTTGACAGTCTTTGCCACTGATTCTCGATGATGTCACAGATATTTAATTTCGCGGGAGAATCTAACTTTCAAAAAACCAGCAACTTAATCATAATTGATGTTGATATATTTGAAAAAGAAAGCTTTTTCTGTATTATACCTTGTACTCAACTTTGTACACTGATTAAATTTGGCAGAATCCATATGTAAAAAAGACCAGTGCATCCAGATTAAGTGCATAAAAAGCTCGATCCTGTCACTTGGTCGATACTGGACATTGTATCGATGTCAACACAGCTTTCAGAGTTATGTACCGAATTCCGAAGTCGTTATCACGTACAGTTCGCTTACGTCTCCTACACATAGCTGAAGCTGTCGCAATAAGATCGACTAAACCGGACCTATGTATCCAAAAAGAACACATCCAGACGCTGTAACTACCATGGCCAAACTTGGATTGATGATTTTTCTTCTTACCAAGAGTGCTCCTTCCCCTTAACCCTCTAGGTTTTTTTTCTTTGCTTATTATAACAAATATTATTATAATTATTATTACTACTCGTCATAATTTATGCCCTTTATGCAAACATTCCCTCAATACTATCAAACTTTTCATTTATACGGACTTATTATTAGTGATATTATCTGTTTTCCTAATATATGCCTCCACCTGTTTCATTTCACATATTCGTTATTTCGTTATGAACCTCTCATTGAAGTCTTACTATCTTCTGTTTAACACAGACCACTTTGTACTAGCCACTCACCTGACACCTTTTATAACCATGGAATGACTTGTCAATTTTCTTACCCGACACTCTACAAATCTATTATGATTAATCACCACCACTGTCTCCCGTATTACAATATTTTCTAATCGATTTCAGCCTAGCACGTTTGTCACACAAATATGACTATTTATTTTGACACCCCATAACTAATCTGTTATTTCGATAAAGAAAGGAAGAAGAAATTTGCAGTATAAAATGATATCATTCTATTTCACAGGTTCTCATCAGCTGCAGACTACCTGAAATTACAATGCTTATATAAATGATAATAACATACTTTAATGTTTGAGTGGTAGTAGAGAAGAGATACTATAAAAATGACGCATCCTAAATGAAAGCATTCCAATGCTGAAAAAACGGTTTGGTGACATCGCACACTAGACAGGACATTAAGTGGAACTCAAACAAGAAACGGCGAGTTGGGTATACGTCCAAGTGTGACACTGAAGAGATCGTATGAGAAGGATATGAAAGGTTATAGGGTTAACTGAAGACAAATTCGAGAACAGGGTGAATGGATATGCATATTGAAGCCTAATTTTCCAGTCAGGTCCAAGGGAACAAAAATAAGTATTTTCAGGTTGAAGGCTTATTGGCTTAAACACTCAGCTTTCAGACAAATGGGTTACGGATTCGAGTCCTGCACTGTCTACTTTAGCCTTGGCCCACTATAGTGTGGCTCGTAACCTGATACACTGGAGATATGTTCCATGTGATTGAGCCCAAACAATCCAATCGTAGTTTTCAGTCATCACTCAGCTAGAGATTAAGACTTGAGTGATATGAAACATATTCTGCTGTGTGTTGTTACATTAGCTGAATTGGATGTTTTAACTGTGGAACGTCTATTGACCATCGAGGTTACAACTTTAGTGCTAATTTCATTGTGAGTCGGTACAAAAAGATTCATGGGAACTACAAGTTTTATTGATCACTGAGAAAGTATTGCTTTAATGTGTATCCGTCACATTCTAGTGTTAACTTTAAGAAAGGAGACTGATGACTGAATTTACTCTAAAACTAGAGAATGGATTTAATATTTTATTGTATAAAAATGACTTCATTATAGGTCATACAGTAAGCACTCCAGGATAATTCTTGCTTAATGTTTTATTGTTAATCCTATAACGGAAAAATTATTTAAAAATTCATCTTGGATGATTTAATCACAGCATTGATACTTATTTGGATCCTTCAAATAACTTTGTAATTATTATTATCGGTTTTTCTCCTGGACCGTATATCACTGTTCTGACATTTGCATATCACATGTCTATTCGGCCCTTATTATTTGTCTTTATTCCTGTTCTTTCTCGAATTTTAATGGTTCTCTTTGTGGTTGTGGGATACATCGAAAATGTGTGGTATTATGACTACGATTTTGTTTAAGTGAATGAAGGTTATTCTGATCTTGGACTGTTTGTAAGAAGCGTTGGTACGTGATTCTTAGGGACAGAGATTTTCACCTCACCTTGTTGGGAATATTCTATTGGATTTTAAGTTCTCGTTTTCTACTTAGAAAGTTACTTTGTTCATATAGATGCTAAACGAGATCGTTGAGGTGATTTTGAATTTTTGATGTTATTATTCTTGTTTAATAGAGCTACAAAATTAATCCGGAGCAATCGTCTTTTTGCTCAGCACTCAGCATCAAAAATAAGATCCGGATTTTCAACTCCAATGTGAAGTCAGTAAGTGCTACTTTCTACACGGATCAGAGACTTTCACTGTGCGTCATAAAGAGCATCTCAAACAAACTTCAACCTTCATTAACAGCTGTCCTCGCTCAATACTCAAGATCAGATGGCCGGAGAAGATGAGCAACAGGGATCTCTGACGATGAGCGAACCAACCAGGAACCGATTGTGCAACAGATAGGCAGGAAGAAATGGAGATGGATTGGCCATACGCTGAGGAATCCATCAAGTGACATCACTAGACAAGCCCTCGCTCGAGTGGAACCAGGCCGAAAGGGAAGCGGCGAGTCGGTCGTCAGTGCAAGGGTGACTTGGAGGAGGTCATGTGAAGAGAAGATGAAAGCATGTGGACAGACTTGGATCCAGGTGAAGACGTTGGCAGAGAACTGAATGCAGTGGAGACGCGCGGCTAAAGCCCTATGTTCCTCTAGGAATTAAGGATATAATAATAAATAATATTAATCGTCTTTCTGCTGGAGGATTTTTCGACGCTACACATCTTGAGGAATTTCGCCAGCTATACAGTAGAACATAGAGATCGGCTTCCTGCATTCAGACCACAGTGAGTTGGTTTTGGTCGCTACGACTCTTATCTTTGGAACTGTCCTCTAGTAATTCATGTTTTAAGTTTAACCTGAAAAGATCAATAAATTATGACTGCGTTTTTTTCAACTTTAGTGGCCTTCAACATAGAAGTATTTTCAAGTATTTTATGAATGTACCTTCAACTATTACCTTTAAACTATAATATATTCATCTTTGAATATCATACTTGGAGGGTTTAACTTTTTAGTTATTATTTCAATTTGAAATGATGAAATCATCTAAAGTGACTTAATGTTTCTAAATATTATAGAAAAAATTAGCCATACTCAGCACAGAGTTCAGACAATGAATCCATTGAACACAGTTTTTAGCTTTATTCTGATTAAAATCCAAATAATATCTAAGTTAGAATTGGTCAAATACGATTGTATACTTTATTTACTATTACAGTATACTAGTTCTTTGCGCTTCAAATGGAACATAGAGTTACAGAGGCACATCTCCATTGCTGTCCGTCCTCTGACATCACTATCGATTGGCCCCATGTTCCTATATACGCCTTCTTTTCCTCTTTACATCAGCCCCTCCATATTCCCCTCAAACAGTCAACTAACGGCTTACTATTCGGGTTCGACTTTAGGGTTTGCTCAGAGCATCTCCTCCATTTATGTTACCTTCCTCATGTTTACTGAGCATTAAGTTGTCTTCTTGTTCAACCCAGATTTGAGTATTGCTTATCCTTCACTACCATCTGATCTTCATTAATCAGTGGTAATGACAGATGTAGGTGAATGTCTATAAAGTGTTTGAAATGCTTTCAGTGATGTGCAAAGTCTCTGATGGATAGAGAAACATTTACTTGATATTGTTAGACTTTGGAATTACATCGATGCGTCGGTGGCACAGCGGTAAGGACTCTCGCTGGCCATGCTAATGGTCCGGGATTCGATCCCCTGCCGACACACACACACACAAGATATCTATGGTCGGCCTGCAAAATTTGGGCTACCGATATCACATGATGAAAATTCCATACTTGTACCGAAAATACAGTGTGGCATCAAGCTGTAATAAAAAAATAAAAATAATGCTTTCAATGCCTTTTCAGCTGTCCCGATCCCAGTCTTGTGATCCTCATTCTTTTCGGCTGTACTTGGAAAGTTTCTACCAACTGATGGTGACATTAGTGTTTGCCGTTTTCTGCCTTCTAACTCTCATTTATAACTTGACTAAAGCATGAACTCAATAATTTATTATCTCATTTATGAACAAAGATTTTTGTAATCCGTAAACCAGTTTAAATATATAGAAATTACTGCTATTTATGAATCTGTAGTATTTCTTTATTGGATAATGACTGATGAATATGATGTAACTATTCCGATCTTGTGTAGTCCTTATTACAGAGTAAAGCCAGTCAATCAAGTTTCTAATCTAGCAGACTCTCCATCAAGTTGCACTTTCGTTTAGTATTAGGTGATTGGAGATGAACCCAAAAATAACTTAGCTTTCGTGGTTACTGGCATTCATTAGTAAAGCCTACCTGCAACCTGAGGCTCATTGGTGAACCGCACTTTGCGAATATCTGCTTCCCTTCCTCGGAATAAGCTCATAAAACTGGATAGAAGCTCTAATTTCTGTCCTTCCAATGTACTTGCTCCCACAAGTGCATGTAAATTTATAAAAGCAGTTCAAGGTGACATTACCAGGGCACTTATCCAGTTTAGATTGGCTTTTAGAGCATGTGATGCTGTATAGTTTATGAGATTAACTGCAGGGAGGCGTTTTTTTGTTGCTCCTTTCATTCTGTTGTCAATCTTTTGTGATATTGCTTCTCCTTTGAACGAAAGACTAATCACCTTCTACTTTTCAATAGTTGGGTGTTTTGTTTCTTCATCTCTTTCTTTGCTATACTTTTGGATAAATCCCTTCGGATACTCATTTTGCCTTAAGCGATTCTCAACAAAATTTAATTCTTCTTTCTGCTTATTGGGCGAACATTACTTTCTGACTCAGTTGTACAGTGCCCTGGCTGATCCACGCTTATAGCCTATAGGACAAAAGCTATTATAGTAAAGGTATTGTCAGGTCCATGTTTCTTTTTTGTAGATGAACTTATCGAGAGCACCACCATTTCTTCTTCTAACATTAAAATCCAGGTGAACTGTCTCAATGAGATAGTCAAATAATGCAGATGCGTGATTCATATAGTTACAATCAACAAACATATCATCAATATATCGACGATAGTGGATTGTTTCACTGGTAGGAGAGCTCACTCGAGTCTCTTCGATATAACGCATGAAGATATCAGCCAGAATATCTCTTAGAGGTGAACCCATCACAGTCCCATCAGTTTGACAGTAAATCTGGTTATTAAATTTGAACTGAATGTCTTTTGTGCAAAGAACCAGTAGAGGCTTCATTTCTGTTTCGTGTACTAGTAATAGATCTGTTTGTTTACAAATGATGTCGATGGTTTCTGTCACAGGTATATTTTTAAATAAAACTGACACATTATACTATACCAAGAGTTTATTTGATACGATATCATGAACATAGTCTACTTCTTTGGGAAATCGATAGGTCTCTTTCAAAATATGTATGGCAAATTTGTTTCGAATGGGTTTCAGATAATCCACTAACCATCAAGCTAGCTCATGGTTTGGTGAGTTGTTCGTTGACAGTATAGGTCTTAAAGACACATTGGCCTTCACTCAAAAATTGAAGTAGCCTTATTGTCACTTTTTGTAATCGCTGTAATTTTGGAGAGTTAGTTAGCAGCTGATGAGAACCTGTGAAATAGGATGATTTCACTTTATACTCCAAATCTGGCGTTTCTTTTTTTTTATCCACAGAAAGAAGTTCCTAAGAATTTAAAAGTAGCAGTTGACGGTATACAGAATAGTGGCTATATAAACAACAAAAGTAAACACAAATACCATAAATATGTTAGGATATATATGTGTAAACTTACGGCTAAATTTTGACTCATCCTGAGAGTTCGAGCCAAAGCAATCAAAGAAGTACTGAAGCTAGGAACATTTCAATTTTGAGGAGAAGAAGAAATAAATTAAAGGAAATGAATTAGTGTGTTTAATCCAACCCTTTGAGAATTATCCTTTATCCAACAAGCACAATCTGAGTCTTAAAAAGGCTTTATGATGTTCGAATTAACGTTTTGTAAAATTAGTAATAATAATAATAAGACCAACTTGTTTGTCACATATTACGAAGAAAAACAAGAATAAACATCGGTACAGCATAACATGAATCCATTTTTATTTCGCCAGTTATCTTTAGCTCTTTATCACCGGTAATATTCATTAAATCAAATGATATATTGTTAGGCACATTCCAGTTCTCAACTGTGCGATTTGTAGATATCTAACTTAGTTCAAACTGTAAGGAAATAATTGTTTGGAAAATCCATCTTGAACGACCCAGTCACAGTATTTATACTTACTCGGATATTTCAACTAAATTTATAACCATTAACCGTTTTCCTGCCATACTGTATATCGTTGTTCTGACATCCGCATATCACATGCTAACTTGATCCTTATTAATTGTCTTTCTACCTGTTCAATGTCTAATTCTAGTGCTTGCCTTTGCGTCTAAGTGGTGATAATTATAATGTGTTATTTTACAGGTGAGATTTTGTTTGAGTGAATGAATCTTATTCTGATCTCAGACCATCTATGGGAAGCGCCGGTGTTTGATCCCACCTTGTGGGCAATATTCTACTTGCTTCTTAAGTACTCCTTACAGTTAAAGTTTAGTTAACTAATTTCGCCCTCCAGTACTTGTAGTATTTTACTAGAAACTTATCTAGACTGTATAGCCATCCAGCGGCACAGTTGAGGCAATTCTGAGTTTTTGAAATTATTAATGAACAAATTGGTCAACGAATAATCATCCTTTTTTCTATCTTTGGAGCATTTTGTAGCTGTGTGTAACTCAAGAAAGTTTCAGACAACTATAGAGCACGACGCAAGGATAGGTTCCCTGTATTCAGACGACAAAACGTCAGTTTTAATCGTTATACAAAGTGAACTTCAATATACACACCAGTATCATTTAGCGAATTATCCAATAACAAGGTGCATTAAGCATAGGTCTCCTCCTAGTCTGATAGGCTATGCCTATATACACTATAACTCTTCAAGAGATATAAGCTAGTAATTTCAGATTACGAGCGTAACGAGGTATTATTCACCTGTTGGGTCATAGTCGAAAGGTCATGGGATTCCAAAATTCATAAGTGGACAATAAACAGGACATCTCTATCCAGCATCACCAGAGAATAACTTTCTCGGCACCCATCACGATATACTCCAAGGGTCAAAATTTCTTCATAAATGAGTAGGAATTCCATTGTGAAGTCAGCCAGTCAATTTGTCACTAATGGTCAATGAGTTTGCAAGATCCGATTGCAATCAAGTTAAATTTCATCATCAAACGAAAATTAAAGAAAAGTAATAATGCTACAGTATTTGTCCTTGTTCTTTTCAAGCTTAAAAGGGGAATATGTGCATGAATATATATATATGCTGTACATTGTTGGTTCAGCACGAAGCACGTGGTTCGGCGTTCGATTCCCAGCTAGCGTATACGCTTGCCTCTTGAAAATGGTTGTAAGCTCTACACAGAGGAAAGACTGAGCGTGAGGCTAGCAAACCCAACCCTGTAAAAAACGACGCAACTGCTACTGCAACTTCAAAGTTCAAGGTTGAGGCCCTGTGTTCCATTCGGAAAGCGAAGGAATAAATTAAATAATAATAATCATATATGTGTATTGATGACTCAGTGGTAGGAAGCTCGCTAGCAGTGTAATTGACTGGAGTTTGATTCCCGGTAAATGCATTCCTGAACAAACCGATCCAAATTCACAGTCTTTTGTACAGTTTAATCAAAAATATTTAAACATTAAAAATTACATAAAACATTCATGATAACTTACAACGAATCAGATATTGTAGCAAATGCTCCTAACAATAAAATGAGCCAAAATACCTGTATAAAAACAGAAAATATGGATATAGAATCAGGAGAAGATTTGCACTGAAAAAGGCTTCAAAAGTGAAGGAACAGTTTCAGAAACATTAAGATACTCGATCAACCATTTTAACGAATAAATATACATCGATTATGGCATGTTACGGAATACATTTACAACAGACCACCTCATACTTCCGTTTATAGCTGTCTTCACTGAGTTCATACTGAAGATCACATAACCAGATAGAAAGGAGTAAGGGTAAGGAACCCTTGGAACAAACCGATCAGCATTATTCTGAAGAAAATGAAGTTGAATCGGAAACACACTGAGGAGACTGTAGGATGACATCAAGCCAAATGTGAGCCAAATGGGGGGAACAAAAAGCTTAGCGTGGGAGAAACGGTGACATGAAGTAGATCGTGTGAGGAATAGATGAAAGCTTATAGGCAACAGTGGATCCATTTGAAGAAGAATGCAGAAACGGGGATGAAATGGTGATGTGCTGTGTTCCATTCACAACCGAAGGAAATAATAGTGAACTCACCTTGTTTGTAATATCAACATTATCTGTCGAACTAATGGAGCCTTCACTGTCCATCTTAACAACATCTTTAGTAGTAACTTCAGCGTGAACTGGACTTCAGGAATCCTCTATGAATGAAATATATGCCGCTCCTGTAGACCCTTACTGAGATTGGTTTACTCCCTTAGATTTCCATGTGATTTCATTCACTCTTGTATTGACACTAATCCTTTTGTTGACATGATATTTAATTTTTTTTTCAGGCGTATTACCCTTTCTTCATAGACTGATAAGTTTGTTCTATATCTAAATCTGTATTAATCTAAAATTGAGTCGAGTAGAAGCTTTTTGGCTTACTTTGTGTTTTATCTGTCTGAACTTCTTTTGTACATTATCCCAGTTAATGTAATGTTCATATTTATCCATGTTAATTGTTAAGAATGTATTCATATCATTTCCTTTAACTGCTTGTTTGCTATCATAGCTACGAAGAAAAAGAGAAAGTTTGCTTTGGCCAAAAATATGTTTTTCAAAGTCTAAGCAATCTATTTTAGAGGTGACATCCAACAGTTGTACGACAATGGTGCATGCCAAGTAATCCACAACGGGAAACTTACGGAAGCCTTCGAAGTGAGGACGGGAGTAAGACAAGGCTGCCTACAACCACCAATGATTTTTCTGATTGCAGTAGACTGGATAATGGGACAAACAGCGGGCAATGAGGAAACAGTCATAAAATGGACCCAAACAAAAAAAACTTGGAGGATCTGGATTTCATCGATGATATTTGTCTCATTTTCCACAAACTGGAAGATATGCAAGTGAAAAGCAACAAGTTGGGAGAAGAAGCATAAAAAATAGACTCCAGGTGAACATAGAGAAAACAGAGGTGATGAAGATTCCTGGCCAACAGTAACAACAACAGGCAACAATCAGCCAGCATGTGAATGGGAGGAACCTGAAAGAAACAACCTCCTTCACCTACCTGGGAAGCATCGTCTCAACTACAGGCGGAACTGACGAGGACATCAAAGCCAGAATCGGAAAAGCAAGACAAGCTTTCATTACTCTCAAATCTGTGTGGAGGTCAACAGCACTCAGCATCAAAAATAAGATCCGGATTTTCAACTCCAATGTGAAGTCAGTGCTACTATACGGATCAGAGACTTGGCGAGTCATAAAGAGCATCTCAAACAAACTACAAACCTTCATTAACAGTTGTCTTCGCTAAATACTACTCAAGATCAGATGGCTGGCCAGAAAAGATCAGCAACAGGGATCTCTGGGAGCGAACCAATCAGGAACCGATTGTGAAACAAATAGGCAGGAAGAAATGGAGATGGATTGGCCATACGCTGAGGAATCCATCAAGTGACATCACTAGACAAGCCCTCACTCGAGTGGAACCAGGCCGAAAGGGAAGCGGCGAGTCGGTCGTCAGTGCAAGGGTGACTTGGAGGAGGTCATGTGAAGAGGAGATGAAAGCATGCAGGCAGACTTGTAGCGGGTGAAGACGTTGGCAGAGAACCGAATGCAATGGAGACGCGCGGCTGAAGCCCTCTGTTCCTCTAGGAATTAAAGGAAATAATAATAATAATTTGTATTGTTTCACTGTTGGTTCTTTGTTTGTATTGATTTGTAATAGACAACTATTCCAAGAATTTCAACACACACACACTGACAGTAATTTATGAAATTTTCTGCATGTAAAAGTGAAACAACTTTTGTGCCGTTTTTTTTGAATGAGTGAATTTTTTTTTAAAGATTACGTAGAAACAAACACCCTAAGCTGTAGTGTTATGGGTAGCTTAGAATCATCTGATAATCAGTTTAGACAAAAGCTTAAGAAGAACTTTGCGTAAAACACTGTGCTGATCTTTTCACTCCTCTGAATAAACCTACACTCAATTTTAAACTAATACACGGAATTTATTTTATGGGTACTTGTGATTTCCTGCTGTTTATTTTACTAAGCAGCATTATGGCGGCTTGTTTCAATCACATGGCTGCGTAGATTTACATCCAACATCAAACATCACATCCACTGTATTTCATAATATTTTAAATAATCATTTACTTCCTAAGAACGCAACTTCGGAGAAGTCATGACCAGTAGGGTGCAGCAGGTAGGGTGTGAGGACAAATACTTGCCAAAGATATTGGCTAGAGGTCGCGCTATGTCGTGAATTGGCAGACGTTAGAATTCATGGACTGGCCATTGGATAGGGTCCCAGTGGCTTAATGGTCTACGAGCTCGCTTTGTAACCAGAAGGTCCTGTGTTCGAACCCCGGTGGTGGATGCATACTGCTGAAGAGTCCCAAACTAGGCTGGTGAAACAGCTGTCCAGTACTCCCTGCATGTTTTCCAATGGTTCCCTAACCAATGTCAGATCATGATGAGATCCTGTAACCAATCAAATCCCTACAACCCAACACTTAAACATTATTATATTTATTGTTATTTCCTTGGGTTTGAAGTGGAATATACGACTTCAACAGCCCATTTCCATTTGATCCTGCTTTCTGTAGTCTTCTTCTGCTGGCAACACGATTGCCTATATCCTCTCATTTTTCTCCACACATCGTCTCTAAGTCACCCTTAGACCTACACCCAACTGATCGTTTCCCATTCGGATTCCACTCCAGGTCCTGTTTGACATGAAATGTTATTCGACAGTCTCCTTAGAAGGTATCTGACCCATCTTTACCTTACTTGTCGAGCAACTTTTAAAATGATTCCAATCTAACACTGTGCATTTCTCTAAGGAAACGATAAGAAAAATATAGTACGGGATTCAAAACTGCTTCAAACTGGGCAATATTAAGCCACATTGAAGGTCCTGTACAAGAAATGAATGTTGAGTGAGAATTCTGTACTGTATACAAAATTACTACTATTATTATTAATAATAATCTTTATTGACGTATACCTTAAAAATCACTTTGATTTCATTTCATTTGTTAGAGTGTAACCACCATAACTTAAGTCAAGAGAATTTCCATCCAACTGATGAGACTCAGAAAGGGATGAAATGCTTGTCACAAATTCGTCACAAAGTAGATAATGGTGTCAGCTCATGATGAAATCCTCCATACAATCAGACAAAACCCCTACAAAACCAATACCTGAAAATTAATCTGATGCTCAGGCAATTAACCTGGGGTTCTGGTGGGAAGCCGTGATCAGTAAGATACTGCAGGTCGAGGATGAGGCAGTAACTCATCGAAGAAGACATTGAGAAATGGTCGCGCTATGTCGTGAATTGGCAGAAGTTAGAATTCAAGGACCATTGGATCGGCTCGCCTTGTAACCAGTAGATCCTGGGTTCGAACCATGGCGGTGGGTGCGTACTTTCAAAGGGTCCCACACTAGGACTAAACAGCCGTTTGGTAGTACTCGCAGGTTTTCCAATGGTTCTTTAACTCATGCCAGCGCATGAATTCGCTGATGTGCTACACTCATGAATACACTAATGAAACCAGTCTCTCTTTCTTTTTATCAACCTATGAGCTTATACAATACAGTCAAGATAAATATGTAAAATAAAAGATACAAACACGCACATCTACACACACACACACACAAATACACACAGGGAGACACACGCTAGTCAGAATGATACAAAAAGCTTCCTAACAAGAAATCATTTACTTTGAATAAATTCATGAATATATTATCAGATTATTTGTTGTCTGTGTACATCCATCTGTATTGTTGTTACACTTCTGTATCTTTGGCACACAAGACCGAAACTATAGTTCTGTGTATAATACAGTACAGAGTAATTCCAAATGGACATAGGATAAACAATTCATCGGAGTTTTTCTCACATAACAAAAGCCTATACTACCTAAGATTTCAGGCCTCATTACAATGCACTTATGATCGGCAAAATTTTGTAAATGTAAATATATACATATATATGTGTGGTGTGGATTGCATAACAATTTATCGTATTACGCTAATCAAAAAGGTTGTCTGTGCTTTTTCCATATAAATTATGCAATCACTAAACCTGTTATCACGGCCAATTATTATCGCTATCATCATCAGCAGTAGCATCACCTGTAGGCATCATGATAACAGCTTTTTGTCTGCTTACTAAGTATGGCTCCAGTTTTCACAATGTGTTATTTATATATGATATAACAGGAGTTTAATCAGTTATATTCAGCTTCCCACTAGAACCCCAGGTTAACTGCGTGAATAGGACCAGTCGCTAGTGAGCATAAGATTAATTTTCAGGCATTGGTTTTGTAGAGATCTTTGTTTGATTGGTAACAGGATTTCATTACGAGTGGACATCAGTTAGAGGACCATTGGAAACCACCTGTTAATACTGGTAACCCACATTCAACAAATCTATTATGATTAATTACTATCAATATTGTCTCCTGTTTCACAATATTTTGTAATCGACTTCAGTCTGGCACGTCTGTCACACAAATACGACTACTTATTCTGACACCACATAACTAATCTGTTATTGT